GAGCGTGGGTACTCCGTCGTCACTCTTGCTAATTTGCAGTTGATCAAATCAACCACTAATTAGTGTTGAATGGGCTCCGACAGCTAGCTGCTTATGGTATGAGCACTTAAGTAGCAGGAGTAAGAGTGGTGTACGGTGTGCACAGCGTACGAGGTAGGTAAGGTGAGGGCAACATGTTTCTGGTTCTATTGCTCTTGTCTTTCCTCCGTACGGAGGAAAAGGGGGATATCTAGATGTTCGCGCACGGAGGTTCGCGCACGAGCATCATGTGACAGAGATACGTGGTCCTGCTCGTGCGCGATCGCTCGTATCCAGACTGTGACGCTGCTGCTGCGTACGGACATAAAACCTTATTATTAAAAATAAAAATGAGGCTTATACTACAAAGTATAGCTATTTTCTACTAAAAGTTAAGCTTATAGGCCTAAATAAGAACCATGTGGGTCCGCGTTGTTCTTCAAAATCCATATATACAATAGCCATGTCAAACAAGGGCAAACTTCTGAGCGAGAAAGAGCTCGATGATTATTTCCAGCAATATGAAGATTGGGCCACGGGAGAAGATCAAGATGAAGTCCCCATACTAGAAGAGGAAGACTTTCACATGATATGTGATATCATCAAAGATCTCTTTGAGCATATCCGTTGTCAAAAGAACACAATTGCCAACCTGGTTGAAATAGGTCGTTCAATAAAGACTCTTGGAGGTACTCTCAGGAAGGACGTTGATAGCCTTAAAAAGCTAAAGAGGAAGGCTACTAGAAGTGTTGAGGAGGGGGAAGATGGCTCTCGGGTGAAGAGGGTGAGGAAGCATGTATCTCGTAAATAGATGTTGCAACTTCGGCTGATGCACTTAAACTTTACATTAGATAGCTCCGCAATGTTATTTCATGTATCGCCTCTTGTTATAGCGCCAAAGTATCCGTGAGATCAAAGCAAAAGATATCAGCACTGGGTTGAACCACCATGCCTAGGTTTAACTTGATTATTTCTCTTCCACGGAGAGTTCATCGTCCGAATATTGAAGTGAATGCAGCTATTTTGAGACGAAGATGTATAATCAATCGCTTGGTCGTCACCATTTGAGAAGATATTAGAGCGATACATGACAATCGAAAATTCGACCCGGATTTGCATCCAATGAAATGCACATTTGACAGCAAAGCCGTAGAAGACGAATGTGTACGTAAACGTTAATTTTTCAAATATCACCTCTACAAATGAATAAATCCTTTCTTCGAGTAATATCACTATCTCTTCCGCGAACTGAGTGCTGCTCATGCACAGCGTGGCCAACAGTACGTAGTACGTTACGTTTGAGCTTTTTTCTGCCAGTAACTTCTCAATTTAGTAGTACTTTTGTACGTAAGCAGTGAATTAATTAGCAAGTACGTAACGTAACAGTAACTTCTTAAAATCCTTATACTTTTGTACTTTTCGCAAGAAGTTTTGTCAGTCTAGGTCAAAATTGTTCTAGGAGAAGCTTTTTAGCCTAGATAAAGTCCCCTAGAGTAGTTAATTCACTCTCTACAGCCCTATAACGTAACTAGTTCTTTTAGAGCTGCAGAGCCTTAATTATACAACCTGCTAAGCAGTTTCTATTAATTATAACTGTCCTCCTGCCTCTAGAGAAGGCTCTCTTACAGTTGCAGCTTGTTAAGGGTATACAGAGGAAATTAAGCGTGGGGTAGGAGTAACAACTAACTTTAAGCTACTAAGTAAGAGGCGATTAGAATAGCAGGGATCCCTCCTTAGCTATAGAGAGGTCTTTAATGTAGCTGTTATAGTATTGTTAAACGCTAGTAAAGTTTATTTTTATAGGGGGCTATTTAGCACACTAATTAGGCTACTGTGCTATAAAACGCAGAGTTTTATCTAATTGTTACTCTAAAACGCAACCTTAAACAAAGCTCCTAACGCGATGGCTAATAGGGTCTAAAAACAGGAGGGAAATCTCCCAAAATATGACCTCTCTGACCTGTACTACAGGACGTACTTGGCAATTCACTGTACAAAAGTTACGTCTCACATTTTGACTACTTTTGTACGCCTCACGTGATTACTACGTTCACGTAGTTACGTTACGTACTACGGACTGTTGGCCACGCTGCTCATGCAGCTGGAGCCTTTGCTACTACTACACGCTTCGGACGCCGACTGGGTGCTTAAGAGAGCTTATCTATAGCAGATGGTTGATCATTCGTAGAGGCCAAGGGAGCAAGCTCATCGACTTGCTGTAGGCTATCCTTAATAGAGGTGGTAGCAACTTCTGCATAAACTGAATCATCTTGTTCTTGGTAAGTTATAAAACAGGACTCAGATGGCTACCGAAAGTTGTTGACAGCTTCTGAAGTGAGATCCACAACCGGCACTTGACAGTCAATAGAAGGCTGTGTGCCTGGGCTCAGCTCATCTATCTGTGTCTAGCTCGTCTATATTGGTTCAACCAGTGTGTTACTGGACGTCGATGACAGTGGTGTGTTGGGACCTGGGTATCCCTCTTCACTCCAAGTGCTTCCAGCGGAGTGATAAGAAGGTGTCGGAAAAGGGTAAGGCTCTACCTCCCAATCCACACTAAAGCCCTGCGCCGCCATCTGATCCACTTCTTCTACCAGGACGAAGTCACGGTCAGCTGTTAGATTAGTGTATGAGACTAATGGCGGCGGCGTTTTGGTGTCGAAACGCATGTCTTCCCCTTGATTACTCCCAGCGCATCTGTGATAGGATTTCTTGTGGCTAGACAATATTTTCAGTGCATTCCGCGCACGTGCATCCATTTTTGCCGCTATGGAATTGATGAAGAGGTCATACTCGCTTTTGCATCTTTTCTCCGGTGGGCTCATGACTTGTTTTCTCTCGTTGACAGGCCTCTTTCTCTTCGCATTTGGCTTTTTGGTCAGTGGGATGCCATGGATATCTTCGAGATGGAACTCCAGATGCAAAACGGAGTGGAAGGACTTTGGACAATTTGGGTGGGGTGGAGGGCAGGTTATGGCACTCTCTTTTACCGTCTCGCGCTTTTCCAACTTTGCCATATGCTTTTTCTGGATGTGCAATAACCATTTATCTCAGTTCAGAAACTGCTACATCCGGTCCTCAGCTGGTAATCCCTCGTCTCTGAGACAGTAAGGGCAGTATCCAGGGGTTGCAAGGACCCCACTGTAGATCAGAGGATCAAAGTAGATCGAGAAGGAATCTAGGTCCTGGAGATCACCGGCGCAGTGGTCTTTCCATTCCTGCTCTGAAAGGACCCACTCGTTGCATTTAAAACACAGTTCGGCAAAGCCGCGTGCAGCAGAGCGGTCCTTTTTGTAGCAGTTGTATATGTGCCTCCAGTCATATTTTTTAGAAACCTCATTGTTGTTGTCTTGAGACACTCCCTTCACCTTTGTGCACACGCATTTGTCTCTTCCAAGCCTGGCCTGAACTCAACCTCTGTGTTCTTGCTGAGAAGTGCCACCAAGTCACGCAAAGTGGACAGGCCTAGAGTGCTGCGCAGCGTCGCGCTCTTGAAGAGATTGGTGGCTAGGCGATCTCGCTCTGGCATCATGAACCGGCAACGATTGAAGATTCCGTAATGGTACATAGGTAGATCATTCGGCTTATATGGCTGATTCTTTTGCCACTTCTTAAGAGCCTTGTCTATTAAAGCACTCCTTTTCGCCTGTAGCTCCTTAATACAACCTTTTGATGTCGTAGTCTTGTCATCCCATAAATATTCAATCTCCTCTTCAATCTCAACATACTCTTGACTCCTTTCCAAATTGTACCTCTCCTCTGCGGGAAGTCACTGCGCGAGGTTTGGCGTATACAGTACGCTCTGCTCAAGGAAAGTGGCACTAGCCTCTTCGCTCCTCCCTTCGCCAAGAAAAGTATTTTAGCCGTCAATGCGACATTCGCTATAGTCGTACTTTTGGCTGTATGTTTTTCGGTTCTTGTGAGCGGCTGCCCTCATTCAGTCAGATTCGGGGTAATATTTGGCTGTGCGGAAGTGAGTTCATCATAAAAAGAATTAGCAATGTACATAGACCTACCTATTAGAAAGAGAACGTACGCTCTCCAGTCATGTGTCGTTGGCGGCTCCAGTAAACCAGCGCGAATACCTGAGTCCGTAATCCTCGTATGGTAAGCGTTTGCTGTTTCGATATCGGTATCCCGCGTTGGCTTGTAGTAGACAGGTTGCTCAAGTATATCGTCTCTCCATGCAATAGTCACTGAGTTCATATTTTTTGGTGGAATAACGTCGAGGAGGCTCTCGATAGTGCTGTGGTCTCGGAATGCACGCCTGCTCAGCAGCCTTGCCAAAGTGAAGAGCAGTGAATTAGTATAAAGGGGAGCTTCCACTCGCCCTTCCTCAATGGTATTTTTCGGCCTTAAAACAAGATCTTTGTTAGTCCAATTTAGATAGGAGGTTGCCATAAAATGCATACTTTTTACTGTCCGGGTCATTGGAAGTATTCTTTGCATCTTTTATCCGCCGAATAGCGAGTTTGGGCTCTCTGTGACTGTTCCAAAAGCAAATGAGTTTTATGTCCTACCCCAAAATATGGTAATCAGTATTGCGGCATGAATTTACAGCTATAGAGAAACTCACTTTGAATTTCAATCCTCGCCCGGTGCCTCTGCGACTAGAAGATTCAACATAATCCCCGATACGCGCCGAGGAGTAGATGTCTACCAAAAACAGATCCTAATCATTCAGTCTTGTTGACAGATGGTTGTACTCCTTCCAGTCACAACCCCAGTAAGCATCTGCATAGGATTTAAGATGGTTGCCGTTGGCGTATCTTTGTGGCTTCTTTTCTTTCAACAGTTCAAGCTCTATCCTCAGCTTAGTATAGATATGCTAGGTATAGTTAGTATTTAAATCCAAGATAGGTGGCTTTACGCTAACATTTGTAACAGTCGTTATGATATCTTTTCGAATCGCTCCGTACTTTCGAGCCCATGCTGACGTAAATTGATTCCAATAGCTATGAACAGTCTCTACGCATGCATTCATCCCCATAGTACCTGATATACCAGCCGCTTGCATGTACACGAAATACTTGAGGGATTTTACATCGTAGACTGAAGGGATGGGCCAGTCCTTCTTCTCCTCTTTGACATAGTCGATAAATCTGTTTTAGTAGTGAATTACAAGAAATCGTCACATTTTCTCAATCTATACGAACTCGTCCCATTTTTCTAATCGTCGCTGATCTTCGAGACCTTTAAAGATGGCGTCACTGTTAATTGATGGGGGCACTTCGGTGCGTATCTTCTCTTGTGCTAGCTGAATAAAACTCTTCTTCGGCTTTGGCATAGTGAATTTGAGAATGAAAGGAAAGAGCGAAAGATGAAGGCAGGAAAAATCGTACAGCGCGGAGACAAGAGAGACGGGACGGAAGGCAAGAACAAAGCAAAGGGCACAGTACCAGCTCTGATACCGACATATTCATCGCCAACATCGACGGTAGCTTCTGGGGCCATACAGCGTGCGAGATAGCCCATATTTAGGCCACTACTACTCTCTACGAAAATAACCCAGAAATAGGCCTAAACATTACTTCATCCCCTGGAAATATGCTCGCGTAGAGTTAACTGTAAATTCTAGCAGGGATAGTCCCGTTTATACTATGATTAGAAGGATGTCTAACGAAGTTTGGACAGAAGGGTGAGTTGGTGGTGAGCTTCCTGAGCTGTGGCGGTGCAGGCTGAGCAGCGACTGAGCCGAAGTTAAGCCGGGCGTCAATTTGCTTATAAACCATAGATATGACACTAGCCAAAAGAGGAAATGGAAGTAGGGTATTTGGAGCGTGAGAATTGCGGAAATTTTTAAGCAAGTCGCATTAGCAACGTCACTCTACAGTGTAATTATGCGCATTTTTGCTATCCTAACAATGATGTTCCTCCCAGTAACATTCACAGCAGTGAGTTGGATTCTCCCTTGGTCTTTCAACCTGTTTGTGCCGAGTGAACCAAGCCTTATTCAGCACTGATTTCTTCAATTTACCGAGTGCCGGTAAGCCCATAGTATCCGAACGCGTGTAGTTGCACTGGATGATCACTATTGTGTTAGGTGTGAAGTATGCGAAAGCCCAACAATGGAGGTTCACAGCTGAGGCACAGATCATAGATTTGGCGTATGCAAAAAGCGAGGGAATTCTTGGCGCTCTGCGAGATTTGCTCTAGCCCAACGCATTCAGCAATTCAAAGATATTTCTTAATAAAAAAATCCCTTCCATATATAATATTAACATCTACATGATATATAAGAAAGAGATGCCGATGGAAAGGGCTAATTTGTAAAAAATTCAGCCCGTTCAGACTATTAGTTAAGCGACCCCCTTAAACGCTTAAAAAAAAAAAGACAAAAATAAAAGCCTCTTATATCTTACCAGCCACCAAAGAAACTGGTTAAAAACAAAGATTGTGAAGGATCCCACATATAAGGGAGGTAAAACTACAGGACTCTTATAGTTTTAAATAGCGTCGTTGTTACAGGGATTGAAACGGGAGGAGAACAAATCTCGCAGAGCGCCAAGAATTCCCTCGATTTTTGCATACTCTACATCCTTGTCCGACCCAATAGCCAAGGCCTTAGCGCTTTCTCGCTGGCGATCCATGGATGTCCCTCGGCATCCGCGGACGCTGGTGCTTGGCGTAGCTTTTCTATTCACGTAATTGCTTGACTTCAAACACCCCTCACCAAAAATATTCTTCCCATCATATTGATTGTCCCGCTCTTTTAGATACCAATTTTCTTTGTATGGAAGGAATTCTAGTTTAGCTTTATTATGTTAATGCTCATAAGCGAGAGCATCATAATACGAAGAAGAGGATATGCATCGCCCAGCATGGTTCTCGTCACTAACACAGCACGGCGAGAAGCCACCATGGCTGCTCAAGTATAGGAGTTCAGAGGGTTTTATCATTGGGACTGTTGCTTTGGCTGTGTTCACTGTACGTTCTTGAATCTCACACTCTTCTCACTAGGATTAACAGTTTCGCAATTAACCTGACTAAAGGATATGTTTCTCTACGGCGTGATCGTCCCTGTTATTCCATTCGCACTCCAGGAGAGAATTCATGTCACTCCGAATCGAATTCAATACTGGGTCTCCGTTCTCATTGCTGTCTATGGCGCTGCCCTTCTCGCTTTCTCTCCCTTTTGTGGGTGGCTGGCAGACCATACCTCATCTAGGCGGTCTCCGCTCCTTCTGGGACTCCTTGCCCTTCTTGGGGCGACGGTTTTGCTCAATGTTGGCTCAAGGATTGGAGTTTTGATTGTTGCAAGGTTGTTGCAGGGAACCTCTGCTACAGTTGTGTGAGTATTGCATTGTTTGTGAAGGCTAGGACTGACTTTAGTAGGTGGGTCGTTGGCCTCGCGCTACTAGCTGATACAGTCCCTCAAGGAAAGCTAGCCCACGCTATGGGATACGTCGCTGCTGGGATGTCTATGGGTATTCTAGTGGCGCCTTTGCTTGGAGGTGTAGTTTTCGATCGAGCTGGGTATAATGCCGTCTTTGGGATGGCATATGCGCTCGTCGGCATTGATATTATTCTCCGCCTCCTGCTTGTGGAGAAGAAGGTTGCTGCAAGATGGGACCCTAGTGCTATTAGACAAACAGCGAGCGAAGACGAAGCCACCGAGCGAAGCTCGACTAGTGTTGAAGAAGTGGCAGGGCCTTCGAATGTCGACGTGGAGAAAGATGTCCAATCAGCGGGTAGAACACCAGGCTTAGAAACGGGGACGTCTAGGGCACCGTCTCCAAACGAACCACCAACAATCGATTCTCCGGGGCCATCCCGCAAACGCGCTCGTTCCAGCCTCCCGCCAGTCCTGTCCCTTCTTTATTCTAGACGACTGCTAGCGGCCCTTTTCGGCTCTCTTGTCCAAGCCGCCCTTATGACAGCTTTCGACTCCGTTCTTACCATCCATGCCTCCACCATCTTCCACTGGCGCTCTACCGGCGCCGCTTTACTCTTCCTCCCCATTGTGATTCCAACCTTTCTAGCCCCAGTTGTAGGTTATATGACCGATCGATATGGATCCCGGTACCCAGCGGCTATCGGCTTCCTCCTCGCCTGTCCTCCATTCGTATGCCTCCGGTTCATCCAAGAAAACGCGATCCGCGATAAAGTGCTTCTATGCGCTTTGCTCGCACTCATTGGCCTAACACTAACTCTCACCTTTCCTCCATTCATGGCAGAGATCTCTGGGGTGGTGGAAGCGAAGGAAAAGAAGATGCTGGAGAGGGGTGAAAAGGGCTATGGAAGGGGAGGTGCCTATGCGCAAGCTTATGGGCTGTTTAACATGGCATTCGCCGGGGGTTGTTTGGTAGGGCCGCTCTTGGCGGGCTTTGTGGTAAAAGACAGAGGGTGGGGAACTATGGCTTGGGTTATGGGGTTGCTGAGTGCAGTGACGAGTGTGCCCACGTTTCTGTGGATGGGCGGTTGGGTATTTGGAAAGAAGTGAAATTATACAAGTTTTGAGTAGCGGAAGAGCCATCGAAATTAAAGGTGTTGATGGAAGAATCTATGGTCAAGAAGGCAAGAAGGCATTCATCACTCTCGATGCCGGAGTCACGGTCGATGAAGGAGACACCCTTGAAAGGAACCACAATCCAGATCAAGCTAAGTTATTTTCTAACAATTCTCTAGGATGACAACGGCTAGGCCCATCCGCTATCGTTCTCAAGTTTAGAATAAGTCTTAAGAACTCATTGGACCGACTTTGCACTAGCATCATGAATTCCTTAAATAACTATCCACGAGAGGGGCGACACAACTATGGGCTTTTACAAATTTGTTCCTTCGATGTCCGAAATCTCAATGAGGAGCATGTGGTGGCATTGGACGACATTCGAGTTAACGTTTTCGATTTCATAGTTGAGGCCTTGCGCCAATACCCCAAGAGATACAGTCTAGATTGCACAGATGTTTTGACTAGGAGCCTAGGTGTTATCATTCATGTAGCCTTCACTAATTCTAGAAAAGGTGAAGAGATGAAGAGACGAGAGCAAGCACTTCAATTCACAAGCCGATCCGTGAAATGCAGAATTGTGGAGCTCCTAATAAGTGGATGAGCAACGGTAATGCATGATTTTAGTTGGGAGTGACGACAATCATGTATACGACCTACAAAATATATATTGACTATTCAGACACTATATCAATGAATTGAGAGCAGTTATGGACATCCCTTGTCCCAAGGACATTAACATTTCGTACGCGAGCCGTCCAGAGTTAGACGAGTGCAGTGGTTCCTGGATCCGGTATTTGTTTACCACCTATTGATTAGTCGAAGAATGTAACCAAACATTTCGATAGTACAATAGAAAATTATCTGGTATACCTGCGAAAGGTTTTCTTAGACCTGGTACCTAGTTTCTTGGTTGGGAAGAGTGAGTTAATTCATATTCAATGTTTGAAAGCCAACCTTCGCTAATCAAAATGTAGATTTTGCGCTTCCGAGGGTTATCTTAACTATGCAGGAGTGTTGCGAAGCCTGGAATAGGATAATACTCCCGGGGACAATATGTTTCGAAGCTGGGTATAATATGTATGCAATGTGCAATCCAAATGTGCACAAAATAAACCGTAGTGAAATTCCTGTCTGGCCATCATCTGCCACTTCATCTCTACATGCGTGTGGTGTAAATAAGGCCATATATTTGACACGCAAGCGCTGTCAACGAGGATTACAACTGAGGACGAATCCTGTACAATGGATGCTGCAAGCCCTCTCTAGTTTTATCTCCCACCAGTTTGTATCTTTTCCGTGGGGTTGTCACTCGCTTCAAAAAGGAGGCATGATGTCGGTGTTTTCAAGCTCCGACAGACGAAGATTTATAATACAGCGCCCGAACAGCGAGGAGCTCATCAATGGTCAACATCTCTATTAATCACTGTATAAGTATGCTCCTTGGTGACATTAGGTCAGGACTTTTCTCATTCAAGTCTATTTCTTCAACTCTCCTAGTATCACCAACTTCTACAGCTTGATAGAGGTTAAGACCACAATTTCCGCCATATTAATATTACTGAAGTTACCTCAATGTCGAAAGCGATTCTCATCACTGGCGCCACTGGCAAACAAGGCGGGTCTCTTGTGAACGCATTGCTGAAAGCGAACGCCGACTTTGAAATCTTGGCCCTCACACGGAATATTCAATCGCCATCTGCTCAGAAGCTTCGACAAAAATCTCCAAAGATCAAGCTGGTGGCTGGTAACCTGGATGCCGTCGATGAGGTTTTCCAAAAGGCCAACGAAGCTTCGAAGCTTCCAATTTGGGGCGTCTTCAGTGTGCAGGTACGCATCTTGAACCATGCTTGCAAATGAATATTTGCTAACCATCTTGGAGGTAGCCATAGGCAAGGGAGTGAACGCTGAAAGCGAAAAACGGCAGGGCAAAGCTTTGATTGACGAGTCCATCAAGAATGGCGTCAGTCGCTTTGTGTACTCCTCTGCTGATCGCGGCGGCTCCAAGTCAGACACTGATCCAACGAGTGTCCCTCACTTTATGAGTAAATTCGAGATCGAACAGTACCTCTTCAAGAAGGCCAAGGACAGTGGATTGAATTGGACCGTTTTACGCCCTGTAGCATTCTTTGAGAATCTAACACCAGACTTCTTCGGGAAAGTATTCGCAACGAGCTTCGAAATGAGTCTGAAGAAAGAGCAAACACTGCAGATGATCGCTACGAGCGATATTGGATTCTTTGCTGCCGAAGCGTTCTTGAAGCCGGAGGAATACCAGAACAAGAGCATAACGCTCGCGGGCGATGAATTGACGTACGACCAGTTCAAGACTGTTTTCGAGAAGGAGACTGGCCAAACCCTGCCGACCACTTACAAGTTTATCGTCAGCATTATCCACTGGATGGTTAAAGATCTTGGTATCATGTTTAAATGGTTTCACGATGTCGGTTTTAGAGCCGAAATTCCAAGCCTGAGGAAGGTAAATCCAGAAATGAAGGACTTTGCGTCTTGGCTCAAGAAGGAGAGCCAATTCAAGACTCGTTAAACTTTGCATCTCGGTGACATGGTTGAAGGCAGCAAGAATGACCATTTGTACTTAGTTGTAATATCATTGCTCAGTAGACGAAGTTCTAGATGGCGTAATTTCGGGAATCTAACCTTTCGACTTTTACCAGTGTGGCCACGGCTGTCTGTGCATTATATATGTGGGGAGGTTCAGTCCCTTAGCTGAAGGTTGTTTTCTGGACAAACTCCAAATTACACAGGGCACCTTTGTCAGTATGGAGAGCCAAAACAAGGTCCAGATATCTAGGAGACCCAGAAAATAGACAAATGGAAAATGTAAGAGCATTTTTGACACCAGGTCTACCGCGCTTACAGGAGGACAAATGTGGAGGTTTAAAAAAGGCGTTAGTGTCATGTCATTGTGCGCCTGTAGCGAACTCCACCTGTATTTAGTTTGATAATAATTGTAGCAGAATGCGACGCTGGGCGTTTCGTTCGTGACTGCTCTACGTGGGACTAGGGCTATGGAACGTCTGCATTTGTGAGGAAAACCAGTGACGTACTATTGCGATGTCCCGACGAAGGTATTGCGGACAATAGCTAAAGACCATTTCAAGTCAAGAAGTATCATAAATCGAACGTTAATAGCATGGTCGGCGAAGACGGTACCCTTGGCTTCGTCTTCTACAGAACTTCACAGAGACGGCGCGATGAGGACAGTGCCCTATAGAAAAGCTTTAAGATGCTTGATGAGGAGAAGCAGGTTGTATTCTACCTTTAAGAGAGCCTAATTTGCTCAATCTCCAGATACATCTTAAGCACGAAATCCCCGAATACGTGCCATCCACACACGAGACCGGTGTGTACGTGGGTCTACACAACCGCACAAGTACGAACCTGACTCGTGTGCGCTTGAACGTGAGTCAAGAATCCAAAGAGTATCCTAATTACTATTAGCGGAGAAATGACTTCAAAGTCATGATGGCGACAGTTCAGCCCAAGGACCTTGTTCTCTTAGTTCGATGTCCTTCGGAAATGGCGGTGTGTGGGTAGAGGATCCGTGTATCCTTAGGCAGCTATCGTTCATTTGGTCGAGTCCAGGTGGCGCAGCGCAAAAAGATGTGTTCATCGTGGCGGAAAATTTAAGGCTATGGTAAAGCATGTGCTCGGGCTTAATAAGTGTCAGCGCTTTATTTGAGACTTTTTGGTGCGGAACGGCGGTATTAAGGGTTGCGTTGTCTAGAAAAGCTTAAGGGTATTGGGTAAGGATCTGTAAGTCTTTCCTAGTATGCTGGTGGAAAGACTACGGGGAGCTGGTTGCACTCTAGATTTTGCAGTAAAAGCAGATTAACCGAATTAATTTTGAAGGTATTAAGGAGGTGGCCTCCAGGTTTCTCATCGAGAGTCATATTAGTTCAATAAGGTCTGGGACGAGGAAAATGGAGACATTTGACTTATCCGTTCAATGCCAACTGAATCTGGGTCTGAATAATCCCTTAACGAAAACAGCAACAATTAGACTCCAATAACAGTTAGTCTTTTACTTTATATACATATACACATTCCTACCTGCTCAGTCTACCTCCCCTCCCCCGCTATCCCCGCACTAACATCAGGATAAACATCAAACCTCCGCTGCCCATACAGCGGAATCCCCTTCCTTACCTCTTCAATCCATCCCGCCTTCAACTCCTGCACGCACATCCCCTCCTTCTCATCCAACTGCTCCAACACCTCCGCATTCGGACCCACCACCATACTATGACCCCAAGCATTATACTCCGCGCTCATATCCCTTGCCGGACTACATAACCCTACATAAACCTGATTATCCATCGCCCTCGCCCTCGCCTGCAACTCCCAGTGCAACGCCCCAGTCGTAAGATTAAACGCGCCAGGATAAAGCAACAGGAACGCACCCTTGCGCGCCGCAATAGTCGCTAGTTCCGGGAAGCGGATGTCGTAGCAGATTGCCACCGCGATTTTCCCGTACTCGGGGATATCGATGAGAGTAATTTTGTTGCCCGGGGAGAGCACATCGCTTTCTTTGAATGTGATCTTTCCCGGGATGTCGATGTCGAAAAGATGCACTTTTCGATGGCTTGCGAGGAGCTCGCCACTCGGCGCGAAAGTTAGACTGGTGTTGAAGAGTTTCTTGCCAGAGGCCTCTTTTTCGGGTATACTGCCGCCAACGAGATATACGCCCGCCTCTCGAGCTAACCGGCTCAGCGCGTGGAAACTGGGGGACTGGGTTTCTGTTGGCGGTGATGGGAGTAATTGCTCCGCATATTGCGGGAAGTATTTCGTGCCGTAGGGGCTGTTGAAGCATTCAGGGAGAACGACAATTTTCGCGCCGGTTTTGCTGGCTTCGAGGACTTTGGTGCGGGCGTGCGAGAGGTTGTGCGATTTGTCGGCAGTGCAGGCGAGTTGGATGAGGGCGAGTTTGACGGATTGTTTGAGGAGCTGGGCCATTTTAATTTTAGTGGTGAGAGGGCGATTGAAATGAGGACCTGGATTAAAGTTTTAAATTTGGATCAAGGTGGATTGTATAAGAAGGCGGGCATGGCTTGTTTAGGGATAGGCGGATGCTGCGCGATAAAGTGAGGTTGCGAGGTCGCACCGATATCATGCACGCCCAATGATGTCGCCCCTCGGCTTCTGGACACTGACGCTGGCCGACATCGCAAGAGCCCTGGACACACCACGCTAAACTATCACGACATTGCGACTATGTAGCGACAGCAACTAGTGTTTTGAACTTCTTTCCTATTGTCCTATGGTACATTGAATCGCCAGCTACTATAGAGCTCGCAGAAGATTACCAGATCCGTCCCTTGACTACTAAGAAACTCGAACCCTGCAAGGGTACCGTCCGTTCGTTATGAACAATCCATCCATCTGAAAGTATTAGTGAAGAAAAGCCACAAACTCCATGCTGATAACCGTTTCCATGCAGTAGGGGTCCAGTGACAGCTTTAGCCGTCCTGGTCCCTGAGGTATCCCATGTGCCTGCGCCCATATGCAATCATGGCCTGGGTTAGAAGGAATTGTCGCAAGACTTCTCCAACGCTGTCGCCATATGCCGGCCAGACTCCAGTGTAATGCAAAAAGAAAGAAACCAAAGGAGTGTGGGGTTCTCACTGAGCTTTTGAAACAACGTGTGGAAGAGAGGATGTCTGATTAAACCAAATGTGAATTTGAGAATTTCTGATCGAGGCGTTCAAAGCCGTGATTCCATCAACAGCTGGTTGCAGAAGAGACGGGACTTCACAAGAAGAGATGGTCGAGGGGGTGAGGAATCCAGCTTAAAGGGCGGCACTGACGATAGATTTCCATGTTAGAGCTTGACTTGGCAACAAAAGGAATAGAAGACTAACAGAATTTATGGTGATTTGGTAGCGGGTTGGTCTACAAGCTCCCAGTAGCGATTCCAACGAGGATTGGGATGAGGATTGCCGCAATGATCCCAATATTTATCGCAACGCCGGCATAGGTAGCTGCTTGTTTGGATCTTGGTGTGCAGTACCCAATGTCTCCATTGGTTACAGTGGTGACACACCAATCGCCAAAGAAACGGAAGAGGATAAGAGCTGGCGGGAAAAGGCAGAACATAGCAAAGAGGATCCAAGATTTCTTGCGCCGCTCGGCCTCGATCTCCGGGCAATAGCCGCGTTCCACTTGGTACAAACGAGGAGAGTTCGGGTCAGCAAAGACGGTCCTAATGGTAGCCTGGCTGCCCAAACCCCGTAATGGTGACTCGGTATTCGCAGATGTTGGTCGTTCGCTGCCCGCCACTCCCATAAAGCGAGACATATGGGTGCTATGCCCAGAGGAGAGTGTCATAGTGTCTGAAGCAAGGATCATCTCCCGAAGCTTAGTTTGGCCGTGAACTGCTGGGCGGTTGTGACCCCGTCGGCGGTTGGGCGAAGGAGGCTTTATTGAGTATCGGTGCGCAGCAATCTCCCCAATATTTCGCTTTTTGCCACTTAGGGGAGAAGGGTGTTCAGGAGAATTAGCTTTAAGACGATAATGGCTTGGAAAAAGCGTGCACTGCGAAGGGGAGCGTTCGTGTTCAGATGGCGAACCCGCCTCGGCTGGATTTGACCGCTGGATCCTAGTAAAGCTAGCCGTAGCACCTGGCGAGTCGTAAAAATTGTAGGGGTTATTTCGGGTAGTCCCAGAAGGTGCCCTTTGGTGTTGAGACGACGATCTAGGCTCGGGAAGGTTGGGCGGTCGAATTCTTGTATTGCTTGAACTCCGCCCTGGGGTTGCATAGAAGCCGTACGGGGTGGAACTCAACGCTGCCCCAGGGCTGCTTAAGTCTGCGACACTGCTTCCAGCTTCACGCATACCCGTGCCACGTGGGGTCCCAGTCAGGTTGCCCTTCGGCCCTAAGACAGTAAGCTTTTCGAAAGTATTCTCCCGTTCGAATCCAGCGTCGATTGGGTTTCCAAGAGTGCTCGCGGAGGGAGGCTCTGCGCGAATTGAGCGCCCCGGTGTTAGCTCTTGGAGCTCGTGCTCCTCATCATTGTATATTATCTCCTCGTTTGGCCCAGAATTCAAGAGCTCTAGGGTCTCCTTGTCGCTCAGGTCATATTGGCGCCATGGTGTGCAATAGTATGGAGCACCAATAGTATTGTCTTGATTGTGGAAGAGAGGCATCGTCGTAGATGATTGCGCAAACGACTCACGAGGAGTATTATTGACATGGTCGGGCACAGTCCTCACGCTCGCCCGTGCTAGAAGCGGTGGCGGGGAGGCATTGAATGGATGGCGATGGGTAGGTCGCGGACTTGGGTCTTCGTATAAGGATAGATCTTGCTCATACGCTTGGCCCTCAAGTCCCGGCAAAGAAGCATCTTCAATGACCGACAGTCCTGCCCGGCTGGCGTCATCGCTGCTGCTGTAGTCGGCAATGCTGTCATCCATAGACGGGCGCTCCACCTTGCTATTGTTTCCAACAGTTTCCCAATCTTCCTTTTCTTCCTCGTTAAATTCGCCCATATTAGCTAACATGTCTTGTACAGGGCCATTGTCGCCGAAGTTGTGCTGATTACGCGAGGCAAGATTGCCCGAACTGCATCTCGCCCATATGGCCGGAATGGCTTCATTACCAGAACCTTCGGCGAAAATTTGTTCGGCATGATCTAAGGCCTCTTGTGGCGTTTGTGGGCTATTTGGACCCTCGGGCTGAGAATATGAAGAGGACGGTTCTAGAGCTTGTCCAGGGACAGTAGGGGGGCTTTGTGGAACAGAAAGATGGCCACTGACCTCCGTAGCTGAGGGCTGAGATAATTGAAGCAGATGGCGTGTATCTCCATAAGAAGATGCTCCAGTGAACATTTCCGAAGCATCTTGACGATGAAAGGGTTCTGGCATTTCATCATACTCGAATGGAGATGCTAGCGGCGGAGGCGAATGTTGTTGGAACCGTCTCCTACCTGGTACAGTCTGGATTGGAGAAACGTTTGACGAGCTGCTATCGTTTCGCCGCAACTCGAAATCGAACTGACTGAGGCCTGAAGTCATTCTAGCCGGTTGAGGTCGCTCGATCCCACCATAACCTTCGAAGGGAGGAGAACTGAGCGTTGGGATTGAGCTTTCCGTATGGTCCTGATGGCCGTAATGGTCGATGAACTTGCTGATCGTGTCGGTCTTCTCATTGCTTTGAATTTGAGAAGTCAATGGGCGAGAGGCGCGCCTGCTAAACCGAGCCGCGTTGGAATAACTATACGTACTCTGGCGGTTATAATTGCTGGATAAGTCATCGTCCTGGTAAGTCAGAGGCCCGAATGGGTTACTCATCCTCTTGCTTGAAAGACTTGGTGGATAGCCAGAAGCATCGCCATCATCGCGCGTGTATATAGAGGAGCTCTGGTAGTGGTACAGGGATTCTATATCTTCGTAGTAAGGACTAACCCCCATATCGCCTTCTGATAGCGAGATCCGGGGGTTTTCCGCGCGGCCAGCTTGAGAGGAAGGATCATCAGGGACCATGGATGTTAACGGTGCTGAGCTGTACCGCAAATCTGAGATGCGACGGACAGGTGGCTCTTCTTCAATTGCGCCCTCTAGTCCACTCAATCGGTTGGTTGCAGATAACGAGTCTGGCCTAATAGGGTAACTCTCATCCAGAGGGCGCGGAAAGGTGCCCTCAAGATTATTGTCCGCGAGGCTTACATGGCTTGAAGTGAACTCCTGAAGCTCTTGTTGAAACGGCTCCTCTGGGGTCTTGACAATCTTGCGCGTGAGATTTCGAGTTAATTGCTTCAGCGAAAAGCGCGAATCACCTGCTGACCTCTTTGGTGCTAACGGAGATACAGCCATGTTTAGGTCATAGCTATACTCTGGAGATGAGTATTGCGAAGGGGGGCTGAGAGCGACAGGCTCTGGCTCTCGTGGGAGATTGTTGTCTGAAGCACCTGAAGATTCATCTGCTCGCCTAGTGACGCCACGGTGGGCGGACTTTAGGTCTGAGAATAATTTGCGCGGAGCAGCCATCTGGCGAAGCAATTAGCGCATATGTAATTAATGAAGTGGAACACTAGTACTGACCTCTGAGTACATGAGTGGGTCCTCGGACGACCGTAAGGGAAAGTAGTCAGGTGAATCGGTGTCCCGTGTTGGAGTCTCGATATCATGGAGAAGAAGAGACTCGTGAGGATTGACAAGGTCAAATGAGGTCCCGCGATAGTGAAGAATAGCTGGTGTTGCAGGTGGAGTCTCAGGTGCTGTTGTTGTAAAGCTTATGTTCAACCGCGGCGGGGCGTTCTCATCATTCGGCGGCGAAAGAGAAGGGTCGACGAGATGCGGCGGTTGTGGGAATCGCGACAGCGAAAACGTCGAGGATGTTGTTTGTCCGCCACTCGATCCCAAATTCTCCCCCGATGATAGAGGATTTCCTCCAAAAACCGAAGGATGCGCACCAGATGAAAGCAGAGCAGAATCAAACACGGGAGACACCAGATGAGACTGGCTATTTAGGCGTACAGGGGAAGGAATAGGGCTCAGCCTGGGAGGAGGCTTGGGCAAACGTTTGATGGGTTTCCAATTACTTACTGTCGTGGGTTGATTTTGACTGAATGTCGGATAGCCGAATGCAGTGCCCCCTGGGTCGCGCAGCTCGGCGGATTGTGATCGAAAGGTTCGATCCTGCAGCGCTGATTGCTGGAAGAAGTGCGGTGGTGAGGGCGGTAGGGTGTGGTGGGTAGCCAGTTCATGTGCTGACTGGGAAAGGTGAAGAGGACGAAAAGAACCAGATCCGCCGACAGGCTTGCGTGTCACTGATGGAACACGCTCGACCTCGTTGAGAGCAGCGGCAGCGGCCTTTCTCCGTAGTGTCTTGCCCGGCGGAGTGGCGGATTGGGTTGTCGGAGTGTGCTGTTGTTTGCGATATTCGTGGAGGGTCAGGGTGTGGAGGGGAGTGCGCGAAGAGGTCGAGCTGTTAAGTGAGTGATGGGGGGAGTGAATGGGCGTGACTGGGTTGAACGCGTACGCGTGTTGCAGCGTTGGTTGTTGCAGTGACTGACCAAACTGGACGTGGGCCGCCATGATTGCGATGTTGCGGGGCTGGGCCGCGACCGCAACACTCACGATGGCGGCGATGGTGGTTTGGCGATGATCACCACTTCCCCCTGATATCGCCTGCAATATTCTCCGTTGACCTCAATGCCCTTCTCCTGTCACCTAAAACAATCTCTTTTGATGTTTTCCTCCTCGTTTGCTCGGACGATGGCTAATTCTGGCGAGTGCATCTCGACTGTGAAGCCATTGGTGCAGGGAAGGGTGTGGCAGCAGCGAACAAGCCAATAACTGCAGATCAGAAGCCCGGTCAGTCAAGAACCAGGTTGTTTCCTAACTATGCTGCTCCCCTGCACTTCTCAATTGACTTCTAAATGAGGGCTCACTTTGTGATCTTATGGCCGTCCGTTCTGCCAGAACGAAACAAGTATCCGAAGGCTCCCCCAATTCAATTGTGCATCGATGAGATGATGCTAGGGGCCGTCTCAGGTATTATAGCGAATGACCTGGCTGCGAAGGCAATCCCAAGAAGAGACTGGCAAGCTGTACGGAAAGAGACGAGACTATTCGGAGTTGCAGACCAGACAAGCGGAGGGGCCGAGGCGGATTCGAACAACGGCTGGATGGCGGAGAGACGAAGAAGAAGAAGAAGAAGAAGAAGAAGAAGAAGAAGAAGGCAGATTAGAATTAAAAGGATGGTATAATATCAAAGAGAAGGGCACGAGAGATGGCGATACCCTGACCTGAATCGAAAGAGGAAGTCACCGTTGACGCACCTTCGTCTGCGTACCACGGAAGGCGCAACAAGAGAGGTGAAGGAGCACGACGTCCGCAGTGCCTACCGTTGGAACATGTTGAAGCAAAGAAGGAAATCATGTTAGAGTGATGTGCCCGCGCGGGCCCTCCGCCGTGGCATCATCTCAGCAGCCCACTAATTCGCTTCCATCCACGTTTCTCTGCCATCGCCGCCATGGACTCTGGGAGCCCGAGGGCCTGCGAGAGAGAAAGAGCGACGGAGCATCGTGTGTGGTTAACGTTGGAAGATCAGGCCCCTGTCGTGACCTAGAGTGGGGCCGACGACTGTCCAATCAACCCTCAGAAGCCCCAGCCAACGCGTCCTTGCTGGAAACACAAGGCCGAACCAGCTGGGCTCGCGCTGATGCAGTGTGTGTGCTTCTGCCACCTTTCTGCCACTCATCGCGGGCTCTAATGTCCGTCATCTCGTTTTCGATACTCTGGTCGAAAGGCTCCCCCGCCAATCTGGCATGAGCACTGCTTTGCCTCTCGCCGCCACGCTAACATCCTCGTTTTTGCAACAAATCCGGGTCCCCGAGGTTTCATTTCAGCTGCCCGTAAATGCCAGTCTCGATTCCACTTAATTGTACGAAGTAGAGCAGCACAGCCAGGACTGCGGCTCTTCGGAGAATTACTCGATGAAAAGGGAAAAGGAGACGGGGAGCTGCAAGACCTGCCGTTCATGTAAAACGTTACGCTAGGTGCAAATTTGACTTTAGTCTACGGATCTGTATTTCTTCGATACCAGAGCGTTGGGCTAGCCATGGAGTTCGGATTGTACAGCGTCGTGACGCCATGTGCCTATCGTGAGGTTGCAGGCTCGAGTTCGGATTAGGTGTCTATTCCCCTCAAGCATCAAGAGTCGGCCGCTTTGCCATCGTCCTCGGGCTTGCCTCTCCTCAAATCAGGAGATGCAGGCTGCATTGTACCTGCAGGACACTGCATCAGCCCAGGGTCGTGGCGACTCGAGGCTGCCATGTAGCAAACATGTGTCAAGTCTCACAGCGCGTACAAGATGTGTAGCTCTCAGTCCACCGAGCTATTGAAAGAGAGGCAGATCTATAGGATTTGTCTCCGACGATGGTGTAGAGGGTAGTAAAGACCGCGTGCGCAGATGCGTTGAGGGGGTTCAGGGAGTAGGGCTGAATGCAGAGTGAGGTCATCCATCACACTTTGTTTGGACTTTGAACGGTTCGAGGATGATTATTTCTTTGACCGCGAAATAGGTCTTTCAGTCCAACGGCTACAGGACTCGGATTGAATACAAGGGTGTCACAAATTGCAGACGTAGAAAACTATAGTTGAAGCCGAAACATCGAGGACCAAGACAACATGCTTTGGTCCTACCTAAATTACTGACCCCCTGCACGTGGACGCCGTGTCTTCCCCAGATATCCTTGGTATCACAAATAAGAACATGCATTCGACGACTTCATGCTTAGTCGAGATGAGAAGGTGTCTCTTTGGAAATTGAGAAAAGAGGTAGTGCAAAGGTCTTGCTCAACATTGAGAAACCACTGGGCGAACTATTAGCGTAATTGATCTAATACAACAAACCCTCAATATTCTTGATGGTTCCGAGGCTACTCACCACTCGGCCACTGTCTCCGTCGTCACGACCTAGATCGTAAGAAAGTGCGTAAGTTGTCGGCGGCATTACCACTGTCTTGAGTCATCATCCCGTATTCAGAGCCTCTCGGGCAATTTCCTGCAGCGCTTGCTGAGCGCCGTACTCTTTCAATCCCGAACGTGATCTTGTACGACGGATAGACCGGTGCTGAACCTGCTCTTGACTGTTGATTGGAGATCCAGAGTACCGGCGGGGGGATGGTGCCCGAGGACAGCTAGGCTCGAGCATTACACGGACATTGAGAGTCTCCGGTGCCCAACTGTGCCTGCTCGCTGCGGAGCCCTGTTTCGAAGATCTCTGGCCCACTACAGGAGTGCGTGGCTGCTGTATTGTATGTTGACTTTGCAGTATAGCTTTGCGGTCTACTGGATTCTGATTGAAAGTTTTAGGTCTTCGCGCTGTTGGGTCATCTAACTTAAGAGTGTCCTGGAAAAGTCAATATCTGCTGGAGAATTTTGTATGGTGTCAGGTTCGGAGGCTTACGTTCGTAGGGTATGTGGTGCCTGGCATTGCAACGTAGTCATCGAGCGGATGAGGAAGATCTGCGAAATTAAAGCCTCTGACCGGATGGGAAGGTAGAAACTTCTGACCGATATCGGTATTGAGGTCTAGGAGGTAGTCCTGAGAGGGTTGGTGTTTCGATAAATTCATGTACCACTGCGGATATTGCCCAAACCAACTTTCCACCGCCGCGTCTACATCGACACTCAAGAAGACGTCTTTAACATCATTCGGTTTGTACACAAGCATGACAAAGTCAAATTCCCGCGGCAGGCCAGATCTTTGAAGCAGGTTCTCCTGGAGTGTCCAAACCGCCATGCCATCCTCAACATCATACTTAGGTCCTAGTGGGCTTTGTAGCGTTCGGAGAGATCCCTGGATACTCATCATATCATAGACTTTATAACTGCTATGGACGCCGCCGGAAGGGTTCACGGTTGCAGCCAACGGCGCTTGTGAGACTCCCAAGGAGCTCGATAAGCTGAAATTCCACTGCAGGTTCTCTGGTGATACAGCCCCGTACATGAGCTCAGGGGCATGCTTTAATATTCTTGGATTCGAAGGAGGGTTATTGTACCAACTTGTTTCCAGGCTTTCCGCATCGCCGTGTACTGAAACCCGAATGCCGGCCGATTTGAAGCGATGCTCTCGGGTGTTGTACGGATGGAAGACGAAATGAACGGAGACGAAGTAAATGTTTTCTAATGTTGGCTCGTGAATCGCACTGCTCTCATAATAGCCATGCTGTAAGCGGTTGACATGCGCTGAGACAAACGCATTACCGGGAAGTAGTCGCTCATAGATGCACTTCTGGTGGAGCTGTAGCCTCCTTTCTGGGGCGTTCGGATCATTAGGCTCGGGTTTTGAGAAGAACCCTGTGGACGCCTTTCGAACTTGGGGTTCTTTTGGACTTTGGGTTGGAGGCCCATCCGAAGGAGCTCTCCAACGCTTGAGCCATGAGGTCATTGACGGTGGCAGTCCTCACTCTGGGACTTTCCACAATTTCGGGAAAAGCCCCTAAACGCGCTTTCTCAAACTACTTAAAAAGAAAGGTGTCCATGGTGTGTTGAGGGGAAAGGTCTTTTACGATAGCTGATGATAGAGATGGACAGTTGGAATGGGCTGAAGGGAGACCGAAAGGAAGCTTACAGGTCACGCTAGAAACAGACGCGCCGCAAGAATCCCGAGGCTTATATGGCTTTTTGCCCACAAATTTGAGCTAGCAGGCACCTCTCGCTCTCTTCCGAGGAGGTCATGCCGACACCTTTGGTGTGGAAGCTTAGAAAAGGGTTGTTGAACGCCTAGCGGTAGTCATGTGCGGAGGCTCGATCCTGGGAGGCCTCGCAGTGTTGTGGCCACCCTCCCCTCGCTAGGACTTAGTGTAGATGCGAGATGACTTGATATCATGATGTGCAATTGCTTTTACCCGCCAGGGCTGGAGAGATGAGAGGTTCCTTATCGAATCCGTTCACCCAGAGCTTATCGGGAGCTAACCCCGCATCCACCCAGACATGGACAAGGCTTAACCAGTTTGTCAGGCCACGATCGAGGGAGGGTCTCTCCTAGTAACTTATCAGGAACTTGGGATTCAAGGCATCTTTCTTTAGAACAGGCCAAATTGATAGACGAGGAACGCTCAGGATGCAGTTGTGTCCCAAGGAGGTGTGCTTTTTCCTGTGTATAGTCATGCGCGAACCCCTCCCCACTAACCGTTTTGCGCCAGCTCGACAAGCTCGTCATTTCGCAGCTTGGCTTGCTCGCACAACGACGCCTCGCTCGCGGTGTGAAGCTCAACCATGCTGAAGCTACAGTGAGCATGCTATACTCCGATGCGTCTGTTGCCATGTTGACATCACCAGGCCTTGATCGCGAATAATCTCCAAGAAGTCCGCGCCTCTCGTGTCCCCCCTAAAGACTCGTTTCTGAATGCATACAGCTGGTTCGAGATGGCAATCACACAGTCGCGGACCTCATGTCCATTGGCAAGCAGATGCTTGGGCGCCGCCATGTTCAGCCGTCTGTCGTATCGTCGCTCTCCGAATTAATGATCGAGGGGACATTCCCGTCCGGCACATACCTCGTAACAGTGCATCACCCGATCAGCACCGATGATGGGGACCTCGAGAAAGCCCTCTACGGGTCGTTCCTCCCAGTCCCTTCGAATGAGAAATTCCCTCTTCCGGAAGCGAGTGTGTACGAAAGCACCAAACAGCCTGGCGCAATCGTGGCCGTCAAAGGAGATGCGGGAACAATTAAGCTGAATGAAGGGCGGAAGAGGATTAAGCTCAAGGTTGTTAGCAAAGGGGATAGGCCAATTCAGGTATGTTCGGTTCATAGGAGTGCCAGGCAGAACACTAATATTCATTCCCTTTCGCAGGTCGGCTCTCACTACCACTTCATCGAGACTAACCCCCAACTCCAATTCGACCGAGTGCGAGCACATGGATACCGCCTGGACATCCCCGCCGGGACTTCGGTTCGGTTCGAGCCGGGAGACACCAAAACCGTGACATTGGTTCAAATAGCCGGCAACCAGGTCATCAAAGGAGGAAATAAGTTAGCTTCAGGCTTCATTGGGGACGTATCTATTGCAGAGAGCATCGTGGAGAAGATCAATGCGGGAGGTTTCTTGCATGAACCGGAGCCAATCGGTGATGCCGCGCATATCGATATCTGTACCATGGAGCGACAGGCCTACATTAGCATGTTTGGCCCAACAACTGGTGATTTAGTGAGGCTGGGCGCTACAGACCTGTGGATTAAGGTTGAAAAAGACATGACCAAGTACGGCGATGAATGTTCCTTCGGAGGTGGTAAGACGCTCAGAGAAGGTATGGGTCAGGCTGGTGGACGTCCAGATAAGGAAAGTTTGGATACTGTGATTACGAACGCATTGGTTGTTGATTGGTCGGGCATCTATAAAGCAGATATTGGCATCAAAGATGGCATCATCGTTGGTATTGGTAAAGCAGGAAACCCGGACGTTATGGATGGAGTGGACCCCAACCTGGTTGTTGGATCCTGCACAGATGTGATTGCCGGAGAACATAGTATCGTCACGGCTGGAGGATTCGACTCGCACATCCACTTCATTTGCCCCCAACAAGCATACGAATCGATTGCGTCCGGCGTCACAACAATGTTAGGTGGAGGCACTGGACCAAGGTTTGTGCTAATTTCCAAGTGTGCAAGAGCAAGCCACTGACCAATGGGTAGTACCGGCACAAACGCAACCACCTGCACTCCTGGAAAGACGCATATCCGGCAGATGTTGCAAGCCTGCGATGAGCTCCCCCTGAATTTCGGTATCACTGGCAAAGGAAATGACGCAGAGCTTCGTCCTCTCCAGCAGCAAGCCGAGGCCGGCGTGTGTGGCCTCAAACTGCACGAAGACTGGGGTACTACGCCTGCTGCTATCGATGCATGTCTTACTGTCAGCGACGAATATGATATCCAAACCTTGATTCATACAGACACCCTCAACGAGTCCGGTTTCGTTGAGCAGACCATCAAGTCGTTCAAGAATAGGACGATTCATACATACCATACTGAAGGAGCCGGAGGTGGTCACGCGCCAGACATCATTAGCGTCGTCGAGCACGATAACGTGTTACCTTCGTCAACGAATCCTACGAGGCCATACACACGGAATACACTCGATGAGCATCTTGATATGCTAATGGTATGCCACCATCTCTCCCGTAACATCCCTGAAGACGTTGCCTTCGCCGAGTCTCGTATTCGTGCCGAGACAATCGCTGCAGAAGATGTGCTCCACGATCTAGGAGCCATTTCGATGATGTCGTCGGATTCCCAAGCCATGGGTCGATGTGGCGAAGTCATCCTTCGAACCTGGAACACAGCTCACAAGAACAAAGTCCAGAGAGGTACATTAAAGGAAGACGAGGGAACTGATGCGGACAACTTCCGAGTGAAGAGATACATTAGCAAATACACCGTGAACCCAGCCATTACACAGGGCATGGGGCACCTCATTGGCAGCGTTGAGGTGGGCAAGTTGGCAGATTTGGTTGTCTGGAATCCGTCAATGTTTGGCGTGAAGCCGAAGTTGGTGATAAAGAGTGGATTTATATCTTATGCTCAAATGGTGAGTGGTCCCAATATCACCCATTGATAAGTGTTAACGTGTCTAGGGTGACCCCAACGCTTCTATTCCGACTGTCGAACCGGTCGTCATGCGTCCGATGTTCGCACCCCTTGTGCCGCAAAGCAGCATAACATGGGTCTCACAAGCATCGATTTCGTCAGGTGTCATCAAGTCCTATGGACTGAGGAAGCGTATAGAGCCAGTGAAGAACTGCAGGAAGATTGAAAAGAAAGACATGAAGTTTAACGACACGAGGCCGAAGATGAAGGTGGATCCTGAGAGGTACACGGTCGAGGCAGATGGAATGGTATGTACTGCGGAACCTGCGGAAATGTTACCGTTGACGCAGGCTTTCTTCGTGTACTAAGGAGGATTCGATGGGGTTGCCAGTAGATCAAATTGAAAAAGGACGGTGTTGGATGGTGTAGATACATTTTACTCATTAATCTATTGTTAGCTACGGATGGGATGTTGAAGTGTAAAGTTAAAAGTAAATGTCCAAAGAACGGATATGGAATCGAAATCTCTTGATTCACGACCATGGGTTTTGTCGTCTTTGTTATGTGCGAGGGTGGAGGCGGGCAGAGCAACCGGTGGGTACTCGAGGAACGGATGTGTGGCGCCTGATCGGGGCGTGAAACGCGTCTTGTGCCAATGGCTCGGCCGCCTGCTGCAGACCTTGGGGGGACGACATGCAGCAATGGGCGCTGCTCTTACGGGGGGGGGGAGGGGCGGGGCGCGCAATTTAGGTGAACACGACGACCGTTGCTCTCACTAGATGCGGCCCTCTTGCAGTGCATCGGAAGTGGAGCAAGGGAACCTGGACGCGCTGGCTACTGGTGAGGACGATATGACGCTCGATGCTCAGTGTGTCCGTTGATGGCTCTTCAGGCATTGCGTAGCAGGGTTGTGAGTGCAACGCTGGAAGAGAAACTCTCAGGCGGGGGGATGATAGCAGCAAAATCGAGCCAGACACCCGCCCGCTGTAGGCAGCTGGCCAATTTGGGGGGGGGCTGACCGCCCGTCACAGGTGCTCAACAGCCAATCGTCCGGCGGCAGGGCACAAAAATCTGGCGAACAGGGCTGGGTGTGCGAGGAGCACCCAAAAGCGGCGTGGGCCTCGGCGTGTTTGCCAGCTACTTAGCGAGTCGAGCCCCCCAACCACCCGCCCAAACTCGCGCACCTCTCTTTTCCCTCAGCGTCTCCCTCCCCAACAGACCCGCCCCAACAGCCCGCCTCACCCCCATCATCAACACCCGCTTTTGGGCACCCTGAGATTATCGCCACCGCGCATCGAAGTAAAGGCCTGAGAAACGTCATGGCGAAGTCGAAGAAAGAAGACACTGGCGAGCTCCAGGTGTCGATTGAGCAGTTCACCCGCACCCGAGATTCAGTATGTTGCTGCTCTTGTTGTTTTTCCTTGTCATTCTTTCGAGGCGCGCCTGGGTCGTACCACCACCAACCAAGGATGCAGTGGTGTCGACATCACAAAAACATTGTCGGCACGCATCTCCCGTCTCCCTTTCATGTATTCCCTTGACACCGCCATGTCTTTGATCTATATCGACACCCGATCTCCCCCTCTTCCTAATGCCTCACCCCCCCCCCGTCCGCGGTGCGCCAGAACCAGGCATGTCGCTCAGATCTCTGATACTTACAAGCATGCACAGGTCATCATGTCGCTCACAAATCTGCAAGCGGGTCTCACGCACGTCCAGAATGGCCTCACCGATCTCCTGCGAGCTTACATGCAACATACCGCATCTATTCTCGCTGGGGATTCTGGAGCTGTTGCTGAGACCCTGCAGTTGCCTCCACACATCTCGACCAGTGTCAATGCAATTGCTGAGGCGGCCGCACAAGCTACAAAAGGAGCTCCGGTTGCCGTTGTCGCTGAGGGAGGCAAGCGTAAGAGGAAGCGGGAGAAGAAGGAGCGTGATCCCAATGCCCCGAAGAAGCCTTTAACGGCAGCCTTCCTGTATGCACAGGTTGCAAGGCCGATTGTGAGGAAGGATCTTGAGTCTTCGCTCGGTCCGAACGAGAAGCTGGAGCCCAATGCCGTCAATCTTGAGGTGACGAAGCGGTGGAATGAGATGCCCGAAGAGGACAAGGAGGTCAGAACATTCCACTCCTCTCCTCGGCCCCTCTGTATGTGTTGCTGACGCATCTTGTAGAAATGGAAAGCATCGTACCGCGACTCGATGGAGAAATTTAAGGAGGAAATGAAGACATACACGGCGCAAACCAACGCCGACGCCGCCGCACTCCACGACGAAGAAGAAGCTTCAGACGAAGCCGAAGTCGGAGCCCTTGACTCGGACGCATCCGAGGACTCGGACGGAGAAGCAGCGGCCGTGGTCTCAGCACCCTTTCTCAATGCGCCAACTCCACCGACAGCCAACACCAAGACCCCGCGCGCCAACAAACGTCAAAAGACAGCCACCCAAACTAACGGCACACTGGCGCCTGTCCCCATCGCGCCTGCCATCTCAGGTCACTCTCCCGTCCCCCTCCCCATTGTGTCCAAACTCATGCCCCAGATCCTCCCGGCTGGCTCCAACGGCATTGATACATCCACCCCAGCCAAGGGAAAGGACAAGAAAACCCAAAAGAAAGACAAACCAACTCCTCAACCTATTGCGCCTGCTCTCTCTTCCCAAACCAAAGAACCTTCGCCGGACGACCCAAAAAAGAAGTCCAAGAGCCGTAGTACGCGCAACGCGGAGGCCGAAACGCCCAGCGAGCCAGTGGTGGAGAAGGAAGCTACAAAGACCAAAAAGCGGGATCGGAGCAAGAGGAAGAGTGAGGGTGTTGCTGCTTAAACTGCTCCTGCCCCTCCCCTTCCCTACCCTGGCCTGGAAAGTATGGTTATGCTTATTGGAGATTCTCAGATTCTGACCCCCCTTCCACTTCCACTTCTTCCCACGGGTGGAGAAAGGAAAAGACGAAGGCGACGTGAAAATGGAAATGTATGGATGGCTGTGTGTTGACATGTGTTTCTGATAGTGGCAGCGGCAGTTCGAACCCGGATCCCATGTCCCATCGACTACGTACTGCGATGATTACGGTTCAGTTCGGTTCAGTTTATGTCAGCGCGGTTGATTCTCCTCTGTTTTCCTTTCTAGTTTATTTCCTTCTTCGGCTTCGCCTATTTCCTGCAGCCTTTCTCTTCCTCTTCTTTCGGAGAACCATGGTTTTTACAGGTGGATCAGGAGCTGGAAACGGGGTTTAAGGACATGGTATCTGTCTAGTACTATTACCCACTATATCGTTTATGTAGACCTAGTTGTATTTCATATCAAAAACTGTGTCAGGGGAGCTGCTGGGAGTGGAGTCGAGCAGAGTAAGTTGTATGGCAATGCAATGCATGAATACCTCAAAAGTCGATTGTGCTGTGCATGGATATGATATCGTAATAGGTGAATCTAAGTGGTAGCTAGAAGCTGTTAAGAAGTAGAGAATTTTGTGTGTACCGTTATAGTCTACCTGAAAAGCTTCATCGTCAAGGTATCGGCGTATAATTTAGGCCAGTTCAGCCATGTCCCCACTCCATCCATAGTTGTGTTGAAAGAAAAACAATCAGGGAAATATGTTCCCAGAACCGGCTTCACACCCACGGGCACATACCCCAATTGCTCCCGATTCTCCACCCAAGGCGCAAATCGCCCTAAACATCGACCAGGAACCGCTCTTCTGCATCCTCGAACTCGTCATTCTCTCCCATATCTATATCCTCATCCATCTGCATCCCCACGCCCAGACCTATCTCTTCCTCAAACTGCCTCTTTGTCGCGCCATCCGCAGCTTGATCCCTATTCTCAACTCCCTCCAACATCCTCCTGCCAGAGCTCAACCTCCTCTCCTTAACCTGATTCAAATACTCCAGTGTCTTCCTCGCGCACTCCTCCTTCGCTTTCTTCCTGCCAAAGATATGTCTCGTCTCGCCAATCGGGCCCGCATGCGGACCACCATTCTTGAAGAAGCACGCTAAGGTGTGGAAACCAGTTGGAGGGGCGGAGGCATTGGGGTCTTCGTGGAAGCGCCATTCTGGCGTCGGAAGACCAAGGGAGATGGCGATTTGTGCGACTTGGGAAGCGTAGCTGGTTCCCGGTCCGGGGCTGGGGCCAGGGGATGTTGGGCTGGAGCTATTCAAGAGTTTCTTGGGGCTTGGGCTTGTGACTGGAAGCGGTTGGGGTGGGATCTGGACGACTTTCTTTTTCTTGATCCCGCCGACGGAGGTGACGTCGTCGGGCCAAAGGCCTTGGGATTTGAAGTACTCGATGGCGCATTTGGCGGCATTTTGGCGGGCCGCTTTTTTGTTCGAGAAGAGGTCTGTTTTGGAGCTGAAGGCTCGGTTTGGCAGATTGTCGATAGTAACGACGCAGGAGAATTGGGTGCCGTGTTGATATTCCAAGTAGATGGGCTGCAGTGCAGAGTTTGCGCGCTGGAATTCTAGGAGGGATCAGCTGCTGTCATACTGGAAATAGACTCACAAATAGTTGGGAAACTCTTGTGGATACGGAGGATAGGAGTATGTATGTACATACCGGACAATTGTCCAATATAATTCGGGCCCGGCTCTTTCTTCTCAACAACCTCAGGCACACCATTCGCCTCTCCTGCCCCCAAAGCATTCTTAAGTTTCTTAGCCTTCACCGGCTTCACAATTATCCCTTCCTTAACTCCTTTCCTTACCATCTCCAACGCCTGCCCAGCTAGCATCTCTTTGCCTTCCTGCTTACTCCCAAACGGGCCCTTCTCCTCAAGCACCTCGCCTAGAAACTCCATCTTGACGCTCCACCCCCCACTATTGTCAATGTCGAAGTGGAATGCAGGCAGAACAAGTCCGAACTTCTGGATCTCCGTGTAGAGCTCGATTGTGTTCTTCGAAGACCTAGCGCCTAAGGCAACAGGCACGGGAGCAGGGTTGTTAGAGGTGTTCGGATTCTCAAGCTTTTCGGTCTCCATCATCTTGGAAGTATCTTCTAGGATGGGAGCGTCTTTAGCGAGGTAATTGTCAATGGAGGACACTCTCATGAGAGTAGAGAGTTTGGACATGGACAAGGCAGCCTGGTTGCCGTAGCCCTTGTCATTTCCAGTGACATGGGTAGCTGTATGTAGCTGCTGTACCACGACCAGGTTACACTCAACGTCCATCTCTTCTCCTCGTGTTCCAACTATCTCCATCAGTGATAGAATTTTGGACTTGCTGTCTAGCGCTTAGTCTCCTGTTCCTCGCCCTCGAGCTTAGGCAGCAAAGCGAAACATTTAAGCAAGTTAGCGCCTATGGTGGCTTGTGATGTGGGTCTGCGAGTTGCTGCCAAGATCTGCGCTTATGCATGTGAATGCAAGCTGCAAAAAGCAGACCGCTTCGCGCTTGTCTCCCATTTGTCTTAAAAAATAAGGAAGCGGTACTTGTCTGTGAGTAACTGGAGTTACTGACAAAAGTTTTGAGCAAATTACTGTGAATAGTGAGGGAATAATCGCGATGATAGCTAGATGTGGAGTGAATAACTGCCTCTTCTCATTGCCAAGAGCTTGAGCTTAACTGACCTTTCAGCTGGTTGGTGAGTGAGGGGAAGTAAGCTGGGATTTCTGGCGGGGCAAACTTTGCGGCTCATGTTTCAACGCCCCATCCGCTGCCCGTTGGTGGCGCCTTGAGACAATCACTCCCTTCAGTGCAACTTCACGTTGACCATGTCACCGTTGCTGGTCTACCACGTTGGGACTTATAACAATCACTCCCTTCAGTACAACTTCACGTTGACCATGTCACCGTTACTAGTCTACCACGTTGGGACTTATAAGCATGGTTCCAATGGCTTCTAGAAATGTTAGTTCAAAGGGAGCGTAAACGAATATTACCCCTGTTTCTTCATTTGGGTTACCAATATTGGTGTAAAGTATGTTAAAGAGAGATATCGAAAATCATAAAAGATATCCTCAAAAATACAACGTCCAACGTCTAAAAATTAAGAATTAAAACTCAAGGCCTTCTAATATCCGGCGATTTCGCCCTAATAAGGTTGGTATTTTCCCTCCCTCGTCCTTTGCTCTCGGTCAATCAACCCCACAACACCCATTCCATGCTCCTCGGTTCCCTCCTGGCTCATGGGCTCTTCTATTATTCTAGCATCCGCCATAGCGGTATCTTCATGGGACGAGCTCTGTAACTTCCACATTCCATTTGCGACTTGTCCATCATGCAAAACACTGTGTCTAGCGATGTCTCGAAACCGTGTACCGTGGTCAAAGACACTGCGATGGGTTTGTTCGGCGACGCCTTCAAGCTTCTCGATGAGGTCGGGATAAGGCCAGGGTTTGGTTGGATAGCAAGTGGACGTCGTGACGCTGAGTGAAATGTCGTTAAATGAATTGTCGGTGTGTGAATGCTCGAGGCTAACGATGGAATTAAGAGGATTGAGAGATGGTGCGCGGGAGCCATAATTTTCGTACGCATCAAGATGGATCGCTGGCTCGAGGCAGAGGTTGATGTGCTCGCTGGTGAAGTCGATATCGTTCGTGCTATGGAAGCCCTGGGATTGAGAGACGGCTGTGCCTTGGGCGTGATGGAGACCTGGAAGAGAATGCGTTTGCAAATAATCGGTTGCCATGCTAGGCGCTGTTGCTGAGTGCGGATAGTCGCCGATGCCCTCGAGGGCAATCGTGGAGAGGCTTTCGAGATCGAGTTGGTGAGGGTGCTGCGAAAATGGCTGATTGGGAAACCTCAGCGGCAGGGAAGAGTACACAGAGCCTGGTGGAGATGACGTGCTGTCCATTAATCCCTTGATATCTTTGGCAGTACCTATTCCCTCTGTCTTGACCCATCTCTGCTCAGGAGATGGGAATCTAGCAATTCGCCAGTTAGTCGTCCCAAGCTCACAGGTGCTTCTCGTTTGATGGAATCGCCAAAGGATCGTAAGGAAGCACATTGATATGCCTGTACTTCTTGCCACACCGTATAGGTCTTGCACAGCTGTCATGCATTGCAGCGGACGGCGTACGTTGATGTCAACGCGCATTCTCGCGTTCTTCTCATCGAGCATGCGGGAATCCCTGCACTCCCGAGAAAACCTGCTCATTCGACCGACCCAAAACCGACTTCCAAACTTCATCCTGACTCGGCCAGTTTCTGCATCGTACTCACAATCACAGTGGGTCTCTTTCTTGACAGCCCCTACGTCGATCTGGTCTGCAAGTTCCCCACTATCATAAAAGCGAGTACGGCTTTGCAATGGCTCGAAAGCTGAGAGGTCGTGAGGACTCGTAACATCGAATTGTACTGATAATTCAGAATCCTGGGGAGGCTTATCCGTCATGATTTTGATTGAAGTATCGCATACAATTATCTGTCGATCTCTTAACTGCTCAGTTCCATGGAAGGCCAACTCTGGGTACTGTTGGTTCCACGAACCCATGTCGGTGACGTTGAGATCCTCGAGCCTAGAGTTTTCGGCGAGCCGGGTGTAGTAGTGAACAGGTCTTTTACTCGCATCTTGGACAAACATGGCAAAGTTGGTCAGACCATAAGTATGGTCTGCAGACCGCCCAACCATCTGAGAAGACGGCAATGGGCAGTAACCTTGCCAGGGATTCATACTAGGTGGGGTGGTATGATCATACGAAGATGGCTTCAGTCCATGACGGTTTCGCAGGTGGCCAGGGTGACCGGCAGAATGGCGGTGCGTTTTCCTACCCAAGTCTTCCGTGGACATGTGCACCAAAACTACCTTGATCAGCGATAAGATTGACCAAAATAGCAGATTGAAATACTTACCCCGTGGCATATCAGACAGAATGCTTTTAAGGACTTGAATGTGGCTTGAGACCTGCTTCCTTGTTCGCCTGATACCCGTGTCCTTTCGGATCGAGTCTGCCACTAATTCGTTTCGACCGCGAAATTCCCCTTCAATCATGAGCTTTCGACGGCCCATTGGCGCCCATCGAACCAAACCTAAGAGATTGAGCTCATAGGCGACATAGTCGATGAAACCGACAGCAACGTACCTCTAAAGAAGGCGTGTTCTAGATTATCTGGCCATTTTTGTTCCCTTTCCTTCTTTGTCTTGGGTTGCCTTGCGCGATACTTCCGGTACTTCTCCGACTGCTCAAGTAATCGCCACAGCTTTGCAGTCTCATGATTAATCTGCTCCTCCGACTTCTCGTCACAAAGGTGAGCAGCGATGCCCTCAGCGAAGAAATCACCACCCACATTGTGAGAATAAAAATTCTCTACCGGCGGAAACGATGACTTCCAAACATTCGAGTCATCAGTATAAGTGTTTCCCCTATTACCTGAACGTTCTTGCAATACCCGGCTCGGAATAGCAGACTCTGGAAGGGGGGTCGGTGGCAAGGCTGGAGCATTCGATGGCAGGACAGAGTGTAATTCCATCGGGGAGTGGGAATGCTTGCGGCTGAAAGAATGACAAACCAAGAATGTCTGAGAGAATGGAACGTTGATATTTGGCAGTAAAAGAATGACTGGTGAGAAGGGAGAGAATATGGATGGCAAGCAACGGAGGTGACCATCAAGTTATGATATATCAGGCTCAGACATCCACTCAGAAGGGAGTGTTCACAGCTCCTGGGCACAGCAGGGACTGGAGGGTAACCATCAAGACTGTGTAATCACCATAGTGACATCAAGTCAAGTTCATATTATGCTACCCCACTGTAAGAGAGTGAATTGCCTCCTGGACCACTTTCGCTTGTACTCTTACAGGAATGATCAATAGTGTTACCTTGGTCATGGTTAGCAAAAGAGCAAGGGCATTGCAACTGCCGCCTTTTCAGAGATCATCTGACTAGATTCCGCTCCCTTTCGGCCAGGGAGACGAGGCACGGGAATGTTTGAAGTTGAAGAATGTCAGTCAGAGTAAACAAGTACGGAGGTTCCAAGTGCTTTAGCATGTTAAATCGACGGATGTCTTTCTGGTCAAAGACATTGGAGCAAGGTACCAAAAGTGCGGTGATGGCCATGCGTTTGATCCAGTATCCCATCGTGGAAAGTGGAGTTCTGAGATCGTGCGCCAAGGGGCGTGGCAATTATGTCTTAAGCCTATCGGAGAAAGGGAGCCAAGGGAAGCCTCACGTCCTGAGTCAGAAAGCAAGGGGTCGACTAAGGGACACCTGATGGTGGTGGGCCGTAAATTTTGACAGAACAAGGCTTGAAGGCTCAAGTTTCGTCTAGATTGTCGTTGCCTGCGACGTTAAACTTCTTCCGGCCGCCTCCAGTCAGGTGTTGAAGCGCGACTTTGTTGGCCTGAGACCCAATCTTTTGCTGCATCTTCTCAAGTTCTTTCTCTGGGTCGTCAGCTTCGGCGTCAGTGAAAGCTAGGACAAGACGTCGGCCGAGCAGATGTGTGTTGCGAAGGGCATCCATGGCGTTAGCTGCTTCGCGTTTCGTGGTGAAATCGGCGAAACCAAAGCCACGCGAAGATGAGTCGAATTTCTTCGGCACCCTGACGGACCGCAACTGTCCATAGGGGGCAAAGAGAGCGCGAATATCCTTTTTCTAATCTATAGTTAGCAGTTGGGTGTATGGAGGAAGGGTGCGAGCTTACGCTTGCTTCGAAAGGAAGATTCTTAATGATGATCTTCGTTCCAGCGGCTTTCTTTGCCACATCTTCTTTGCGACGTTCTTCTGCTGCGTCAGCGCCTTTGTGAGAGGCCTTGATCTGAAGCTTGTGCCCGTCAAGGTTATAACCGTCCATGGCCCGCAAAGCCGCAGAAGCAGCCTCCACACCATTGAATTCGACGAACCCAAACCCCATGGAGAGAGTACCACGCTTGGGGTCATTCTTGGTTTTCACCTTTGCACTACGGAAGCCGGCTAGGCGTGCAAAGATTTCGCTGAGGTGCTGGGTGGTCGTTGAGAAATTCAGGTTTCGAACGTACAGAGTGGAAGTTGTCGTTAGTTCGGGTTCCACGGCGTCTTGCAACAAATCCGTAGCAGAGGATTTGGTACCAACTGATGCAGACGGGGCGACCACTCCTTCTTTGAAGAGATCCTTTGGAGCCTTTTCGAGAAACAGGATAGAGTCCTTGACCTTCCGGTACGCGAGGGACTTAAATGCAGACTTTGCTTGCGCAGAGTTTGCGAACTCAACAATAGCAGTCATTCCGGCAGGAGGCATCAGGAACTGCTTAACGGTGCCGTGTTCTTCGAACAGCTTCTGGACCTCGTCTGACCTTATGCCATGGGGGATGTTCTTGACGAGAATGGCGATATCGCCCTTTGAACTTCTCTTGAACGCCTCAAGATCAACACCATGTTGAGCAAAGTAGGTCTTGGTCTCTTGGATAATGTGCGTCTCTGCATGAGCCTGTTTGACCGCTGCATCAGATGACGTCGGGTCCAATAATTCGGCTTTGCTAATCCCCATCCGATCTGCGACGGTGGACATGACCGCGTCAGCCTAAAACGTGTAAGTCTCTCTCTTCCAGCGTTCAAAGTCTAACCTACATTCAGGTACAGTGAATTCCAGTTAAAAGTTGAGCTAGCTGCTTCGGTCTTCTTCCGTATCTCCCTCTGCTTCTTGAGCGGCAGTTTAGATATGGCAAACTCATCGAGCTTGGAATCCCTCTTCAGTTTCGCTGAGATAATGTGTAGAAGACGGCCCTGGAACGCGATGCCATCATTATGCTTGAAGGCCTCCACAGCGTGTTCGGGATCTTTGAACTGTAAGAAGGCAAACCCTTTTGGAGAGCCGGTCTTGTTGTTGACTGGTACGTGCACCTAGACCAGTGTCAGCAGTTGCCCACAATGAAACTGTATTGGTAGTTCGGCCTGGCATTTCGCCATGTTCAGACAAGAGAGACATCTACTAAAATACTCTCCCAGTGGACCTCATGTGCAAAGCATCAGTTGTCCCTATCTGGATGTTCATCATAGCAAAGAAATCACTATGGAAAAAATTATGGTTCTTACCTCTTCTAGCGACCCATGCTTGGAGAAGTGTTCGCGCAGATTGTCCTCAGTCGCAACATAAGGGAGGTTTCGAAGATACAATCTCCCCGTCTGCCTGATCCTGTCTTCCTCGGAGGGTGGAACATCCTGGAGATCACCAGCGGCGTGGCTTGCATCTACTGCCTGATCAACCTCTCCCTCGGGGCCCTCGTCCTCTTCCTCGGCGGCAGGTTCTGAAGGTCCCAAAACAGCAGGAGATTGTTGCGGGGCGCCTTCCTCATCTTCTACTAGGTCCAAGACCCTCTTTGTGCGCGACCGCAACCAGTCGGCATCGGAAACCGGCGCTCCGTCTGTTCCTGTATCTATCCTGGCTGGCTCTGTTGACACTTCCGATTCTGAAAGTCCTGCATCGTTCGCATCTTGTGTCTCAATTGCACTTAGGAGCGCTGATGGTTCTGCTGAAGGCTTCCTTGCGCTGTCCAAAGTTTTGGGTTTCTTCGTAATGACCTGGTATTCATCATCGCTCTTGCCGTCAGACAAAGCAGCCTGCCTAATAGGCTCGGCTGCAGGGCCCAATCCAGAATCCAATCGTGCCTGTTCGTTCGCCCAGCTCTTCACCTTTGAGGGAGGCTGCATCACGTCCAAGAATTCCTTCAGCTTCGGGTCTTGCTCCACATCCTGCTGGACGCGCTTGCGCTTGAGAGCGTTCTCTTTCGCTGGTGGGACGTAGTCCGAATTCGCCAGGGAGTTTGTTTCCTCTTTCGCCTGCCGCCGAGACCTGGGGAGGGTTTCGTCGGATATCTTATTCGCGTCGTGAGCTGTGGGCATCACCACGTGTCGAAGGCTGACTCACCGGCCTAGCAATCTCGACCGCCAACTTGGACATTCGAATGAAGGATTTGTTGAAGTACTTGACCGCCTTCGCCGCATCTTCCGGTGTCTTGTAGCCCACATAGCCAAATCGCCGGTGGGGGAAGTGCTTCGCGTCTGTGACAGGGAATTTGGCGAAATGCTTCCGGAAGTCATCCTCGGAGAACTTTGGCGGCAAACCGCGCACGAATATGCGCGACGAATCCATTTCGTCCTGATGCAGGCGCGCAAAAATGCAGAGGTGAGAGAGCAAGTGGAGCGGTGGAAAGGTGAGAGAGCAAGTGAGCTGGTGAACAGCTCCCGATTTTTTTTCCGTGACAGGTCTGGGCGCCGGTTGGAGGCGAGAGCCGAGGAGCCGCCCCGACCAGCTTCTGGCCTCTGCACTGCGCTTTGGAGACGATCAAAAGGCTGCGAGACCCCATACAAGAACCTCATCCTGCAACCAACCACAGACTTGCGCGTCACCTGCTATTCTGCCACAACAGCCCTATATACAACCTGTTTTCTCGCGAGCTCTCGTCCGTCAATTAACTTATCCGCTTGCAGAACCGCCATGGCGAGCGAGAAGTCAGACACGCTTGTCCACAAGCAAGACGGTGAGACTTTGCGCGCCCTTATGTCGTGAATATCCAGAAGGATTTACAGGCTAACTGCCATGTACAGCCCAGATCAAGTCGGCAGATATGGTGATTTACCCGTTACGCCGCTTCCAAGGCTTGGACTGACACGTCGTACGACAGAGCGAGGAGATGCAACAGGAAGCGATTGAAGTTGGTGAGTATATTTCCGAGCAATCCAGATTTGGGAACCTGAAACACTGACCCAATCCAGCAACCCAAGCTATGGAGCAGTTTAGCATTGAAAAGGTACCACGATGCTATTTGTCTGCTTTCGCCATCTCACTATTCCAAGCATTTTCGGTGCAGGTCTCGTGCTAATCCATGACCGTGACCACAGGACATTGCCCAATTCATCAAAAAGGAGGTAAGCTACAGATGCAGAAATCCCCTGGCTTGGCAAATGCTCACCATTTTCCTAGTTCGACAGCCGCAAGGGCGCGACATGGCATTGCATCGTTGGAAGAAACTTCGGCAGCTTTGTCACCCACGGTACACGGTTGCCCCTTCCACTTGTAGACGATGCTCTAACATTATTCTCAGAGACCAAGCACTTCATATACTTCTACCTAGGTCACTGCGCCATCCTCTTATTCAAAACTCAGTAAGTGCTGCGCCAACAGCAGCCCAAGCACCATGTGACCCCCTGGAATCGGTCTTTGCCACTACTTTTTGGGTTGGCCGCTGGATTGCCTCGATTCCGGGACCACGCTACCTTATCTGGAATGAGCCGGCCAGTGAAATTCAATCCGTTTTGAATTGTCGGGATCAGGGAGCATCACGGCATTGGAGCTCTACAGTTGAATGAAGGCGCAAGGGGATGGGGTTTCACATGATGATCCGGTAACTATGATGATGAGGCTATGGGGGTTAGCAATGACTGCCACGAGTCTCCTTTCCAAAAGTCTGGGGTCCGGGAATCTTCTGTACTGTAACGGATAATTATCTGGCTGCGGTTTGGTAGTCACTATTCACTTAAAATCGTCTGATTCATCCCTTTTGAGTTTTGATAGCTTCTGAGCAGCATTTCATGGAAGTTACAAGTAATTGAGAGAAAAAAGGTGGACCCTGAAATATATATATATATATATAAAACTTTTCCAGTAACGTCCAAGGCACATCAAGGGACCGTCCTTTCTTTCGTTCAAAACCCACGAATCCCCTCACCAGCACATGTTCACCCACGCCCCCGCTCAAGCCTTCCTCAAATACGAGCCCAAACCCCACAGAAAAAGCCCATTACGAGATTACCATACCGGCTAATGCCGCCTCCTGGAGCGCCTAAGTTGACGCAAGTGTGGCTGAGCCCGTGACGACACCGCCAAGCAGCCGAGGCCCTTGTGCATCATTCAACCACTTGGAGCATTAAGCTGCCATCCATCCATTGCCGCAATCCTGCAACACCACACTGCGCACCACACTACGCACCACACTACACCACACGCAACGACCGTCCCCAACTTACGAATCACGTCGCCAATACTGCTCGACAAAAGCACTACGCTCTTCACCTGACACCCGATTTCATCGATCGAGTGCCTGCGACGCAGCAACTATGTTCTTCTTCTTTACGTGTGGCACACATAGTACGTTCCACTGTCACGCAAGCGTCGAGCGCGATGCCACGAGCACAAAGTTTCATCTATCCGCTTGTCGATTCGACATATACCAAACTCAAGAAAAAGAAATATATATAGCTAACCTCCTCCACAGCCTTCACCTCGCGTCTGAAAGGCGCCGAGAACCTCACTGTACAATGCCAAAACTGTGGCAACTTCTCAGGACACGTCTATAAGCGCTGGTATGTAATCTAACCGGTCTCCCCGCCCCTCCACCCCCTCAACCCCTCTTCTCTAACACCCCTGATACCTCCCAAGCTAACTGCTCGCCAGGGAATGGTTCACATTCTGCTTCGTCCCCATAATTCCCTTCAGTCTGAAGCCCTACAAAGAAGTCGGCTGCCACATCTGCAACTTCTACCAAGACATCAAGTACCGGCCGGATGTCCAACAGCAAATGGGGTTTGGGAATGGGAGCCAACCGCAAGGGGGGATGCTGATGGGACCGCCGAGTGCGCATGATGGACGAGGCCCCCCACCAGCTGGCGTGCCGCAGCATCCGCAGTATAAGTAGGGGAGGGGAGAAACTGAGCAGTGGGGAGCGGGGAGGAGTTCTGTGTCAGGGAAGTGCGGGCGGACATGGTGCTCACAATGGGGTGGTGGAGATGCGTTGGGTGAGCGAGGCGTAGAGTGTCTTTGCTTTTGGGGTTTCACAGCAAGGTGAGCTGTCACTCGCATCCACATTTACAAATACGGCGTTCCGGTGCTCGAGGAAAGGAAGCAGATACCACCATTCCAAGGTTAGTTTCATTGGGGGAAGGCATGGCGAACATTCTCGTCCCAATAATTCACCTAATCCTATTCTCACACTTCATACTATCTCTTGTAGAAAGTCAAGTCAGTTTCCCCGAATGTCTATGGGAGACTGAATGTGAAATATCTCTTTCTGCTCTACTTCAAAATCGCGCTTCTTCTCATAACCCAATACGCATCCCCCAGTACAGAAACAAATACAGCGACCAAGAGCATGTACGCTGATCCAGCACTAAGCCAATCCTTAGTCAAACCCAATCCTCCTTGTCTCCAGTCCTGTCGGAAAGGTAATTATACCAGTTACCGAAATGCGCGCCATACCAATACCACACTCTTCCGTGGCAGAAAGCTCCCAGCATCAAGTGATAGTAGTAACATCACCACGACCCTCACCACCCCCAGCTGCACTCACACCGCCCTCCTTCATCACCTTCGCACTCGGACTTCTTCCTCTCTCCCCACCCATCGTACCCTTCCTCTTCCTTTTCATTACGGGAGACTCTAGCTCCTCCAACCCAGACAATCCACCGCCCTCAACATCCATAGACGCTACATTTCCATTGTGACCATATGAAGCACTATTTGCGGCAGTCTCGAAGCTAGTGAGCTCGTCTCCAAGCGCACTCCACAGCTGTTGCTCAATCTTGCCAATGCTATCCTCATTACTTCTATGGCCTGGTACAAACGGCTTTGTCTCATGCACGTCGACAATATTTTCGATGCGGGTTAGCGGTGCGGAACTAACTGGCGTATTTTGCGGGACTCTAGCATGTTCTTGGGCTACGCTCATGCCCGGGGAAGGGAGTAAACTCTTATCGTGACGAATAACAGGATCCGTACTTGCGGGAGAACCGATACCAAGGCCCTCTTTCCTTGACTTGATACCGCCCGATGCTGCAGGCATATGAGCGGGACTGCCCTTTCCATGAGCCAGTTGTTGAGTCTCCTTTTCGCGGCGAGACAGGCTCGAGAATAGAGAAGAGGGATCACGCATTTCGACGTCGGATTCCCAGGACGAAAACTTGGGAAAAGAATGCCCTGGCGGACCTTGATTTTGCGCGAATGGGTACGGCGTAGGAACACGGCTCTCGGTCGGATGCGGAGTTGGAATGTGCTTTTCTTGGGCTTGGAAATTTGGGGGACAATTTTCTTTGTCGCTGGTGTAGGATGCCTGCTGGTATCTCAAAGGGGATTTGTGGATGTCAGCTGATCCTCGCTTCTCTTCTTTCAGAGTCGGCGAGGACTTGTGCGGAGTATTTCGTATGTGGGGATGGAAGTCAGGGTACGACGATGTACGGGCAAGTGCAGCAGCCGAAGGTCGTGTATTCATTGGTGGTCCGGTCGGTCCCATCCTAGGTGGAGGCGCTTGAGAAGTGGCCTGGTGGAAATGTTTATGATCTTGATCGTGACCATGAGAACCTTGCTCACGCTCACGACCCTTCTTCGGGGGGCTTATAGCTCCAATCAAGGTCTCGAATTGGTCGTCTCTCAAAGCCATGACAACTTGTCGTTCCTCTCTCTCTCTCTTGCGTCGGTGTTCCTCGAGAGCTTTGGCTCGGGTTTTGTCATGTTCCTCAATCGGATTATGGCCAGTTGATTTCGCCTTCGAAGACGGCGGAGAAGCTAAAAGGTCCGTCATAGAGATGTCCGGAGTTTCGTTAGAGCTAGTTTGTCTTGTGGACCAGGTGTCCATCATGCTAACATCCCCGAAAGGGTCCCCTAGAGAGTCACCCATAGAACCCTCCCAAAGTCCAGTCCGCAGGGCTCCTCGTTCTCCGGTTTGGGATCTATGAGCCTGCTGGAAATGAGGAAGTGGCTCGGTCCTGGGCCTAGCATGTGGTTCGGGGTTGTGAGGTCTTGGGAATGCAGACCCAGGCCCTGCATGCCTAGATAGTGGCGACTGTGGCCGACCTTCTGATCCTTGATTACGAGGTTTGGTATGAGAAAGGGGAGTGTGGGATGAAGGATGAGAATCGCCCGCAGATGGAAGGAACAGTGGGTTGCGGATAGGCCAGGAAATGCCAGCCTGTTCCAGGATTTCTAGTTCTTGTCAGCTCCTTACTACATTGTAGGCTGCGTTTCAAGCATATACCTCTTGGGGCATGTTGGAACGAGAAGCAAATGAGATCATTTGAAGCCCCAAACTCCAAGTCGTTAACGCCGTTGTGTTTGCTAATCAATTGCTCTGATAGAAAGAGCTTTATCCTGCCATTACTCTCGCGAGCGTCCCAAGAGCTACACATAAGGACATTCGGTCGGAAAGGGGGGAACTGAAGCGTGGGTTTACGTTGACTGGCTTGGCGGTCAATATCACCAATTCCTCGCTTTTCGTGCGCTAAGGTGAAGTTAGATGTCATGCGTATCGTGATAGATCCGAGGATGTTAACGAGCTAGGAGGCGAGGCGAGGGAAGCGATGACAGCCTCTAATGTTATCTGGTTGGGTTGGGCTTATGGATGGGAGTCCTAGATCATGCCAGTATCTCACCAACTTCTTGAGGCCACTTGGTAGAGACCTCGTAGCAACCATGGCTGTATCGCGTTAGCATATCAAAATGCTTATATGCACAGATCCATGCGCTCACAAGACCCGATCACCATCTACAACAACCCGAAGAGTGTAAACGACTCGCTGATGGGGCTTCCGCTTGGACTCGATAAGATGACTCGGCTTTGCTTTCGAGGTCCAAGAGTGGATCGAGATACGGAAGGGTGTAGAGGCGGGGAGCGACACGATGTAACAGATTAGTGTAGGAAGCTGATGGCCATCTGCAGGAGAACAGTTAGCCCGCTAAACTCTTCTCACGGTTATAACCGACTTACACTCGTCCTGTGAAACATAGCAGGCTGTCTTGAACTCTTGGATGGGGATGTGGGAGTCTCTGGGGAAGAGGATGACATCCCAGTTCTCGTATCGCATCACGGCCAACAGTGAGTGGATATGCGGTTGAGAGATGCAGGGAATTTAGCATGCCCGGAATCAGTCCAGGGGTAAACATTCCCAGGTTAGGTAGCTCAGAGTAGAGGCAGGAGTCTTGGAGCCGTGGGCCTTATAAGGAAGGCCTAGACGGCAGAGACTTCCTTCCAAAGCTATCTGACGATCCTGAAGTCTCTTAATCCTGTTAAATGTGCTACCAAAATTTCGGTTGACCCTCTCCAGACTACAGTGAATCAGAAACTAAACGCTAGTTGCAGGCAAGCGTTGAGACACCCAAGGAAACCTGGTAGGCATGTTTCCCATGTGGTGGTGATCCAAGCCTTATAAGGAATAATCTCGCGCAAGTGGTATCATGCGCGCTATAATTAGAGAAATTCAGGCGTAGAGACCAAGAATCGCAAAATAGCAGCAAAACTCAATCAACTGAATTACTAAAAGCAAGTCCATCTTGAACTACTGCACCGTGACCCCATCATTGCCGCTTTCTCATGCAAACCTAGCCATCTTGATAACCAAGCACTAATACACTGCAGGAAAAGAAACACTTTCCGGGGGACGCAAGGGCCCTATGCAACCTCTAGATGCGCACTAATATGCGAATGCAATCCGTGGCTTTCGGGTGTTTGCGCCAGACGCCATGCTAATGAGATGCAGCCACCGGGCTTGAACGCTCGAGATAACCGGGTAAGAATCGAAAGTATGAAATAACCGCAGCAGAGGCAGGACCAATAGTGAGGGTCGAAGGAGGAGTAGGGGAATTACTGAGAGAATACACTCTCATGGCCACGGGATTCTGCGTCTAGACGGTCTAGTGTAGATTGCTTTTGGGACATGCTCAATTCGTTCATTTTCGAGGCTAGCATCCCTTCAGTCGGTCCAGGCATGTCCGGAGGGAATGCACCTGGTTGAGTAGTTGGGATGATCGGAACTATCGGCGGTGGGTGGAGATGAACAGCGTACGGGCTAGGAAGAGAAAGTCAGCCAGAGTCTTTGAAGCGTGGCAAGAAGCGAAGCGGCCGTGAAGAGCAGAGATACCCCAAGAACGAACAGCAAAGCCGAAGTAAGAGGCCGACGAAACGGAAACAAGGCTGCTGCAAACAAGGCAAAAGGCATGCGGTCAAGCACAAATATATGGAAAGCTTGTCGAATTCATCGCCGGGCCCGAATTCATTGCACAATCGTAAGGAAAGCAAGAACCGTCCCCATGACTCAAGAGACTAACTACAGCCAAAAATCCCACCCGAAAAGCCAGTGTGGACCGGCGCGATGTTGTACAATTCTCTAAGTCATCCGACCAGCAAGATTGGGGAGTCGTCAAATTGCAACTTTTATAGTACCACCCAGTGTAGAAAGAAGACCGAATTTGAGGGAGAGTCATGAGGGGCAATCGTGAGATGGAGAGTCATTGCATAAGCCAACCGGGGTGAGCAGGGGCAAGAATCGCCATGAAAGTGATAGAAAGGAATGTGCTTACTGTGAGAAGTCAGCGTCAGATACTTGGTGAGTCTGTTAGATCACCCACCTTCATGGGAGCGAAATTTCCGTAAGGGTGAGTTGGCGGCATGCCCATGGCGGGGTAGACTGGAGGGGGAGGAGCGGGCCTGTACGGAGTACCAGCTGGGCCGGAGTTGTTCTGGCTTCGTCCCCAAGAGAGACGAACGCGAGAGTTGCCGATGGGATAGCCCTGCATCTGGTTGATGGCCATTTCAGCGGCGTGACGCTGAACGAACTGGACGAAGCCGCAGCCCTTGCCCGGAGGGATCTTGACGTAGGTGATCTCGCCGAAGCCTTGGAAGAATGAACGGAGCTCATCCTCGGTAACATATCCAGAGAGGCCGCCGACGAAAACAGTGGTGTTGTTAGGATCAGTGAACTGGTTCATGGGTTGCGGGGCGCCGTAGTATCCCATTGGTGGGGCACCCATGGAGTACATGCCGAGAGGACCGCCACCAGGCTGCATGTTCATAGCACCGGGGCCACCCGGTCCGCCGCTCTTGTTCTTAGGCGTGGCAGTAGAGATACGCATAGGGCGGTTACCGCAGTAAACACCTTGCATCTCGGTCAACGCTTGCTGTTGCTCATCTGGGTTGGCGAAGCGAACAAAGCCGTAGCCGCGAGACATTCCGCTGATGGGATCCGACATGATCTTGGCAGATTTGCAGGACGGGAATTTGTTTTGAAACAACTGGACCAGGACGAACTCGTTGACCTCTGGGCCGAGATCGCCAACGAAGATGGAGTACTCGGGACCGCGCTCATCGCGGCTATCACTAATTTGTTAACGGGGCTAGTCATGCGCCCACGGCGCTTTATTAAAAGGGTACGTACCTGCGATCGGCGAGGCCGCCACCAGATGCCCAGTTGAGCTTGAAGGGGCGGTTCGAGTTGGGGATCAGCTGTCCATTGAGACTGAGAGCCTTTTCAGCAGCAGCGGGAGTTGCGAAATCGACGAAGCAATATCCAGCGTTACTTCTATGTTGTAGTTAGCCCGTTAGATTAATGGTGGCCCCTCATTCGCCCGCTTACCCCGAGAACTTGTCACGGATCATCTTGACGTTGACCTGTTCGCCCATGTTGTACCAAATGCTGCGGACAAAATTTTCGTCGATCCAGGGCTCGAGCTCACCCATCCTGCGCGGACAGTTAGTAGAAGGTCACATTTGGACTGCACCATGCTTTAGGGAGCTTGCAGAAGGACCGCGAGAGCTGTTTCGCGGTCTTGCAATGTCGCAAACGGCGCGACAGCCCAGGGAGGTCTAAACTCACCAGAGAGTCGTCTTCGCGTCGCCACCCTGTTGTCCGGGCCCAGCTCCGCCTGGCGCGCCCATATTGGCGCCCTGGAAACCGCCAGCAGCGCTCTCGATGGGCTGCCCCATGTCAGGCTGCTGCGCGGGGGCACCAGCACCACCGGGCGCACCGGGTTGCTCACCGGCCGCATTGCCCTGGAACGAGTCGTAGTTTTGGAAGCTCATCGTGGTAGTGTGTCGTCGAGCGCTCCGAACGAAAGGAAAGGGTGGGCGTGGTGTCGTGAAGGAGAAAGTAAGATGGTGGCACTAAAGTATGATGTAGAATCGAAGTGGTGGATGAAGACTTGGCCTGCACGGTGAGAAGTTTATACTGTTAGCGTCGGTGAAAAGGCGCGATCTCCTGGGTGGAGCGTTGAGGGGTGGTCCCGTGCGAGGGCCCAAGGCTGCACTTACCGCTTGAAACCGAGATGCCTTCACCGTGGGTAGCAGGCTCGTTGGGGACGTGGGTGAGTGACGCGGATATAGGAACCGTGGTGCGCAATGGAAGCTAGAGCTGGGGCTGCCGTCGCGAGCGGAAACAAGGACTATGGTGCCGAAAGAGATAATCCCTAAGACTGCGATAATAACTCCGGGCGCGCGCTGAGGTGAAAGTGAACGAGAGGCCGCTGAGTGGAAGGCTCGAGAGAGAAGCAGGAACAGGTTACTCTGGCGAATCTGCACGGCGGTCAGAAGGGTTCCCAGGTCCAAGGTCGCACTGAGCGATCACATGCGAGGAAGTGACAGGCGGGAGTAGAGCGGGGGTAAAGTGGTAGCGCGAGGCTCGCCAGACAGCGCAGACAGCCAGGCGTGCGTCTTTGTTCTTTGCGGGTTTGCAGGCCGCTGTTTTGCGTGCTGCGTGCGTCGTGGCCGTGTGCTACCACCGCATCCGCCACCCATCGACTGCGACGCGACGGGCTCGCTGGCGCTGCATCGCCAGCCCACCCACCCTGGTCAGCGCACCCTCGCGATCAATTGAGCTGCAACAGTGCAGCTCCGCGGTGCAGGTGCATTCAACCAGGAGATGGGCGCGCCGGTGACGCAGGACCGCGAGGCTGTCGCGCAAGCTGTGGGCGCCAAGCCGACGCAGGAAAATTGTGAGGGGGGCACTGGGGGCAGACACGCACCGAAAAGGCTATTTAGCAGAGCAGAGACCGGAGAATAGATTGCAATCCCGAAGCCAGAAAGCAGGAACACCGCAACGCAAAGGAATACAAGCTATCAACACCGCACAAAAGGATGGGGATGTCGATACGGACGAGGGATGTCGATGAAGGTGCGAGGTTGCGGGGGCAGCCAACAAAAGACCGCCGGGCCCTCTTTCAAGCAAGCGAATCTTCCAGTTGAATCAGCAGTGCCGGCCAATCCGCTCGGTCATGTGGCAACTCAAGGCGATGGACCGGGGGTTTCTGCGGCGCTGGGATGGGCGGGCTGAATCAAGCTTTTTGTTGATCTTCGATGCCCTCAATTTATCCCACCGTCCTCAGTGGCTCGTAACACCTCGCATCTGGCAGAGACAAGGCTGCCACGCTGCGGGCGAGATCTGGATGGCCCTCGCAGAACAGAGCGGACCATCGCTGTGTCATTGGCCGGGCGTTTGGTCTTTTCGATGTGCTCTCGACGGTCTACCTGCACGATCCGCACGTTATTAATAGAGCGAGCGCTGCACGTAAACCGCTCCTGCATGACGGTGTGATCACGGCCTGCTCGCTGCACCTGCTCTCCTCTGTGGCTGCAGCGCCCGACCTCGAATCTGCTGCATCTTGTGTGTGCAGCAGTCTGAGCCGGCGAGCAGGGAAGAACCGCTGAACTTCTCATGCTCCAGTCTTTGCAGCTGGCTGCGCGACGCATCAGTGGCTCGCTCGACATGTGCCTAGTCGTGGGCCTCCATTACCCAGCAGCTAGCGCATAGACTACTCAACAAAGAGGGGGCGGGGGATGTGATAATGGTGTCGACAACCACTCAGCAACAGAGCCAATACTGATCTTCATGGTACAAGCCAGGTACGAACTTCAGCCTAGTCAAATTAAATACTGCCCATCAACATCTAGTCACTCCACAAGAAATTTAGGGGGCATAGCGTAGAAAAACATCTCTAATTGACTGGTATCCAGCATCACAACCCCGCAAGAGGACAGTCTGATCACATAGGAGCGCCAATAATCAATAATCCACAGAAACATGATGAAATTCGTCCTTCATATTCTTCATACTGTCTCAGGGATGCCATTCGCCGCCTTGGCCTCCCCGAACGAGTCCCTGCCATCAGCAAACACCTTGTCGAAGTCGTACTCGAACCATCTGATATCGGGATTGAGGCCAGCGAACTTCCACTCGCCGTCCACCTTCTTGTACCAGTGCATGTTGAAGGAGTGAGCGTGGCCCTTCACCGCAACCGTCTTGCGAGTCTCGTCCGTGTACTTCTGGTGCGGCACACGAAGCTGGTGGTAGCCGATCATCTCGTCGTCTGAGACCTTCTCCCACCGGGTGCCTCCAATGAAGTGCTGGGTCATGAGGAGGGGGTTTCCGAGTACAGCGGGATCAGAAGCCATAGCAACAAACTCCTCCGCTGGCATGGCTTCCCAGATCTTATCGAGGAAGGAGCGGTAGTCAATCTGCGGTCGAGACTCAGCATTTACTGGGCCCCATGGTTGGAAATTACTCACCCTCAGTGTGGGGGCGATGCATTTGCGGAGACGTTCCCAGTCCTGCACCAACGTTAGTTTCCAAATCGGGAAGTTCGATAGGACGTCCATACCTTGCTGTCGTAGCTATCCGCCCACTCGTAGCAAGCCGACTGGCAGCCCATGACATCTTTCCATGTTCAGCGTCCGAGAACCTCAAGTTGCGCAAACACAGGACTCACCATCAAAGGTAGGTTTCAGTTTAGTCGCGGCCATGTTGTTAGTCTCGGATAGTTTTGTTGGTGTAGAAGACAGCCGATGAAGAAATCAATTCAGAGATATGCTCGCCGCTTCTTTATGATGTTAGATGCCACAAGTTGTTCATACAGGCTTTATATCTCTAATTCGTGATGTTTGTCTTGAGCCTTCCGGGAGGGCTTCGGGTCCCCACCGTCTCGTCGGAGTATGGGGTTCAAGGGGCTGGCCCGAAACCGCCTAACAGACGACAATTGCGGGAGAAACGGGGCCGATCCTCTTCAGGGCCACGGCAATGACGGCTGTGCCTGAATTCTCCATCACTCTGGAGGCAGATGGCGTGCAGCGCTCCCTCCGCCATTCCACTTCACCGCGCACGTGCCATGATCGGAAGCGGAGAGAGCGCCCAAGCTCCCGAGATCCCCACCACTGGCCACTATTCTATGTAAAAACGTTTATACGAGGGCAGTTCTTAGCACACTTTGTTTCCTCGTTATTCGAGTTCGAGTTTCTCTTGTTTCGGAAATCTCAAGGCGTCTAGCAATTCGGACGACGTCTCGGAAGACACATCCAAAGTCCGACGTTAAATTCTGGGCCGAAACGCGTTCTGCACAAGCTGTTCCGAGATCTGATATGCGTACCATGCGACGTTCAAACATTGTTAATGACAATCTTCGTTTCCAAAAAAAAGGTCTTCCTTTAAAGCTCGAAATCGAAATGCATCTAACTCTTGTCACGCAGCGCAATGACGGCCGCGGATGCCAGCCTTGCACTGCCACATGGGCAACAAACTACACAGCCTTAACAGCTGAGCACTCCATCTCTCTATCTAGCTCTCTAATCCCGCAGCTTCTCGCTTTCAACGCCATGTGGCTTGCAACATGATGCTTTTTCTTATCGCTTTTCTCCTCACTGTCCGTTATGCCGCTTCTTCTTCGGTTGAGACAACTGCCTGGACATCTGCACCAAACTTTCGTGGGACGTGGGATCTGCTCGTTTCGTGTGTTCTCACATTAACAATCTGTGTTTGGTCGGCTCTTCACCTCAACGTGCCGACGGAGGACTCCACTCTAGCCCAACGAAATCTGAGAAGGACAAGATGGATCCTTCTGGGCATCTTTGCACCTGAATTAGTTGTTTCTACCGCATTTGCGCAGTATTTGACCGCTAGGTGGCTTCGTCGTGAGATCTTGGAGGACCTGAAATACCGCAAGGCTGAAGTGCGTCGTTCCTGGAACGTCTTGGAAAGAGCCATGTTGGGATTTCGGCTGATTGAATCTAGGGTGCTAAGCTCAACACACCTCCTGAACAGCAACTGCAAGAATGGGGTATCACGCAATGTTATTTTGCTGTTATGGGAGGCATCACCATCCAAGCAGGCGAAGGCTTCGACGGCAGCCCGAGACTCAGCCTCACTCCTGAAGGTGTTCGCCTTCTCTCATTTCTCGGGCGTCTTCCCTGGATTTCGGAAAGCCAAGTACGCGACAAAAGCAAGGCAGATGGACTCGCGAAGTCAATCGTATGTCTCCAGGCCGGATGGATGCTTCTCCAGATTATCGCACGTCTAATTCAACAACTTCCCGTGACTCTACTCGAAATCAACACGATCGGTCACGTGCTATGTGCTCTGGTACTTTACTTGCTGTGGTGGAGCAAGCCTTTAGAGGTCAAGGACCCGGCGTTGATCTCGAGAGAAGACTGGATGGACCCATTCTTATCACTTATGTGGATGTGTAGTCCAATTAGTAGCTCTAAAGACGGGATCACAGAGATGCGCTGTATGGCGTACATCCCCCAGTCACAGAGACGTGTTGCTTCAGTACCCACGATTACTGTAGATCAAGATGATGCAGTATCTGGAAGTGCTCTTAGTCCGCATGAGACTCATTTTTCGATTGGCTCAATTGCAGCAAGGGATCCGAGAAAATGTAAGCCTTAACACTCCGATTTCATGTTATTCTACTCCACGAAACACAAAAATTCCAGATTTGATCCATGAAACCTCTCACTGGAGTTAAGTAGGACCTCAGAGGCCCTTCCTATGTTCCTCCGTAAGTGTAAGCATACAGCAGACATACTAAATCATACTCTACAGTTATTGGCCCTCTTGGAGACTTCCGGGTCGGCTCTCATGAAAGCTCGCCATCCCCATCCCCATTTGACCATCACGTAAGCTACATGATCCGGGAGAAGGAGCTAAAGACCGCTCCAGAACATGAGATCTTCTTTACACTTCAGGAGCCGCATCACGGTTTGCAACACAGCAGGAAATATTGTCGTCGCGCCCTTCAAGATTGCCTCAGGCATGATCCCCTAAGTCCATTTGCAATACAACGGTGGCGTCTAGCTTGCACCCTAATCGATGACCTCTACAACCAGTGTCAAGATCGACCTTCGTACATGGACTTTTACTTCACAACTTCAACCCTTGGCATCTTCGTTGGAGAACCAAAGTACATTGATCGATACATCCCCGACTTTATCGGACTGAGTTATATCGGCCAGACAGGAGTTCACAAGGATCGACTAAAGTCTGCACTATCCTTCGCAGCAGCAGCGTATGGGGCCCTCCACGTCGCGGCCTGGAATGAGTACTTTCCCACGCGTACGGAACGGATATTGTGGATACTGAGTTCCATGGCAATCGGTTCATCGGGCATATTCCTTTGGCTCTACTTCCTCGCAAAGGAAAGCATAGAATCTCTGGACGTATTCGCTACTCGATTCAGGAGTAATAAGGTGCTGTCAATCATCGGCCGATTTGTCCTGGGCCTCTTTATCCTCGCACGTATATATCTCGTGGTGGAAGCCTTCGTGAGTCTCCGCCGCGTCCCAATAGCCGTATTCCAGACACCCGAATGGAGTAATTTCCTGCCTCATCTATGATCGCGGTAAACAGACGGAATTCCAAGTTCTGGCCTAGTCCTCTTCGTGGGATATGCTGTTCCTCCTTCAGGCGCTTCGTATATAGAATTGTCCTCTACCAACTGGGGATCCATCTCCGGCGACACTTGACCTGCTGGTCGTCGCGAGGTCCATGCGCTCCTCGCGCTCCTCTCAGTTCTCACGCTCGCAGCAGATGCCATTCCTTCCCTTAAGCTATCCAATGTTCGTCTGTCGCTCGGTATCGCACCCATCGGTAACGCCTCTTCAGAACCCATAGGCTCATACTTTGCCTTCGCGCCCTTCTCCCCCCGCCTAAAGAACCACAGCGCAGCCAACACGCTCACCACACCACCTACAAACCCACCAACTACCGTCCCAATGATAGTAGCCGTTGCCGGACTTTCTTTTGCCTTTCCCTTTGCTTCCGGAAACCCGTCGCAGCCCAACGGTTTCAAATCTTCCTTCCCACCTTCTTCATCATTTACGTTGGCAATCTCATACTCTTCTGCTACGGCATCCCATTTCAATACCACACGGTCCGTAAAAAGCTTTCCGAGCACCCATACGCCTCTACCATAGCTCCCCCAGCCACCTTTTCCAATCGGCACTTTCCACTCTCCATCATCTCCATCAGCCTTGCCAGCTCCTGGTATCGTAACATTTACTTCTAATCCACCCTTGATCTTGAACATCAACTTCCCTCCCTCCCCACCTGGCTTCCCCTTAAACGCCACAAAGTCCTCAAACTGCGACATCACACCGCGTTCTGTAACCCTTCCGAGCGCCTCACTGACACCATCTGGTAATACCAAAAACTTCACGCCCGGTTCGATGCACGCGGTGAAAGAACCGTTGATGAGACTCACACCTTCGATACCTTTTCCGGAATGCCAGTTCAGTGCTTCAACTTGTACTTGTATGAGGCAAGGTAGTTTTGGGTTCGCCGTGCGATCCGAAGGCTTGAATGTGTGAAAAGATCCCTTACTCAAACTATCGTCAATGCAGCCGAGGCAGAGAGTATGCGGTGTGAGACTCCAACTCGTGGACGGGATCATCGACGCATTCGTAAGTGCCGCGAGAATCGTGCTATTCGGCGTCAGGCCCAACGGCGATCTCCCCAGCGTCCCAAATGCTGTCGTATTGTGCGGAAGGATCATTGAAGTTGTTAAGTTCCAGTGTTCGGGGAGTGAGGATGCGGATGTCGAGGTAGCGTACGCGGAAAGGTAGTCTGTGAAAGTAATGGTTTCGTAAACGAAGCTCCAGTCTGTGAAATTCGTTCTCTGCAGTAGAGATTCCAGCTCGAGGATTTTCTGCTCTACGGTTTTGTTCTCGTGGAATGAACTCGATTGCGTTGGCTCGTACCCTCCGCCATATAGTTCCGCGCACCTCATATACGAGCTGCCCTCCCCCTTCCAACTAACTGGCTCCTCGAAGCTTCCAGGCCCTAGTCCACCATTACGTCGTCCTATCATCACAGCACGCCGAGTGCTGTTTCCAATGCTATGCTCTGTGGTGTTATATTGGATGCAGGAATTCGTGTATCGTGGTATGAAAGTGTTTTCGAGCATCAGACTCGGCGTTAGAACAATCTGTTGAGGTGGTGTTCCAATGGAGATTGATATTCCTTGAACGAGCAGGCTAGGCGCGATAGAAGCATTGCGGTAGGGAAGGACGATGGGCGGAGATAAGCATTTTGCTGCATAGGTGATGGAGAGGAGGCGTGATAGGATGAGGACGAGGAAGGTGTAGGCGTTAGAATGACTAGAGCGCATCATGAAGGACGAATCGAGGAGAGGAGAATTTCGATAGTGAATGAAATGAAATCAATTCACTACTAGACTAGACCAGACCAGAATTGAATTCTATTCGATGCCACTCTTGATGAAGCACGAAGTAGGAGCAAAAGCTTGCCCTAAGGCTGAGGTGCTGCCTCATTCATATACCCACCAAGCGAGTGTCCCTCCCACCTACAATACCCAGCACTATCGCATCCCCCTCCTTCGGCCCCATGCTCTCCAGCTGTGCTGCATTGATATTAAATCGTCCGTGCGTGGCTCTATTCACCCAGGCCATTGGGCATGTTGCATGCACATCAATTTAGGTTCGAATCCTTCCACCTTTTTGAATCGGGGTCTCAATATTGCACTACATTGTGGTATGGCAACATGGATTCGGTGGCTAGTAATGAGTGAGGGTCAGAATGTGGGAAGCAAAATTTAAGGGATTGAATGCTGGAGTTTTGCTGAGCTGGCCGGTGAGTTGGGGGGTACGAGGGTGTGGAGGGGTACGAGGGTGTGGAGGGGCGACAAGGCTTTCGACTTTGGACAGAACCTTGGAAATCGACATCTTTTGGCAGCCTTCCTTAAATACAGCAACATATTTAGATGCTATAGGTGATGTCCCAATGAAGATGCAAACGGGACTCTGTACAATTGGACCTGTCAATAGATTTGGTGCACCGCGTCAGACGTCGGAACTGACGTTGACCGCTTCATTAAACAAACCATCTACGAGTTTCTCGGAGACTGCATGTTTTGCGTTTCTAGCATCTGCTGCCCTTGCGTAGCGGTAGGAACCTTTAGTAATGCCCCTGCGGGTTACCACACTATGCCAGTGGGCGGAGTCGAGCTGGAGTGTCTCGGTACCCTTGCTGCAACTTCAAGGAGGGCTGCAGTTCAGACGCCCCCGACCAGGAAATCAAGTGCGACCCGCCCAACGCATGTACTCCCAGTCCTCACATATCCTAGCTCAAAGCATAGCCAAGACAGAGGTAAACAGCTTGCATGGTGACGGACAAGCTTCGTCGTACTCAACGTTGTGGTCTTGCAACTGGCTTCTCTCTGATTAGCTCCGCTCATATCCCATCGTCGTCGCTGTGTGCGAACTCATCGTCCGGGTCCTCCTCAGGCAACATGACCTTCTCAATGAGTTTCAGAGTTGATCGCAGTGGCATGCCCACGACATTGTCGTAGGAGCCTTCGATGCGCTCCACGAGGATAGAGCCTGCTGTCTGAATTCCGTAACCTCCTGCTTTGTCTGCACCATCCCGGGTTTTCACGTAGGCCAAGATCAGTTCATCGGTGACTGCTTCTGTTAGCCTTGGATCACATGAGCTACAAATGTAGCAAGCATACCACTGGGATCAAACTTGACTGCAGTCTCTTCAACATGCGTCTCCAGAGCATATCCCGGATCCTTTGCACTCTCCAATGGTGTCATTACCGCTACGGCAGTGCACACCTTGTGTAGGCCCTCGTCCCTTAGCATGGTCAGCATCTGGATGTGGTCGACCTCGCTCTTCGGCTTCTCCAATATCGATCCGCCATGGCTGACTACAATGGTATCTGCCGCTATTATGAGCGCAGGCTCTCCCTTCTCCGAATTGTCGATCTCCCGAGCATACACGTCGAGGGCTTTCTCCGTCGCCGTCCGGAGCACGTATTCGAAGGGGGATAGGGACTTGGGCAGGTTCTCGGCAAACGACGAAGGCACTACGTCGAGATTTATGAGGCCAATCTAAATGCGTGTTAGTCAATGCTCTGGCCTCAAGCCATGTGAAAACGTACCTGGGCGAGCAGCTGTCTTCGCCGTGGGGACTGTGATGCCAAGACAACCCGTTTCCCTCTCAGGGACATCAAGGCCGGCAAATTCAGCGGCATCGGCAGCCGTGACGGGGGAGGGCCTCGAGGCGAGGGTAAAGGCGCTGCTCGGTTTGAGCCTGGTGCTGGTCGCTGCACATCCTCGTATGATGGCGGGGGATCCAAAGGGGGGGTGGAATTCGACATTGAGGAGCAATTGCGGAGCAGCGGTAACAGTTTTCCTAGCCGAATGGTTCAGAAGATGAGTTATACTTGGGTAGAAAGGTATTCAAGTGGAATGAAGCGGCTCTTATGTGTGTTCTACCCTCTTGAAGCTGAACATGGGAATTATGTCTTGGCATCAACGCGAGGCAAGTCCGAGCTCAGTCAAGACGCCACGCCACTGATCTCAGGAACCCCGTCTCCTTCCCTCAACACATCATCGAGCCCGAGCTTTGCTCTGCATACAGCCACATGTTCCAAGACACCGATACGAGCATGTCTCTATTTTTGGGTCTTCAAGTCCCGTTTCTCCCTTCCAATTCTCTTCACGGGTTTCGTTCATGAATGCGGACTATTGGACTAATACGAAGTGCATTACGCTGCAGTCGATACTTGGTCACATACCATTTTCTTATATTTAGCCTCGACGATCTTCCGAATGGAGATGGATAGCACCTGAGCTATCCTCCACCTTGCTCAACAGACTGGGGGCTAAGTATCAGAACAGCGAGGTGCAAGTCGACCGGCTTATCGTTAGAAGTCCCTGTTCACGCGTTCCGTCCTTCATGGCTCCATTATGACCGAATCAGGTCCAGAAGTCCTTCTCACATAGTAAGGAAAGTACTTAGGCCTCCGCGTGAGGCTAGCATCGAAAGAGCTCGCATGAAATCCCCACCACTGCAGCCTTGAGCAGATACACCATCAGCCCTCCTTATATCTCCAAGCACAGACAGAGTGACCAGTCAATCATTTGACAGCTTGCTTATAAACGGCAATTGCGGCCTCCCCATGATCTCAACCACCCGGTCGTAGCGCACGTGATCACAGTATCTCAGTTCTCCCCACAAAGATAGTGATCCTGCGCATCCTGAGTTCTACCGGTCCGACCGCGCTGATAGCGGACTCGGGTCCGAAGATGCGCCGTCAGTTGTTTTGAGAGAGCTCTTGCGTGCGAAAGCAGCAGGTGAGGGAACATGTTTGATTACTCAAGGCCAATCGGGGAGTGGCTGGCCTCTGTCCCTCGGATTCGCCGAAGAGCAGGACGACCATCTTCCAACATCACCGAGGCACGGCGTGTCGCGCAGAAATCACACGCTTTCAGAACTAAAGCCGATGCCCGTCCTCTCATCATCGCCACCCACGTTTCAAGCCATGCATAGAATTTCAATCTTTCTGTGCAGACCTTCCAATCGCGTGTCTCTCTGACAAAAGAGGCACCACTGCATGTCATTAGCATCGCTATGATGCAATCCGTACTTTGTCAGGGCATTTTCCTTCACCTCACTTCGCATTTATAAGCTGCCTTCTCATATATAACTCCCTATATTCGTACAATCAACTGCTTCAAATCTACATAGCCTGAGCAACCTTACTCCAGTGTCTTTGTTATATCTGATTTGTAACCACCCCGCTTCCCATTCTTCCGTCACAACATGGTTCAAAACAAAGGTATCATCTTCAAGAAGGTCCCAAGTGGATGGCCGGTCCCAGGGCAAGATCTTGCGATCGAAGATCGACATTTTGACCTCCAGACAAATCCTCCAGCTGGTGGCATCACAGTGAAGAATTACTATGCCTCCTTCGACCCGTACCAACGCGGCAGAATGCGACCCGCCGACGTTAAATCTTACTCTGCACCCTTCGAACTCGGGAAGCCGATCACGAACCGCTCTATCTCGAAGGTCGTAAAGTCAGATTCGTCGAAGTTCAAGCCAGGAGACCTCGTGATCTCATCCGACGTTACTCCAATCGAAGAATATTCGGTCTTGAGCAAGGAGTGGGTAGAGAAGGCACGCAAGCTCGAGAACCCATATAATCTCGACCCCAAGATCTTCCTTGGGGCGCTAGGTATGCCGGGTTTAACCGCATACTCGTCATTCTATGAAATTGGAAAGCCAAAGAAGGGTGAAACGATCTTCATTTCTGCAGCCAGCGGCGCTGTCGGTCAATTGGTTGGGCAATTAGCGAAACATGAGGGGTTGAAGGTCATCGGTAGCGTTGGTGACGACAAGAAACTCGACTTCATTATCAAAGAGCTTGGCTTCGATTCTGGTTTTAACTATAAGACTGAGAAAGCAGCCGAGGCTCTCCCTAAACTTGCTCCTCAAGGTATCGACATTTATTACGAAAATGTCGGCGGTGAACAGCTCGAAGCCGCTATCAACAACATGAATCTGTTCGGCAGGATCAGTAGGTTTCCCTTCCCAGTCTCGCTAATGACGTGACTAATAAATTGTAGTTGCGTGTGGCATGGTGTCACAGTACAACCTGAGGCCAGAGGAGCTATATCCGTTCCGCAATCTTATGCAGATTGTCGGCAAACGGCTCAATATCCAGGGCTTTATAGTTGGTGATGCGAACATGGGTCCGAGGTACGCCAAGGAGCACCAAGAGAAGCTGCAGAAGTGGATTGCAGATGGAACGTTCAAAGCTCAGCAAAGCGTCACTGTTGGTATTGACAACGGCATTGACGGTTTCTTGGGCATGCTCAGTGGGAAGAACTTCGGTAAGGCGGTATTGCAGATTGCCGATTTGGAGGCGGATAAGGTACGAGTTGCTTGAAGTTGTTGTCTTGCACCGTCGCTAACACAGTCAGTGAGACTCACCTAGAAGCCAAAATGTAATTGCACAAATATGTATCTGAGGTTCTAGTCACAATGCGATCTCGGATGAGGCTGAATTTATTGGCGGCCTTTCTCCAGAAATATTCTTATTTGTCTTGACTTCACTGACTCCTGCGTCTTGTTTTACATGAATTTTCTTCGGATTTCATATTTGAGTAACCTCGCTTCAATACGTATGTTTCCTGCTCAGTAATTCGCCGCCCAAACAGGAGATCGGTGCAAAGGCGTCAATCAGTTTAAAAGAAATTCAATCCTAACGAGTAGAATGTTAAAATAAAAGCTATCAGAGAAAGATTTTACTCAAGTTACACCTTTTCTTGAAAATGCTAATATATAGCGTAGCCTTCTGCTAAAGTTAACTACCCATGGTAACTCCGAGACTTTAGGTCTTGGAACATGCCCCGGGAGCGAAAAAGGGAATTTCTTACTATATTGCCATTTTTACCATCTTAAGTTTCGACCGCCTTTCAAGCAGAGACCGAAGACGAACGAATGGAAGTTTTCACATTTCCACAACACGGTTCAAATCTTACTGCTAAGAAGCAATACTATCTATATTACCTCACCCTCTTAAAACCCAACATCCCGGCCTTTATGATGATCGGTAAACGATTTGGCCCATATTTGACTACTTGGGAGTCATAGGAAATTGTGGATGCTCTCTCAATTACAACAAATGTTTTTCTCTACGGGTGAGGACGGCTGCTTCACTGAGGTCGAGGAAGCAATTGCCCTTCACCAAATGACATCGGATGCAGCCAATAATAATTAGGTCCTCATTGCGTTCTTCCTTAGTCCTTTGTTCTCCTGTCTGGATATTTCTAAGGTTATGCTACAGATCCACTCCCCCTAAGCATCCTGTCTGAAGCAGATAAGGTAACTATTCGACGGTACTAGACCTCCTACATCGAGAAGAATACCTTTCTATAGCTTGAACGCCGTTGGCTTCCACACAATTTTTCGTCCTTTCAGAAAGAAAAAAGAGAACAACACGACATCAACCATCGCCTCAGAACGCGAATACCGAGTCGAGGCCATCACTCGTTTCGTCCTAGCTTTGAGCAACCAGCAACTGGTTACGGGCCTAGCTATACTCACTAGTACTCTTGTAAATCATTGTAGCCTTCATACTTTCAGGCTTCTAAAAGTTAATTCCATAGCCTATTTTTCTACAACAACTCACCTGGTAACGATAAAGAGTTTACTCTGGCCCCAAAATCGTATAAACACGAGGTTCAGACCATAATCTCATCAACCCACCGACTCCCCTCCCATGTCAAATTATGGCTCAGCTGCATATAATTCCATTCCAGGATAGTCGCCCAAAATTTTATATTTAATGTGGTGTTTTGGATTTGCACCAGTGCTGCAAGTTATTACGGTATTTGTCTAAATACTCATTCGCCAAACGACCCCAATAATTACCTCGATGTTAGCTAGTCTCTAAGTTACAATGCATATTGTGTTTTCGTATTATTTTTTTTGTCTGAAAGATAGATGCTTTCATCACAAGATACTAGTCTTGATGGAATCACATGCGCTGCCAACCTAATTCACACAACACAAGTCTATCGAAATGACTATGCATGCGATACGTTCTGCAGCCGTGAATGGCAGCCCTTGAAATGGAACTGCTTCCTTCTAGGTCAGTACGAACATCAACGGGAACGCATTCACGTCTTACACCCATCAACACCAATTTCCTGCCTCCGACAGCATTGACTAGCCCCACGGAAAATCATCTAGCTCCTGTCCAACGCCGAGATACTGAGGTCGAGGTGGCACTTATTCCTCATTAAAACGAAGGGGCCTCTTGAATCAGGAGACTAAATTGACTCGGCCAATATTACGACCACTGCATGCTGATATAAGATGGAAGAATAACAAAAAAAAGCGATTGTCTTTATGGAAGGAAGAGAGGGGTTGAGATATATGAACGCCATTTTCTTATTTTCTTTGAGATATAATCTCTAATCGTATATGCCAGGATTGAGATAGGTGATTGTTTTCTCCCTAAATTATTAGAACTATGTACAGCGTTTTAGTGGCGGTAGGTTACACAAGAAAAAAAACATCACGGGAGTTATTGAATGAAGATGGCGCGGATCCAAATATTTGAAGCTAGAAATTGACCATATTAGCCCACTATCTCTACTCTCATCTCCACCGCTGAACAGGTCACTCACAATCATAGCGTCTAAGATCGCCCTCGCAGTAAAACCTGGTAGCCAACATCAAACTCTCTTACCACCTTCGTCCTGATAAGGTACCTTTAGGACTCTCCCTTACCAAGTAATCTAGCACTTAGCCAAGAATTCCATCTCGCCACAATAGCAGCATCTAGGATTATATTCCCAGACGCAATTGCTACGTTTCTGAATCTCGTTCCGAGTCAAGAGGATGCTGCTCTCGAAGGTTCCGGTAACGCCAGAGGGCCAGTGAGGCAAGAACGGCGAGCACGGCGATTATCGCCATTTTTATGAAAAGCTAGGGGATAGGCAATGGTGGATATGGCTTCAGACTGAATGAGATTGTGAGGGTGCCTGAATGGGTTCCGAAGTGTACGAGCGAAGACTTGTTGAAGTGAGGGGAGATGACCTCCTTACACTTTTCCAGGCACAACATTCTTCCCGCTACAGCTATAGCCTCACAGTGTGGACACCTGGTTTTTGTACTGATTGATGGCGCCGCCTGGATGCGAGAACCAGATCGACTCCTACAGGATCGCCCCAACTCACTATAGATTTTCTGCGGATTACAGAGGCCTAACTGGCAGCTTCACAGTCGTTCTTGGAGGTAATTAGATGGCAATCAATATAGAAAGTTGGTGGCAACGAGATGGCGATCGAATAATCGTGGAGCGATATACTCAAAGCTTACGGACGAGAGTGCTAAAAAGGAGTTGAAACTAACACTAGCATTGAATCCGAGGCACGCTCAAACAAATGGTACCATATTTCTTCAAGTTTTCCGGTTATTAATTTAACAGGTTGATTCGGGGAAGACCAACATGGTTCCAAATATCGAAATGAATCAGGTAAAAGCATATATGCGACATTAGAGTTAGGCCTCAGGGACTAAGAGTCTGCGTCAATTGTCTTTGATTGTGCAGATACGTTGGGGGAAGATTGGTGGTCAAGATCTCAATCGATCGTGAAGTATTATCTAGACGTTGTGCTGTAGGATTTGTGCTCTTAGTAGGATTTTCTACACAAAGGAGCATCGCTCCATTTCAAATTTATGCCAGACTCCAAGAGACAAAACATAGCACAACTAATTATACATATCTTTAAGAGACTAGAATCGGAAACATTGAGTCTTAGATGGTCAGGAAGATGGAAGGCCAGGAGAGCGAGCCATTTGAAAAGGAACACTTCGACGAATTGAGTAAGAAGGTGCTAAATGGGCGACAGGTAAGTTTCCTCTATTCGCAAATCCGACCTCCCCACAGTTACTGATTTTGCGTAGATTAAGAACGCCGTCAAGACTGCCCAGTCTTGTGCTCGGTAGATTTCACAGAAGATCGACTGTAGAATGGAGGGATGCTTCGATAAATTGCGTCATACATCGAACGCGGTTCACATGACGGTATGTCAGAATACAGAACATCTTGCGGTACGAGAGGAGGATGCGATGATTGATGTTCCCATACAGCACGCCGTTTATTCTGTCTTAACAAGATACGCCTGGAAAAGTACATTCGCATGGCTAGGAGTGTGCTTCTTTGCTGGAACGGTGGTAATCCATCGTTTGGTTAAGAAACATAAATTCTCGCCGAAAGCGTGAAGGGCGTGTCAGCCATCGTGCAACATGGGCGTGGGTAGACTCACTCGGAAACAACAAGCGACCGGGTTTCAATTCATGAGTATATCTGGGTTCTGCGGCTCAGAATTATGGACCTGGTTGGCATCCAGAATATGGAAAGTCGCTGCGATGAATGAATGGTTGGCTCCTTAGAGAAAGTGGAGAAAAGAGGGAGGGGGAGGGGGCCTTCTATAATTCTTTAGACTCGTAGAGCAGGAATGAGAGCTCCATGTTTCTAGCACATACAAAGACGCCGACGTTCGAAATCGACAGAGTCTGAGAGTAGAGGGCCCATGATAAGTCTGCACAAAACTTATCTAATACATTTATAGAGGTAGTGTCCCAGCGATCCCATAGAAGGGCAAACCTGTCTCCCTGAGACTTCAGTGTATAGGTAGTGTTCTTATCTTGCAAACCTTACCCCTTCGAGAAGACACTCACATTATCTTCGTAGCTCACAATGTGATATTGGGCATTTCTCTTCCGGCCTTTACTTAATGGCTGTAAACAAGCCATGGCGCATTCCTCGGTCCTTCACTCATTGAAGCCTGAACTTCTTTTGACTCTGTAAAGCCTCACTAGAGGTAGCTAACTTGTATACCCAGTGGTGATCCAAGAGCCAGGGAGAGGAGAGAAATGATTGAGAGACTACTTGTAGCAACCAACTCCAATCCTCCAACTTTCTCGAAATAGAATTGTAAAGTGAAGTTAAGATAAGGTGTCCGATAAGTGGGCGAGTGGATGGCTTCACGAGCCTCGGGAGTCTAGGTATCTCCCGACCTGGATTGCTTTTTAATACAGTCCTATCTGGAGCCTGCCCTTGGCTTTCGGTATGCGTAACACATTTAAATAATCAAATAAGAAAAGGCAGAGACTACAATATGAGTGTTGACTTGACTCTCTCTGGTCAAGAATTGTCTAATTACACTGAACCATGAACCGGTGGCTCTGTTAGCCACGGCCGCATGCTTTCTTGGCTGCAATAAAATTTGCGACACTCTCTTCCTTGATATTTCGCAAAACGCAACCCTGAGATCGAGATCACAAAGTACTACAGATCATCTTATTGATGTATCGTAGAAAATCGTGGGAGCTCTCTGGATTGTAAGAAATATTATTATTTGGAGCCTGAAACTGGCTGCGCCCTAGAAACAAACATCAACTACGGTATTGTAGGTATCGGTGTAGGTCCAACCACAAGTCTGCAGCTCCTGGTTTTGATGCCAACCTATCCCAGTGCTAATATCATTCCATGTCTACTTCTTTGTAAACCTTTTTTTATTACTTTTTGGGCATACCTGAGAGCTTATCTTCCCCTCAGTTGTTTTCTGCAAACTAAACGGGCTGTTATGAAACCAATTGCGACTCGGCAGGACACTCTTGCGAACAGTGTTTCTGGCCAGTCGGATGCTCTTCAACCGGTAGACCTAGAGGTGCCTTCGTTCAATTTGTCTTAGTATTCATTGACCGAAACTTATTACTAGTATTGCCATATTGATTGGTACACTTTCCAATGGAAGCCTGATTTCTCTCCATGAATTTGACATCGTCATTGACCTCGCATAGTTCTCGGCAACGACCAATATTTTTACACTCGATATGCTCAGATTATGCATTTATAAGCATTCCTATGTTCGAAACCTCAGGGTTCTGGCCATGTGTCTTTTGGGTTCTCTTTACATTTACGCATGTCGGGACATTACTTCTTGTTAACTGGACAATGGGGGCTTACTCGACCACGCCTACAACTCTGGAATAGCTCCTCAATACACTTTTTTACACTCAAATTCGTATGGCATGCCCGACTGGTACTCAGTATACCCGTTCGTCAGGCTTGTTTTCAGTTACGTACGTTTCTCGCTTCCTTGTACATGGAGACAAGAAACAAGGACTAGGTTGGTGATTGAGTTCTTGAAAAAAACACCTGGAAATAATCCCTATTTAGTTCAGAATAAGATTCAATTTGTAAAGCTTAGTTTGCAGGGCAAAATTAGAAAGCTTACGAGCGAGATACAATACCTGGGTTCTACCATTGAAGGGGGACTTGGACAGAGAGAAGACAGTATCTTTGTGGTACCTCTCCAAGAGATATCAGTTCTCATATCTCGTTGGGGACCACGGTATAATATTCAACTTTGTTTATAGCACTACGCAGATTGCTATGATCACATGTATAGACTATAGTGGGCCAAGGTGAGTTACAAGGTTAGGTAAACGTCCTGGGATCTCATGCCTTGTAAAACTAGCAGTAAACATGGCTTTTAGCTAAGCTGCTATGGAAGCAAAGGCCGCAAGCATCTGCCGAACTCGTATTATCATGGCAGAGGGAAGACTTCGATCCAGTCATTTGATTGTGCCAAGCTACCCACCGATTTCGGCCGCAGAAGCCCCAAAGTGGACAAGATCTGAAACAAACACAACGCCACATCGGTCTCCTCGTGACACAAACCTGCGGATAACGCTGGAGAGACCCACTCCTAAGTCCATGCAAATAACCCTGGTTCTCGGGTGGCTGGTCTGGGGTGGAGCGGAAGCGATGGTATTAGCGCCTTCTTTATTCGGACTGCAGGCGATCCTACCAAGGAATGCAGTTGGATATTGACGCAAGGGGTAGCTGCAGAACTTAGGTGACTTGAGATGGCGAGATGCATAAGGCGTGCTTGGAGTTGAGCCATGGATGGACAAATAAGTTGCAGAAATGAGTAGAGAAGAGCGGTGAGAGGCGGTGAGTGGAAGTAGAGAAGGATAGCATTGGGAAAGTACCGGAAGAAGGTAAAAGATCCAGATCCTGCAGTATTGCACGACGCATAATTTATCCATTACCTGACATTCTGTGCTGCGAATTTCTCATTGTTTGCAAGTTGCTAGAATGTGATCAAGGGAGTAGGGGAAAATATGTACAAGAACCCGTGGTCGTAGAAATGTCTCGTTGTACATGTCCCATTCTGTTGCGGCTTAGTGATAAATTGTGGTGTTACCTGGAATTTGCATTTGTGATTGCCCAAGGTTGTTGAGGTTGGCACTGGTTGCAAGAAAGGTGCTCAGGACGGCACAATATCTGTTTTACATACATTAGTCTCGCAAAGCTAGAGCGCTTCTAAAATGTGTGGCACTTACGCGGCTGTGGAAGTAAAGAGGTCATGATTCTTGGGTCTTGCCGCAACTTGAATTGCAGCCGGAAAAAGAACAAGCGCAACGAGGAGGACAGCAACCTTGACTTTATCGCAGAAGGCTGTAGAGGCTAGAACGAAGAGGGGAACACCAATCAGTAAGACTGCCAAAAGTGAGGCGATGACACGAGCGAGCCTCTCCACCTTCTCCGTGCTGGTAAGAACTATGTATTCACCCGTCGTCTTATCAATTTTATCGCGCTGCGCTTCCGAGGAGAAGAGACGCTATGCGAGAAAAAGTTAGCATAGGTTGCTTTTTTTTTTTCGTTGGCAGTGTGAGTGACATACCCTGAACCATGCGATTGGGACTTTGCAGACCAACTTGTCCAGAGTTCTCTCAAGTGGGGACTCGGACTGCCCAGTAAGCAGCACAAAGTCATCTCTATGCCTCAGAAAATTCATTTCTGACCGCACAATGGGTGCGTAGTTCCAGAGGTAGTTCACCAGAGTCCGATAATTTCGTTTCGTAGGCTTCTGCATAAGCCCTGATCGTAGCTCCCGTTCTAAGAGATCATCTATCTTTGTCAGAATCAATCTCACTAGAGATGCCATTACCGCCGATCTCACCATAATGCTTGAGTTTTGTGTCAATTTGGTCGATCAATTCCATACGCTTCGACTCCTTGTCTTCTGTGTCTTTTCGCAACGAACGTATCCTGTGATTATGCTTTTGGTGATCGTCTTTGTCCAGCTCATTCAGCTTCTCTTCTAGCCTTGCCAACTCTAGTTGCCGATAGAGAATGACACGGTTACGTAAAGTACCAAAGCGTTTGTAAACTCGGAAAGTTGGGTCAGAATTCTGCACTGCGGCCCAGCTGGGATAACCCAGAGGATAAGACTCGACTGCAAAGTGTCAAATTTATTTCAACACGAACATAAAATAAGACGGAATTGATGTTGGCCCTCACCAGATTCGTAAGTCACATTCTTGAAGCGGTCATCGTTGGTGTCCTCAGGATCGTGCTGTAGCGATGACAGAAAGCCGTGAGGCCGAGGCTGCGGAGAACTGTGCTTCTTATCTAATGGTTCTAAGACGATGAGCTTCAACTTAAAAAAGAGAAATAAGTTATCAAAATACCCGTAAGCCTGGATTCAGACTCCTCAGACTCCGATGGCGTACGAACGGGTGAGCCTTGGTCGTGAGAAGCATCTTTTGAATCTACCATTGCCCTGAGAGGCACGGCGTTTTGAACGTAGAGCGGAAGCTCTGGTACACAATTGGTAGATTTCCGATTCCGGGGACACCGTGAAGCTATCATGATAAATTAGCGGATCGTCGAAGCGTTGGACGATTGCGCAAACCATCAGTCTTGGCTTATAAGAAAGCAGTATTCTCCCTGCAAGAAAGATTTTGGGCTCAGGGCGATGCGACGAAGCCCTACGACGATGCACCTAGCAACCCGATATGTCAAGTGGTGCCACGCAAGTAGGGCTTAACAGGGCGACCAAGAGTTTGGGTGCCAGATGTTGGTATCGTTATGAGCTGGCTGCGATGCGGTTCGAGAAGAGATGGCGCGGGACGTGGTTTCATCAATTGTCAGACCCGGAGGAGCTGCTGGGGTAGACACTTAGTCAGGTGAATTTCAATCGCAGCACTAGAGCGTTTATGTGCAGTTTTATGTGTGGGGGCCCAGTATTCAATTCGTGGATGCTTAACTCCCGCGCAAGACACCGGACGATCCCCAGCGCATTGACCCCGCCTGAAATTGACAACCCAACCGAGAGCGGTCCCAATAAGCGCCCACCGGGCAAGATCGGTGACTGATGCTGGCGTGACAACAACCAAGTATTATGAACCAGCGTCTTTGGCATATGACGCGGCTCAGTCTTCTCAGAAGGAAATCTAAGACTGGTATTAATGAGTAGCTATCCCATCCGCCTACATAAGTTATGCGTGATCAATCAACTATCCTGCGCCTATTTCAAATCGTGGCAAGAGGTTTCGAGCCTCACTTCTGTTTTCGGACCTGCTTTCATTCAGGACTTGCGTCTGCAAGTAAATTCCTTTCATAAATCGACATGATCTAACACTTCCTTGCTGATCCTCCAAGTGTCTTCCAGATGCATCATGAGAGTAAGAGTGAACGAGCGGTATATGAGTGATAGGGCGCTGCATCGAAACTTCAACTATGCTCACATTATGGTTTGTTATACCATATGTATTCCATAGACCCTGCAAGATTACATGCGTTAGCGGTGAAGAAGCTGGGCACAGAAAAACTAAGCATGAAACATTACTTACCATCAGACTTGTACAACACACGATAATATTTTCCGTGTGACTGACTCCAAATCCAGTCAGTGGACGAGCCTCCACTAGTGACGGCAGTCTGTTCTCCTGTTGTCCGATGACCGGTTGTCTGACGTTCACCTGAATAGCTATCATGGTCACGAGAATATGCGGTGCTCGAATCATTCGCTCGGGTCTCATTTTGGGTTGACTGGGACGAAGGTGTGTGGATCGAAGCCTGGGAATATGTACCTAAGGTAGGTTGATGGCTGTAGGAAGATGGCGCGTTCGTGGTATCGTATTCGGTGGATGAAGAGTGTGCGACCCTTCCTCGAGGATAATCTTCAAATGGATTAGTCAAAGATTGGTGAAGGAGAAATAACCACAGAGTTAGGGGTAAAGTCTGGAACTTACTCAGAGTTTGAAGATCCTGTGAGCCTTGCCTTTCATCTGGTGGTGGCTACTGAGTATGTTAGCATTGAATCGAGTTCATCATGCCTATACGCACCGCTGCAGGACCTGGTTTTATTTCTCCCCCAAGCCCTATTTCTCCTCTGCCTTTAGCTTCCGACTCACCGTAGTTAGACTACTTGAGGTGTTAGCCACTACTGTCACCAACAGTGAACGGTGTAAGTACGTACAGTGGGCTGGTCTCTTCGACCTTGTTTCCTTGATTGTAACATCAATGCAGTTTTGGGTAAGTCTGAAAGATTCAGCCCGGTGGAAAGAGGTACGAGGGTTCTGCCGCAGCGAAAAGTGCATTCTTGGGCATATGCCCAATGTCTGGCAAGCGCAAGCTGACGAAAACAGCGCCGCAGGCCCTCGTACAATAGCGGGGGTGTGGAAACCAGTAATCGACGAGCTGGAAAGCTGTACGAACATAAGGCAACTTTGACGAGACAAATGCCTAACCTCTCAGGGCTTCAAGAGCCAATTAATAATTTCCTTTTTACAGTCGGGCAGCAACCTGGAAGATGGGCCCCGTTGATCCGAGACGATAAGAGCTCACAGGGCGGGCTCTCACGATATTGATTGTTGTCACGCTGACCGCACTGGTTGCCTTCTTCTGCCTGGTTCTGCAGCCTCAGACGTGGTCACGGTCCGCGCCCGAAACGCTGGGTTAGTGCGGAGAACTGTTAGCTGGCTGAAAAGAAAGCATGGGAAAGTCATTCGATAAACCAATGGCGGGGTAACAGCAATGTGATGCACGTCATGGCTTGTTGCACAGGGCTGAGCATAGTGGTACCCCAATGCACCCGAGGCATCATATTCAGCAACAGGACATTAGGGTCGCACCGGAACATATGTAGAGCCGCATTTATGAATCGAAACGGGGCTTTTCGTTGTATTGGCCCTAGCCATAGCCTTGTTTTCGGAATGTCTGCCCCATGCAATGAGCTTAGTACCGACCATTGGCAGCAGACAGTGCGTATTGGATGCCAGATATCCCAGACGACAGTGCCAAGATAAACAATCACCTCAGCCTTGGAGTCGACTCGGCTGTGCGGGATTTCTGTCAATCTAGAATTGACCACGTCTTTGGGAGGCATTTTTTTAAGGCGGAAGGTAGAGATGCTCAAGCACTAACAAGGTACTGTAAGAAGCCTCGTTGAAGTCAGCACACCTTCTAAAGCAGGACTCAAACACAGACCTAGTTTTCCGACCTGCCCGGCAAAAATCTCAGACATGGTAGTCAAATCTCTCTAAATATTCAGACCTTGACGCATCGCCAACGAGCCTAGGTTGAGCCCCATCGACATTCGACCCTCGTTAAATCTCTGAGACGGACCGAAATGACGTGGATCTCCCATGGGCTCCTGTTGACTAGCCCCGACTAATTGGTGCAGCAATCAAGTCAAAGTCTCCGATGGAATCACCACGGAAGGATGCAAGTGTGCGGAATTCTTCATATTAGGGACATTCCTGCTGTAGCGAGCAGCTAGGTTCCAAGTAAGCTAGTATGCCCGCTTGTACTTTTACTTACACATGCCGAACTTCTGTAATTATGTCAGTCCTAGTATTCCTGTCGCCACTAATTTCCTATGATCCCGAGCTCACATACTTCCAAAAATAAAGATCCATTGATTTCAGGAGAATCGACCCCCGAACCTAGCGCCCACGACGAACCCCTAGGGTATTGTGTAGATGCTTATATATGAGAGAAAATGATGGGGGTATAGTTTAGCTGGACTTGTAACTGTACCCATAAAGCTCATCATCCGAAACGCCAAAAAAGGATATATATAACTGACTTTGATGAAGGGGATCTGTCGATAAAGTAGAGGGAATTTAACCCCATCAGAAGTACAAAGTGAGCTACCGGCATGGAGTGCGTCAATAGGAATAATCATAGAGAAGACCTTAGTCATCAAGGTCAATGACCATTGCATTGGCGAGGAGCTGATTTGTGTTGCTTGAAGATGTGGTCTTTGGGCAAAGGATTTCGGTATCTTTGCTCGGGCTCGTTCGACCCGCCATACTATCACAAGCATATGCCTTAGGCTTCCAATTACCATCCTTGTCGACGATAATGGTTCGAGTTTTCAGCAGCCCTTGTTGTTCCAGTCGAGCCCGTACATCTTGGAGAAAGCCATCCGTAATGAGAAACTGTGGTCGAGCATCAGCACTGCATATGGGGCACTTCCACTGGTCCACGTCCGAAGCATCGCCTTTCCTTCTTCGTGTCTGAAGGAAGGTTTGGAGGTCGAAACAATCGTAATGCAGACATGACTTTCCGCGGACGGGGATATTGCAAATCGCGGACGCGCTAAAAGGATCAAAGAGGCTAATTTTGAGATTGTTTTCCACAATAGCAATCTCGTCATCCTCGTCTATTCCTGACAGCCTCCTTTTGATAGTCTCAATTATGGACGCGGCAGGGACGTGATTTTTGATGAGGCAGTCTTGCTTTATGCTGTCGTGTGAAGTCACTCCAACAATCTCAATCGCTAGGAGGTAATTGCAATAAGATTTGTCCTTAGACTCACGTAATACTGCAATTTCGAGCGTATTCTCACCCTCTGTGATGAACGAACTGATATCTATAGGTAAATCTTTGCCGTAGTGGAGTTTCTTCCGAGGATGGAGGGGGATCCCATTGAATGTAAAGTATGTATAAGGTATCCACGAAGTGTCTGCGATTGCCCATGCGTGTTCATCTGGGAGGTCCGTTGCAGTCCACTTAACGCAGCGGAGACGAAATATTTGAGTATTCAGGTTGATTACCCTGGAAGCTGGTTCGCCAAGTAAGCCAGGCACATCTGCCGGAAGAGTTCGGAGCTCCTCGCTAGAAATACGTAGAATCCATTGCTCGATCCTGTCCCCAGCGGCTGCAAGCCGTGCTGGACGCTTAGCGAACCCCTTTACGTATTGATATAGATTCAGATCTTTTAGCTGCGATCGAAGCAAAGGGCTGCGGAGATGAGCTAGGTGGAGGGCGGAACGGTCCGGCCTTGGTTGGACGGGCTGTGGCTGTGTCACGCCCCTGTTGGGTAGAAGAGGACGGTTCCGTTGAGGACCTGGTTGAGCTAGATGAGGCGCCATATGAGGGGGGGTATGGCCATGGATACGAGGTCTTCCGCGACGGGCTTGGAAGGGCGTTTGGGAGAGAGGGGGTGAGAGTTGGGCGGCCGTTTGTGCTCCATGATTGCTCGGCAATGCCACGCGATTTCCGTGCGACACGAGCTGGTTTCGCAGGTTCAAAGTGGAACCATGATCGATTGGCACTGACGGCCGAAGGGTGGGTGAATGGGTATTCTGAGGATGTCCTCGTGACGGATGGTGAGGTTGTACATGAGATTGGTGAGGCAAGTCCGACCCCTGAAAGCGGAATGTGCTAGCATAAAGCTCACCCACCTGTCTGAGCTGCACGCCCCATTGCTGGTGCTCTAAGGCTCGTTCCTGGTTTTCGTAGTCCGATGGCGCATTCCTTGGTCGATTATCTCGTTGGCGAAGGAAGTCGGTTTGATTCTTGTGAAGCAAAGCAATTGCTCGCCCCTCCAGCTGCGCGAACGTCCGAGACCGCGGCCCATTATATGACCAGATGCGCCGGAGGATTGCCGTGAAAACAATCTTTTGGAAAATGATCGAAACGATACCTAGATCATGGACTAGCTCTCCAGCAAGTGGAGGGTATTTCCTTTGTTGGCATGCTAAACTTAGGTTGTCGTAGTTGGTTGAACAGGTGATAAAGTGGAATAACGTTCGTTGTTCTTGTTCATATCTACGGGGCCAATTGCGCTTTATCCGGGGGGCCGGCAAAGGAAAGTTCGCAAAAAAGAAGAGTACTGGCGACGACAGTTTTTCATTGCCATCTAGAACGTCGCGCATCAGTTTGATTGCTTGGCCAAGATTTGGATGACCATGAATGGCTTGCGGTAGGCATTGAGGCTCTGTATTGAGGAGGCAGTAAGACTGGTGGAGTGTAAGGTAAGCCCAATCCTGCTTGTCTATGGCAGCTCTTAGAACATCCAGTCGTCCTTTATCCCGTGGGTGCGCTGGAGAGTCTCTGTACGTAGACAGAAAGCTTTCGAACGCATCTAGACAATGTTCCCAGCTGAGGTACTCAGAAGGTATTGAGTGCGACACCAGGAGTGGTGATTGAACCTGCGGAGCAGAGGTATGATTTCCGGAAGGCAGTGCGGACGGATGCTGGGCAAACCCACGGGACAAAGCCCGTGGAGGACCAAAGGCGCCTTGTATCTGTGGAGGAGCCGCGCTTACTGAGGGAGATTGAGGACGACTATGCATGCCTCGATCGAGTTGCTGAGTTCCAGTCTCATTTCCAGCTCCATCGTCTGCTAGTGGATCACGTGCCTGAGCTTGGCTTGCCACGTTTATAGGCAATTGTTCGAGGAAATCCAGGTTGGAGATGTGGCCCCGATTTGACTGGCCGCTCTCGAGACGTCTGAGCTTGTTTGCTTCGGCGACGTTCATCTCTATCGGCCTTTTGGGTGAACCTGCAGCTTCTCGGAGCCTTTCCATAAACTGAATCTCGAGTCTCATTTCACCAGGAGAACCAACTGGGCTGTCCGGAGCAGTGGCATCTCTGCCATCTCCGCCTCTGAGCCTTGATACTAATATATTCTCATTGATAGCGGCAAGCGTCGGGATCGAATCATTATTCGTCTCTTCACTTGGGGCAGGGGAGGGAAGTACAACGTTCGGTGAAGGTAAGGGAGAGCGGTGGCTCTGATGTGAGAAGACGTTGGCCAACTGTGGCGAAGTGGAATTGGAGGGGGGGTGTCTGTCTGGAGGCGACTCAACCGTAGGGCTGGCGGGGACAGAGGGTACTTGAGGAGGTTGTAGCAGCCGCTCGGTCCGCGACTTTGTGGGCTGCGGCTTGCGTTTGACAACGGGAGGGAGCACATTCACGTTAGGCGTATTCGTACTTGAAGTCATCCACGGCTTTTGCTTTCCAAGGTTTCCCAGCGCAGCATTCAGCGCATGTTGCTGGGAGGCAAGGTCGGCGGCGGAGACATGGTGCGCCGGGGCGCGACGACCAGCCGTCATATTCCCCTCGATGAGGACAGCAGGGACACAGGATGGCAGCGGGAACAGATGTTTGGCTGCGAGATGAGCCCTTCGACCAGTAACCACAATCGCAATGGATGCGGGGAGATCATTATGGGTCTGGAGAGGGGTTGCAGCCTGCTCTTATTTGTAGAGCACAAGGGAAACGACCATAACACTGGCGCGTGCTATGTGGGGTGAAGAGTGAATGCTCTGGTCCGGATAGAGAAGAAGGTAGCAGCGACCGAGGGGTGATAGGGTACAGCAGGAGAGAGCAGGATCATGGGAGATGGCGTCGTGAAGGATGAACAAAGCGTGAGCGGTGAATGGGCCGCTAAGCCGGAATCGGCTCGCGTAGACGCCTTGATCACGGGACTTGCTTCAGCTTTCCACAGGGAGGAGTTCAAGGCTGGCAGGGCTGATGAGGGTTGGGGTCGGGGCGGTGCAGTCGTCTGAGACTCTGAATGTGGTGCGTTTCCCTAGTCGTGGTACTATATTCGCTGTGGCGGCTATTCAGATATCCGGCCTGTGAAGGAGAGAAATGGCCGCTGGCGTTTCTCGCCTGTGATCAATAGGAGATGTTGGCCAAGTGGCTGCCAACCCCAATCTGTTCTCGACCTCTCCAACCAAGAACCGAACGCCACGATACACGCACCGACGAGCCTCTGTGCTCTGTAACAATTCGCTCGCCGTCTGTCCCCGTCGCTCGCAGCCTCGGACCGCAGCCTGCGTGGAGGTGCTGCGTCGTCTCCGAACCCCAGTCAGGGCCGTTGTCTCCTCCACTCCACTGGCAGCGCCACGTCTGAGGGCTGCAGGGCCAACCTTCCGCAACTGCATGATGAACTTTCACGCTGTGCGAAGGTGGTAGTCGCCAACAACACATCGACTACCTTTTGCGCCGCCTCCCCTCGCTCTTCCTCCGCCAGACTGACACCATGGCCACCAGAAGCCAGCCCGAGCACTCGCAACCCGGCGACATGCTCATTGTTGTGCGTAAGTGCACCATCCAGGGTTCCGCATGAGATGCACTCGCGGGATGAGATGAGGCTGACATTCCGCTGCAGACGAATTCCAAGCCCGAAGTCCGGATGAGCTGAGTCTGGCGCGAGGTGACCGTATCGAACTTATTGAGCGCGACGACGATTTCGGCGATGGCTGGTTTTTGGGCAGAAACACCCAGAACGGGGACAACGGGCTCTTTCCTGAAGGTATGGATTCCTCTTGCCTTGGTACTCTAGAGTCGAAGCCAATAGGACCGGGGCTGTTGCACTCGTCTATTAGCTCCTCTTTGGTTTTTCCGTCCTTCAAGTCTAACTTCAACTCTAGTCTACACGCGACCTGCTCCAAAACCGACCATCACCGCACCCGCTCATCACCGTGCGACTTCACAACCGTCTGTAGGAGCCACGACACTCCACGATGGTGCCCCAGCCCCAGCCGTTGAACCTGGCACTGCCATCTCCGATTCTCACGTCTCCGATTCCCATGCCACTCAGTCCTTGACTACAACGGACCAGCCCCTTCCTCAGCCGGCGGCGCTGGAACCAGCAGCCGAAATGGAGCCTCATACAACAACGCCTCTGCACATCTCGAGCCCAAACGTGGCCGCCCAGATGGGTTCTTCGAACCGGACGTCTCTCCCTGTCGCCACGCGGAGTATCAGCATAGCATTCGGTGGAGACCCGGGCAGCATAGGGAGCCCGGTGATGAATGAGACGCTGAGCGTTATTGACGAGCATATTACCGATATGAGCACGCCCCGGCATAGCATCGCGGGGAAGGATCTGAGAGCAAATGATTCAGGGAGCGAGTACAGCAGTCACCATCGCCTCTCGTACATAAATGGCCAAGAGACAGAGGAAGAGGAGCAAAACTTACACACTGAAGAGGAAGTCATAATATGGACACCCGCACAAGTCGCGGAATATCTAGAGGACGTCGGCGTGGAAAAGAAGCATTGCGACATCTTCAAAGAGCAGGAGATCTCTGGGGAGGTTCTTCTTGGCATGGATCAAGCAACCATCTTCCTCAAGGAGTTCGAGTTGGGGCCTGTGGGCCCGCGGCTTCGGACGTGGTTAAAAATAAAAGCATTGCAGCAGGAGGTCAAGACTCTGAAGGATGCTTCGAAGGGCATACCCCACTTCGATGCCCCCGATGAGCCGATAGCAGAGCCCGTTAGAAATCGAGCTACATCCATGGGCGCCGTCCTCCCGAGGATTCCGAGCTTAAGAGAAGCGCAAGGCGCGAAGGGCGGCTCAATGAGACAACCCCTTCCACGTGCACACTCCACAGCCGGCCACTCTCCGTCCCCTATTCAAGAAGCTACTTCACCACTTGCACATACCACGCCATCCTCCCCTCAGCCAGGGACGCCCACTCGTCCTTCTGCTGCATCTGTTCGAAGTCTAAACCACAACAGACACTCGTCCATCGATTTTTCCGTAAATCCACCTACCCCAAGCTCAATTGGAACAGGAAAGTCGCAAGTCACCACTCAAGCCCCAGCACCACCTTCCCACAAGAAGATGCCATCATTTGACCGCAACTGGTCGATGGGCTCGCCACAGAAACCTGCTCAGGACTTAAGGAGGCCATCCTCATCAAACCACATGCACTCAGCCAGCGCAGACGGGGCTGCATATGACACATCTGGGGTGAACCGTGATCTTGGCATGAGTATTGTGAGTGCCGCCGACCTGGATCGGGGTTACTTCTCTGGCGGGGAGGTGGACAACCGGAAAGGTAGGAATGTTCTTCGAAAGAAGGAGAGCCCCAACCATTCCCGCAACCCCAGCTATAGCACTGAAGCTGGACGACGAGCTGCCTACAATCGACGTCATAGTAGAGTCGGGAGTTCGGATTCGGTAGCTGAATCAGTTAGCCCGATCTCTCCGGCCGCAAAGGCGTACTACGGTGCCAATATCAAAAGCCATCGTAGTTCGAGTGCGTTTGATTTCGTTCGGCCGCTGAAGCCTATGAACGATAGGTCCCCTACGGTAACTAAGCTTGAGTACGGAGATTCCCCGAGTATTGATGCAATCGCGAATTCTCCTGCCCTTCCTGGCAGTGAAACGTCCTCACAAGGACGAGCGTCACCTTCACCCGCCGTCCAAAGTCACTCCCACTCCTTCTTTAGTAAGAAGTCAAGAGGCGCCGGTCTCCGTGCAATTTCAGACGCAATCACTGGAAGCGAGAAGGCGCATGCAAGCGCGGCAGACATTAATACATCGCCCATCAAGGAGTCCCCAATGCAATCACCCACACGCACCGGCTCCAGTACACCATCTGGCACCTCCATCTCCAAGAGCTTCGATCTCGAAAATCCAGAAATTAACAAGCGACTCACTGGTGGCTCAAGCTCAACAGCAGGAACTAGTCGGAAGAAGTCTAAGAAGCACGGCACTAGCGCCTATCTTCGAGGTCGTGAGGCGATTACCCCTCAGCAAGCCATGGTAGGCTGTGATTACAGTGGATGGATGAAGAAGAAATCCTCAAGCCTCATGACAACGTGGAAGACCCGGCTATTCGTCCTCCGCGGGCGGCGTTTGTCCTACTTTTACACCGAATTTGATACAGAGGAAAAAGGACTCATCGACATATCGTCGCATCGCGTACTCCCGGCCAATAACGAGAGAATAACTGGGCTGCACGCCACGATAACTCGAGCCTCTTCGTCTCCGTCATCACCCCAGAACGCAACTATCCCAACAGCTGCGTCAACCGATAGCGCAAATGCTATAGAGGAGGATATGTCGGGAATGTTCATTTTTAAACTCGTTCCACCAAGAGCTGGGCTTCAAAAAGGTGTCCAATTTACCAAGCCTCTTGTTCACTATTTCGCAGTGGACAATATCCAACTAGGTCGTTTGTGGATGGCTGCACTTATGAAAGCTACAATCGACAGGGATGACTCGTTGCCTACAAGTACGACGTACCAGCAGAAGACCATCACTCTTCAAAAAGCACAAGCCATGCGACAGCGACCGCCCGCCCTCATGGACGATGATGATGAGGAGAAGATGTCAGACGATATTGAGAGCAAAAAGAGCAAAAAGTCGAAAGAGAGCATGCAAGAGAGCGTGATCCATGAAGAGGACGAGAAAAAAGGCCTCGCAATTTCGGGCCTTGACGATGCCAAAGCTCTCTTAGATTATGCTGAGACCGGAGAGACTCGGAAGCCACCCACAATCGAGGTCAAGAAGAAGGAGAGCACTGCTCATTTAAACAGGGAGCAGAGTGAAGTAACCGCATGAAGTTCACGGTTTTTTATTCTCTCGCTCGGACTTTTGAGCATTCACCCGGCGAACCTGTGCTTGCATACGCGAGATACTACTTTTTTCCTTAATTCTTTACACAATTTAATCCATTCATTGGGGAAGGAAAGGCGTTCATTTTGGATACTAATCATACGATTGTACTATATCACACATCGTAACCTTGGCTGAGATTTGGCGCCTGATGAGGAACTTGAGCAAGGTCATGGTGTTGGTCGCATTTCCTTCATGATTTTGAACGTTGATGAAAGGTGGATATAGATGACTTTGGAATGGGAAATACCTTACCGCTCTAATACTGGCATTGGCTAGTTATCGTTCTTGTAATTTTACGTATATCAGCGCTTCCCTCTTCATCAATTCAAACATCCCTTAGGTGTCTTCACCAGTACGATCGTCCGATGCCGCTGCCTTCGGAGATATTGTGCGATGAAGAGAATGGATCGTGTAACAAGAGCGAATTATACATTTCTCATTCCCATCTGGCATACGGCTACTACCGATCCCTCGACACAGTATTCGCAGTCTTAAGGCAAGCTGTTCGAGACTCGAACATATCTTTTCTCACCCTGGTTGTTAGCTTATCCCTAGTTGAAGAATCAATCCGGGTAATTGCGTCTTCCCTCCTTGCGTATCTATGCCTGCCTCATTACCCGTGGACAAATCTAGAGCATTGCCTCTCGCCCTCGCCGTCTTCGCTGTCGTTAGTTACACCACTTACTACAGGCTATCCAGCCCTCCACTACCTCCACAACCACCTCTCCCTTCCAGAGCTTACACTGTGGGCAAAAGCGGAGGCGAAAGCGCTAAGATTTTTATGAAGCACTGAGAGCTCATAGGCTAGGCACATGTCGAGCATTGTAAGTAATTAGAAAAAGAGTCCGTTCGCCGAACGAGCATTTCCCGAAGGTGCAACTCAGAGCCTAGGGGTTAGCTTTTTCAATTACCCCTATACGGGAGATAAACTTTCGAGTCACACAGTCCGAACAAGAAAAGGATAGAGTTCCCTATCAAAGAATATAAATAGAAGCAATGCAAGTGCGCAATGGGTCTCCAATGTTCCAAATATTATCGGCAAGCAAACTCGTTGGATGCAGTGTCAGCTACCGAAAATGAGTTTCGTTGATTGATAACGTGTTGAAGTTGTTCATTCTCCCGACACGTCAGAGTCTACCAAGCACGATTACGGTAAGGACTCTCTGCATTCCTCTTTGAGTTATTCATTCGGAGCTCACTTCATAATTTCTCGCCACCTTTAAAAGGTGGTCCACAGAATCCGGCTTAGAATCTTACCTGACGTGAGCTCAACCTTAATAGCCTGGCCCCCATCCCACGCAGAGCACGAAATAGCCAATATGGCTGTTTCTCCACCGCGCTCGTTACCCCGACGGATGAAGACCACTTTCATCTGCACAGTCTCTATCTTGAATTCCGAATCCCTCCATGCATCCGCACCACCACGAAGGCTATAATCTCCACCCTTCTTCTTATCCTCATCGTCTTCTTAAACAAACTCAAATGCGTGATTCATGAAATATGGCCCTTGTGGGAGTACTCAAAGCGGATACATCGGTGGCGGGGCTTCTCTTTCCAGCAAGGAGAACGTGGTAATCGAAATTAGCGGTGGCCCTGGACAGGAAAAGGATAAGTGTGAGGTGTATTCGGAATTGAATGATGACAGTGGAACTTACAACCAAGACACAATGTCCCCAAATTCATGAGTCAGGGTGCTGAAGACGAAGGACTGCTTGTTGGGGTAGAGAGAGAAAGGACAGAATTTGACTAGGCAGTTATGGTCGGGCTTTATCCTTCGAAAGTCAAGAATCCTGATGACACTAGGGTGAGTGAGTGAAAGCACTAAGCCTTAAGTTCTTTGAAAGCTAAGGAGTGTGAGAAGCAGACTAGTGACTGTTGGGGGTGGGCAGCTAGAGCTATCACTATGAGGATGGAAATTGGTCCTTTTAGTAGGAGTAGGATGTAGAGTGTCAGTTTCTCTAGCATCTCTTATTACTTAGAAGGCGCACTGCATTTGGATTAGGCTTTCGTTTAACCTTTCCTTCGAAATTGGGGAGGGTTGATGAAAGAATAAGTTGCACCCAGATTAGGCTTAGTTTGACAACCACCTTTTGGTAACTGGATTGAGAAGTCATGTTGGTGGCTTCCCTCTATCCAGTATTCAATTTTAACCTTAAGTTGTCTTCTTGCAGCGATCTCAAGCTCTTAGAATATGATGCATTCGGAACTGTGAAAGCTCTTGGACGTTCTTGAATTCGAGATTTACCTCTATTTACATATTCCTCCTAAGCGAGCGTGGCGCTCCCGCGCATGCAAGTGATCTTGGGTATCTTTTTTCTAACATTGGAAGTTTCGCACGCTTGAGCGCTCAAAATCTCTTCCCCTCAGACGCTAGTCCCATCCGTTTGCTCCTGTTGCAATTCGTCACCGCTTTACCACGATCGAACCCTCTTGCGGGCTGAACCAATCCCTCACCCCACACTGACTCTCTAGCTTAAGGAATAAATCATCGACTCTGTCAGTCATCCATCCCGCTTTGACTTTTGAGTCGGGCTTCGCATAACCCAATCGAAAAGCCGACGAGATCGCGCACCGTCCTTCATGGTAGGAAAATTGCACGCATTTCCTCTTGCTCTCGCAGACGTCTCTGCAATGGTTAAAGGACTTCCATGCGGCGCGTGCAACGGGATCCGAGTGTTTATCTTGGTCGTGGCCGTTATATTCTTCATCTGCCGACATATTATCCCACTGAGATAGTGCGGCTCTAATCTGCGGACGCACGTATTCCATGAAGATATCCCGGTGTCGTAGAAGTACGTTGTGCTATTATGGTTAGCGGTGGATATTAATAAGTGGGAGGGAGCAGTCAACGAACCCTCATGAACCAATTCTGCTCGAAAGTCCAGAGATCTTCGATTTCGGACGGCGACACGTGGTGGTATGTCACTGCGGGATAGCACCATGCGAGGCGATCAAGTTTTGATGTCGATGGGTCCATGGTTGCGGGTGAGTCACCTTGGAGGTGCGGGTATGCGCGGTGCAGAGGCACTTTGATGTCTTCGAGGACTTTACCCAGAGCGCAATCGCCGACCCAATGGGTCGCAGTGAATTCCTCGTAGTCTTGGATGCGGACGGAGCGATGCTCTGAGACTTTGCGCATTGCGGGGTTCGATAGAATGAAGCCTGCACCGCCATAGCCGAATTGTACGTCATTGATGTAGAGATGCTTGCCGATATAATAATGTTTTCGGGCGTCAAAGTTGCTAAGGTACTCGAGAATGTTGTTCCAGACAAGATACGTGTCGGCCTCGATGAAAACATACCATTTCGCCCTTGGCATCTTTCGATATGCGTGGTCGATCATTGGGAGGAATTTCCACTTATCCAGCTTCCATCCATCGTTCTCAATATTGAGATAGTCCCCTTTCGAAGATCCGGATTGTGCAGTAATGACTTTCTGGTTTTCCAATCCCTTCCGTCCATATTTTTGAAGATGATGATAAAGCTTGAAGTCCTCGTGCTTCCCCCTCACAGCCTCGCTGACCCCATCCAGCACGTCATGCACAGCATGTCCCTCAATCGCTTCATCCAGGTCAGAAAACACGACAAAATTTGGGACACACCGCAGCGTGGTTCGAAAATGAACCGGCACTTTTTCGCGCGACTCGGTCGCGCCTGTTCGGAGAACTACTAAGACATCATCGGCCAGATCCGACTGTGGGCAAAAGATGGAGGGATGAGAGGCGGCCGCCGGATTGGCGTAACGCAAAAAGAAGGATGGCGAGGATGTGTGTGTGAAGACATTGATGATGGATACACTGAAGATAGCACTGAAAATGAGGCGGCAAAGGAAGGTACGCCTAGCCATGTTTCCACGCTAGCAAGCTCCTGTCCCTGAGAATTTAAACCTGACGATGAGAGCTAATTGAATTAAGAAGGTCGTAGGTGGAGATGCTGTGTTGCTCCTTCAGAAAAGACTGACAAAGTCATAAGAATTCTCACCATCGAAGCCCGAGAGGCATGAACGACGGACACTGACTGCGGCGAAGCTGCTCGTGACTGTTTTGCGGACAATAAAAGCCTGACCGACTCCGAGACCAGCGCGCAAGGCAAAGGGAGGGACAAACGCAGGGTTTTTCAAGTCCGACAAACGGGACGACGATCGTCATCTATGGTCAGACACGTTGACACATTTCCCGAGGCAGACGAACGCGCACGACGATCAATGCCATGACGTTTGATGGACGGTGTCCACTCAGTTCACTGGCATGTGTGGCACGGGGGAAGTCAGCAAAGGAAATGTGATGTTACCTAAGGCGCAGCAGGCCCGAAACGTTCGCACATGCTCACTGCTAAAGATGACAGCGAGAGATGGGAGGGCGGCGATTTCACGCGTCGTGTATCGAGGGTTGGAGCTGTTGGTGTTTTGGCCAGTGCCGGCTATTTTAAACTTCCGAAGCCACAAACTGGGGAACGATGGGCTCAGACGGCGTGGACTACCCTACCGGACCTTAGCACAGCGACGTCACAGGGGTTCAGCAAAACGCTGGGCTTCCCAATGCGACCGGAGATCTTTTGGGACCAATAATCGTCGCTACTATCCCTCAACCCCATCCTTTTGAACGGTATTGCTAAAAGCACAGCGGCGCTGGCTTGTGGCGCCCGCGACTCCTTCGCTCACTGGAAGTATCACGTAACCTAAAGCCTAGCATGTCCTATTTCAAGTGCTAGTTCGCTGGGTCCTTCGCTATAGGGCGTCCGTCATCTATTTCTAAATGAAGCCCCAACCTCGTACGGACTTCGCTAGAGTTTCAGTACCTGTCTCTCGACGCCTATTTGTCCTCCTCCTAAACAGACAATAGCATCTTCCTCGGAGTTAGTCTGTGTGGAACATGAATTCGCCGTCCTTCCGTACGCCTACATCCGATCTGTACTATGCTATGCGAATAGGTCTCTCTATACGTCTCTCTCATATGTCTCCCTTTCCGACTATTTCTCTCCTGATCTTCCCCAGCCTTGTGTATATCCTTGTCTCCAAAACGGACTTTTATTCCCAGAGTTCACCAGGCTCCTCGTTCTTCGCCCGCATGTAGGCATATTTCTGGGAGTCAATTCTGGTTTTTTAATTTACCAGGTTGCCCTTTGAGGATGAGGTTCGCCGTCATAAAGTTCATTCTTAGAGTTCTATCGCTGACTACTATCTTCAACACCATAGGAAATCCTAAATAATCATAACTGCAGCTTGAGGCTCTCTTCAATACACAAACATTGCCAGCCGCAGGAACGGCGCACGTCCCATTGCTGCCGGAGACTACACCGCCTCCATTAAACAATATGCATAACCCACATAGTCTCTCCGAATCTCTAAGCAGGATTTCGTAATTTTATCGTTAGTCGTTGTATCTATACCTAGAATTCTGGGCATGGGCATGGGCATGGGCATGGGGCGACTAGCGCCACAGCCGGGATCTTCCTAGTCTTGACCATGTGTTTAAATCAGGTATATCACTTGGCAAGAGTTGCTCAGTTCTATATCGGGGATTTAGTATGTGCTGCCAAGCAGCTTCCGCATAGGTTGAGGCCGCCAGGTCATGCACCAAGCCCATTACGGAGGGGTAGAACAGCTAACGAGAATGAAGCGCAGGTTAGTGAGATTATGTTCCAGGGTTTGAGAAATCCTTTAGAGGTTGATGGACAAGAAAACGAGAACATTCAACAGGTAGATGATGGAGCTCAGTGCACACTCACCACCGATTGCTAGAGTGCTATGGTACGACCAATATGAAGGGGCCCAATAGTTTAAAATGAGCAATCCTACGTTTAGCTGCTCGCCAGTGTAGTTGACCAAATCAGAATTCACTTAACCCTAACGCGAATATTGGCTCTAACTGTGTTCACTTATGCTTCTCCAAGACATAGGACGGAACATGAAAAGTGGTTTAGGACAGAAATCAGCACCATCTAAACAATCCTCCTTTCTCTGACAACAGCCTTAACAGATCAACCCAGCCTGTTGATTTTTTGCTGAAGGTACAAATACAATGCTATTAATAGGGATTTGGAGCGCTCCTTACCCATTATGGACAGTTTACGACCTCGGATTTCGGACCTGGATGCTGAACAGAATCGAGCAGATCATACAAAACCTTCAACAATCTAAAGGATACCTCGCTGCCCATTCGGAGACACTCTGCATGTTCATTCCGCTAACGAATTCTGACGGTTCTAAACATTAATGGTTTTCCAATCTCATACTTATTCAACAATCCACGGCTTGGCCCTCTCTAAATGTTGTCTAACGTCCACAGATTGAGTAACAAATCTCCCCTTTATCCAGCTCAACCTGCCAATTAATAGACAAGAATATCCCCTCTCGCATACCAACCAAAGATTGTACCCTTAGTTCGTGGCCATACTTGGAGTCGGCATGCGACTGAGTTGTGGCAAATCTCCACCACTTCACTTCACGTGGATCTACTCCAGCATATCACGGCTCTCGCATTCGCTTTGAGTCTCTTTCTTCTCATGTGATAGTGTTGTCTGCGGAGTGAGTGCTGACTTTGAAACACAGCTTACATGACGCATACGGCAAGCTATACCTAAACAGGCATTGGGAACGACCTGGCTTCTGCTGTCCGACCATTCGGGGCTTGTTGGTCTAGCATCGATTGCTAAGTTAATTTGATATATGTTCTTCCATACGCCTCTCCGTCAGAAATATCTCATTCAGCATTCTCTCACTTTCGTCTAAGCCCCCACTCTAAGAAGACAATACGCTATACTACAACGTAAAGAAAATACTTAAAGGGAAAGATTTCTTCGCATGCAAGAACAACAGTCTGAGGTCACTCCCTTCCAGAACTCACGAGTACGTCAAGCAGAACAGCTCCCGAATACGCAAATGAGCAATCCGGCCTACCATGGACTCTCACAAAACATTCAAAGGGAAGAAGGCCTGTCGCCAGGCCTCGAGGACACCGACGCCGCAACCCCCGCAATCTCAAAATCAACCCACAATCGAGCATTATCCCGACCATGGAGACCGAAACATCATGTCCCATGGTTACCCTTCCTTGCACTGTTTGGGGCCCTCGCTTCTATCGCAGCAGCTGGGGTTGTACTATCTGTATCTCACCGTCACCCAATCAAAGTTTGGCCAGAGGAAATAACGCCCTCTGTCTGCCTCGCCATAATTGCCGCGGTTGGCGGGGTATGCATCGATTACGCGATGAGAGAAGGGGCCACGCTGGCATGGTGGATTCGGTCACTGAGACCGGCTACCCTCCAAGAGATTCATCGTCAGTGGGCAGTTGGAGACAGTCTCTACTACGCACTCACTATGTTCTCTTGGCCACTCAACGTGGTCGCTGTAGCTCGAATTGTCGTTGCAATGTGTGTCATTTACGGCACCATACTCCAGAGATCAACAACTACGGGTACTTGGGAATCGGTTACGGAGGGGAATTTGACTCTACAAATGGCCACAGAAACAACTGTCAACTTCAGCACAACTGCCAGCAACATCTCGCAATCTGACTCCTTCCGAGCTGTTAATGTTCTATCTCCATGGTTCGTTGATGTTCTCAAAGACCATATCGCTAACCGTCCCATTGAAGGGTACGTCCAGAATTGTAATGGGACGTGTATTGGCACCATCCAAGGCTTCGGCCTGAACGGAAGTTGTTCAGCCATACGATCCGAGCATCAAGACTGGGCCCAGAAATTCTACAATGAAAATCGAACCGACGCGACGCTCTTCAACGTTAGCTTCCCAATTCTCGATGAACCCAAAATCGCTGGCCCTATTGGAACAAATTTCGATCCTGAAGACTATCCCCAACTCATATTCAATATCTCGTTCTGGTCCCCAGACGCTCCAACATATGGTAACCATTCCGGGGTTGGAACCTCGCCAGATGGCAATTACACCTTTTGCCCAGGAGTGATCAAATCACTATCATGTTCCTATTTTATCGACGTCGTTGAATTCCCGGTTACCATCAACCGGACAATTATATCTCTCAACAGCAAAGGACCCTTTAAACTATCTAACCACGTCAGAAAGATGAATCGTGAGAACTGGCTTGAATTAGCTGGCTTTCAGGTAGCAGCGCGAAATCTCTTCTCTTCTTCTGCTGAGATCACCTCCCCAAGCATCACCAGCATCACTAGCACTCTAACAAAACAGTATCCTGTTCAGATTGTAGTTTGGGATTTGAATGCTATTGGATCTCTTGCATCCGAACATTACATACCGCCGTCCACTATCAATCAAGTTTCCGACTATCCTAATACATGCTCTCTCGGCTACTCCGATCCGACTGAACAAATCCTTGTATCGTTAGCGAACCTCATTTTCAGGGCCTCAGTCGCGGGCGGGCGGGCACAACCCAGGCTAACGAACTACAACCAGGAGATCCCGGTTCAACAGAGGAACACTGAAATCGTCTTCATATCCCATTACGAGTTCTTTGTTGCAGCTGCAACTATTATGTTTTTCGGAATCCTATCTGCGAGCTTGACATACTATGGCTGGTGGAAGCTTGGGCGAATGGTGAGCTTGAGTCCGCTAGAAATCGCAAAGGCAATCCCGGACGAGTTGCTGAGAGGCGATGGAACAAGCAATGCGGAAATAGTTCAGTTGTTAAAAGTTGTTGGGAATAGGCAGTTGCGATATGGGGAGGTATTCGGGGCCGACGACTCTTCCATACGAGTGTTACGATTTGGACATCCAAACAATGTGATAACACCGAGGCCTGGAGATCTATTTGACTGAGAAGAGAGATACAGTTACATATATTGTGACTGCATAAGGTAGCCTTTTGCTTCATCCCTTCGGGTTGCATTAACCTTTTGCATTTTCCTGAGTGGTTGGATTTTAATATTGTGGAGCGTTTAGTGAGTGCATTTAATATGCAATCCATAATCCCTACGACCACCCTCAAGCGTCAAATCATCTCACACCTATTCCTTCTGTGCTCCTTCTCTTCACTAATTCTATTCGCATCCCCAAATAGAATCTTTCCCCAAGTCCCCTTTCTAATCTCCCTACCCTTCCAGTTGAACAAGCCAACACCAACACAGAAGAGGAATAAGCAACAGAGAACATTGCATAAACAATATACGGTACCTTCGCCGTACTTGACGCAATCCACACGGGAGTGTAGAACGGAGGACGGTACGCCATAAAGATCATGCAAAACCGGAAGACGATGGCGGCCTCAGCGGTGAAGGGCATAGGCATTCGGATTTGGGTGACGATGGTGCCAAGAGAAAATGACAGATGAGAAGAAGCCGAAATAAGTCATTAAGGAGCCTAGCATCTGTTATCATTGAGATTGCTTCGCTGGTAACGCTACTGCTTTCTATGAGGCTGAACTTTGAAAGAACAATCTCTGTTTCGGCTTCATGAGTAGTCGTACTTATTAACATGAGCACCCACAAGAGATTGTTTTTATAGAGCAGCGAGGATTGCAGAGAGAAGTGTGTGTTTGCTTATTTTATCTTTCGAGATAGGTGTTGGATTCAGCAGTTGGGATTGGGGGACTCGAGTGGCTGGTGGTGGCTGGCGACAGTGACTTTTCCCCATCTTTTTCCGCTCTTGTTCCGCACTTGACACTCTCCTTCCCTCACTCTTCTTGGCCTTGTCATCGTCGTATCGTCTCAATTTCTTGTGAACAATCCCGGTTCACTCATTGCATCCTCGTATTGTCCCAAAATGCACCCCACAACGCAGCCAAGCACGTCTCTCGTCTGCCTCGTCATCACCAGCCTCATTCATATGGTACACCTATAGCACAGCCCAATATAACACCCCGGCAAAAATGTAAGGACTTAAGGAGCCGCCATCCCGACGCCTCTAAATGAAGAAGAGATTGAAATGCCTAGTCACCATTTGCTGGTCATCTGCTCACTCCATCAACTGATCCAGTCTGTCATACTCTAAATCCGAGGGCCTCACTAAACAATCCTTAGCTGTTTCGCAGAGATCACTGGGTCCACCAATAAGGCAAGGTGAAGATGTATTGTGGAAATTTGTGGAGATGGGAGGGGGTTGATGAGAGAATATTTGGTGAGCCGTGTGCCTGGTCCCCAGATTTTGGAAAGCGGAAGGGTAAATCGCAGAGCCGGCTCTGCCTTGGGCAGGTCAGATGAGAATTGTGGAGTATGAAGCCGCATTCCAGATCGCTTCTAAGCGTCTACAGTCGATATAACTAGAACGTATCATGCCCTCTATTCTCTACCAGATACTTGAACCGCATCGTTCAAATCCCGGAATTCAAACCCCCGAAAGAAAATCGATCATCTGCCATCATGGTCTCACTTAAACAACTTGCCCTTCTGGCACTGGCCACAGGTGCTGCGACTGTTGATGCTGCCTCTGGGTCTGGAAAGACGACCCGTTACTGGGACTGTTGCAAGGGATCCTGTGGTTGGTCTGGAAAGGCGTCGGTCAGCGCGCCGATTCGAAGCTGTGACAAGAGCGACAATCCTTTGGCCGATATGGCCGCGAAGAACGGTTGCGAGAGTGGTGGGAAGGCATACATGTGCTCCAACCAGAGCCCCTGGGCAGTTTCTGATACTTTGTCTTATGGATTCGCTGCTGTGAGGATTTCGGGTGGAACGGAGAGTAGTTGGTGCTGTGCTTGCTACAAGTAAGTTAGGAGAAGGGGGCCGTCTACATATAGGGTGGAAAGTATGAAGACTGGAGCTAACAAACATCTAGACTGACATTCACCTCCGGCCCCGCCCAAGGCAAGCAGTTCATTGTGCAAGCAACCAATACTGGCGGAGACCTCGGTACCAATCACTTCGATTTGGCCATGCCCGGTGGCGGCGTTGGGCAGTTCAACGGCTGTACTAACGAGTGGGGAGCACCACCTAACGGTTGGGGACAGCAATATGGTGGTATCTCTTCTCGCTCTCAGTGCGACTCCTTCCCTGAAAAGCTCAAGCCTGGTTGCTATTGGCGCTTCGACTGGTTCGCGAATTCAGATAACCCAACTGTCAACTTTGAGGAAGTCACTTGCCCCAAGCAGATCACGGATCGTAGTGGGTGTGTTAGGAATGGCCAGAACCCTACGCAGGGCATTGAAGGAACGTACAAGCCGACTGCTACACCCATGCCAAAGCCGAGGGGTGCTGGCACTTTGCGCTTCTAAGCATATATGAACAAGGCAGAATCCATGGGTTGAGTTAAACCTGGGCTTGATGTAAATCTGCAGCGTGGTATGGTCAGAAGTACTAACAAAATTTGAAATTTCATGTAAATACTCAGAATGAACCGAATGCAAATACTATTGGCCAGCCAATTACTAATATAACGGGTGGTCCCTTGGATCTAGATATGATTAACTTCTTCTAGGGCTTTATATCGCATTTGAGCGTCAGTAGTAGATAAATTTCAAGGTTCCGATCCTAAGTAGGTAACGTGAACCTAACTATCGAGCTCGATAAGTGCTAGCCCCCCATAGAGTCGGTTTAGAGAGGCCGATATTCCACATAACCTTTCGTAAAGATGCCCTTTAGCCCCAACTCTGCGATTAGCCACCTTGTTTTCAACAACCCCTTCCTTTCAATTCCCTCCTTATGCGACTGAATCTCCTCCACGTCCCAATTCACACTGACCCATCTTTCCCTTAAGAAATCCGCTTTCGCCGTACCGAGATACAACGCCGTTCCTCCAACAAGCTCCACAGAGTCCTTGGCGTGCAAGACATAGGCTGGAGGTATCGAATCCGTCCAAATTATGCCTGGGTTGAGGGAGAATGCACGGATGGAAGGCCATTCCAAATGCAAAAGCTCCAACAGGTATGCTATAGCGTTTTTGGCAAGACAGTAGGACGACACTCCGGGGATGATTCCGCTGACGAGAAATTATGCTAACCGTGCCGCTAGTGTTCAGGTTTTCTTCTCGGAGGGTGTTGGGATAATAGTGGATTGCTAGGTATGCCCCCCTTGAGATTTCCTTCCTACCTCATCGTCAGTATAGCTTACAAACCATCTAAGGGGAAGGCCTAGGGCTTGCAATGCCACCCCGCTAGTTCTCCAGCTCCTTCTCTCCGAGTCTCAGCAGCTGCTCTGCATGAGAATAAACGCCACTCCCACTCCTCTAACGGCACGATTCTAATACTCGACCGTCAATGAGGCTAGGATTTCTGCAATAGTATGGTTCATTGTTTACACGTAAATTCCAGGTTGGTCCGTTTAATCTGAAGCATTATATGGTCAAATTCCATTGTGCTGCACCCTGAAGGGCATCAATGATAAGTATTCAAACGCAAGATACAAATATCACTCCCTCCACATTACCTCCACCCCTCGTGCACTCTCCTTACCAACCTCCGATTCTGTAACCTTGTAGGGGGTAGGAGTTGTGAAAAAGGTAATGTATTGTGGTCTGAGGGTCTGAGGAGCAATGTGATTTATATAGGGTGATGAGACGCTAAGCATAAGGTTGATTGGGGAGCCTATCGTAGAGCGTTCCGACCTCTAAATTCTTTACTAATACCCTTCACCAAGTTTGAATTTATATGAAAAGCTATGTCTGTGGCGCAAGATCTGTCTAACGTTTAGCCAGCCAGTTACAGCTTATCTATCAGGCAGATAATTCCCGGAGGAGTTCGTCCTCTCCATCGCAGAAGACCTCCACGACCTAACGCCGATAAGCACCATAAGCTGGAGGGCTCTACGATGGGCTGCCCAATCAACCATAAACTTAGTATCTCATCATACTGCATAAATCATATACCTCCTCGGACCTTCAGTCCACAACACATCACTTCACACATGCTCTTGCCCCCTACCAAGCTCACAAGTACAAATATCTGTTGGATGTTTGCTTGGTGTGTAAACAGCTTAAGCGAATCGGGGAACAAGACCTCTGCTGGCCCTGCCACCTGACTATGCATCCAGAACACCAACCTAGTCGGCTCCTGCATAATCTGGTGGAGAATCAGAGCTTCAGAGACTACATACAACCCATGAGGCCTGCTGTCCCACCCTACGAGGGTCGGGCAAGATAGAATCCTCGAGACAGGTTCCCTTCTGTGGTTAGCAAGGAGTCTAAGTCATTCCTCTTAAAGTTTGTAAAATACGTCTTGTAGCTGGGGTTCAACATAGAGAAGTAGGCTAATTGGAACGACTGGTTTGCCACGATGGACGTCAATGCCTGGATTTGTGTTCTGCTCTCTTTGGCGAAGAACCTTCGGCATGTTCAGTTCCAGGACGTTCAAGATCCGGCCAAGGGTGATTTCATAGATGAGATAGCCCCCTTCATTGACTGGGCTAAGATGCCATTGTCTCCCTTTTCATAGAAGTTGGAGAGCTTGAAGATCGGGACTGACAAACGGTTATATTCGAAGTTGATTTTCGCAGGCGTGCCCTATTTTCTCTAGTTACCATGGCTGTAAAAGCAGGAGATAACCAGCAGTCCGAGGAAGAACTGGTGTGACATGAGAAGTGGAGTCTCTTCATCCAGCCTTCTCGATTAACTGTTTACATGGAGGGATCTTCAATTGGTTGAGCTTGGTTTGGATGCACTGATTGTGAGTGGATGGTGCATCCCGGATCCCCTAGCCTTTATACTCTGGTACTGCAAGGCACTGCGCTCCTTTAACTAAGGAGCATTTGACGGGCGATCGCTCCATGGGCGTAGCGAGGGAATCTGGGCAGCACATCTTCCCGTGAAGGATTTCTTGGAGCATCTAAAAATCCAATTCTTTAAGCGGAGTGACACTGTGGTTTGGCCGCGACATTCGAACTTGTCGGGGTTGGATTTCTGTCGTAGGAGAGGGGAATTTTCCAAGCGATGAAGATTTCTTCCTTCAAAATGCGGGGCCAATTCACTTCGGCAATTGGTACCGCTATTTCGACGTCTATCACCCTTGTAATATCCCCTTTAGGGGATTTTCTCAGCGCATTCGCGTCATGAAAGAAGGCATCAAAGCTTGCAGTCGTATCTTGTCTTGCGAAGAGTCCCGAAATCGCGCTAAATGCTCTTGCGAGACTAGTTGTGAGTCTGGAGAAATGCTCTAGATAGACGGCGGGAAAGCTTCGATTTGTCGGAGGAAAGTCTCAAGACCTTGTACGACACCTTTTGTCAGGGCCACCCTTCTCAGAATGATATACTAGTTAACGCTATGTGGACGCTTAATAAGAGGTTTCCGTGGAAAACCGGGCAGTAGATAGCTCCTCTCCTGTTGTTATCCACTTGGTATGAAATACACTAGCTAGTTCTAGCATAATACAGAGGAACTTTTAAATTGCAGCAAATCTTGGCTGTACAGGACTCTCCCTGATGTTTTCGTGCACGGGGTTAGATTCCCCTTCTGCTGCATGTCGTTTGGACCCGGTCGAGCACGGGCCAAGCGACATATCGATACCAAATTTTTTAGACCACAAACCTAACCGCATACTTTTGCAGAGCTTCCACACCCGCCCAGAAGCCCAAAATGTCCTCAATGCGTAACGCCGTCCAACGGCGCAACCACAAAGAGCGCGCCCAGCCCCTTGAGCGCGAAAAATGGGGTCTTCTCGAAAAGCACAAGGACTACAAACTCCGCGCCACTGACCACAAAGAAAAGCGGAAGCGCCTGAAAATCCTAAAGCAAAAAGCCACCGAGCGCAACCCAGATGAATTCTCCTTTGCCATGCTCTCCTCGACCGTCGATAAAGTGGGCCGGCGTGTCGCTGACCGGGGAAACAAGGCACTGAGTACGGATGTCGTGAAGTTGCTGAAGACGCAGGACGTGGGGTACATCAGGACGATGCTACAGGTGGTGAGGAAGGAGAGAGCGGAGTTAGAGGAGAGGATTGTGCTGGAGGGGGATGAGGTCAGGTTGCTGAGGGATGGAGACGAGGGAGCGAGTGGGAGTCACACCGTGTTTGTGGCGGATAGGGACGCACAGAAGGGATTTGAGGCGGAAGAGTGGTTTGGGACCGGGCAGGATCGGGTTGGGAGGGTGTGGAATCGACCGAGGAAGGAGAAAGAGACTTCAAAGGAGCTGGACGGGGATGCCGAAGTGCTGCAGAAGAAGCCTTCGAAGAAGCAGCAGGAAGCGAAGGATCTTGCGCGGAAAGAAGAGAGGGCATTCTTGAAGAGGCGCGAGCGGACGCAAGCGAGGATTGCAGGACATCTAGAAGCTGTCAAAGCACGGGAACGAGACTTGATGATTGCAGAAGAGGAATTGGAGAAGCAGCGAGCGAAGATGAATGGCACCATTGGTGGTGTCAACAAACATGGCGTCAAGTTCAAGATTCGGGAGAGGAAGCGATGAATGCCTTGACATAGGCACGACGGTGATGAAGAGGCACTCAACAACATATACCACAGCTCATGGACTGAACAATTGGGTGAGCTTTGGCCGTACTACCTCTTAGAGTGTTCTAATACTGTTGCAGATCGTCTCCCAAATAAAAGTAAAATAAACGAAGCCCACCAAAGACTAGTCCTCTACAGCCTCGCCGGCATCCTCATCCCACCATCTAGTCTCAAAACCGTCCCATTTAGCATTACATTCTCGATGCTATCCCTCACGATCCGAGCAAACTCTACCGGCTGTCCCGCTCTCTTGGGGAACTCCATCGCATTCTCCAAACTCTGCTTCACCTTCTTCCCCATCATTTTCGTCATATTGCTCTCGAACAGCGCTGGTGCGATGGTAACCGCCCTGATACCATACTTCGACAAATCACGCGCAAGAGGAAGCGTGAGAGATGCTATGGCACCCTTAGAAGCCGCATACGCAACCTGGCCCATCTGCCCATCAAACGCCGCAGACGAAGCAATCATAATTATGACGCCACGCTCGCCATCCGGTCCTTCTGGCTTAACCGTCGTCATATATGGCACAGCCTGCCTAATCAAATCGAGTGTCCCTCGCAAATTAATGTTCAGCACAAAATCAATGCTCTCAATACTCAACGGCTCATTCTTCCTATCGACTATCAAACCTGGCAGTCCCACTCCCGCACCCGCCACTACTCCTCCAATCTCCTTCCCCGTCTGCTTAACCCATTTTAATGTTTTTTGTATAGCGGCCTTTATCGATCCGGTGTCGGAAACGTCTGTTTCGAAGAATCTGGCGCGCGAGCTGCCGAGCTCGGCAATGATTTCGGAGCCGGAGGACGCGTTGAGGTCGAGGAGGGAGATGTAGGCACCAGAGGAGTGTAAGTCCCGGGCGACGGCGAGAGCGAGTCCAGAGGCGCCGGCGGAGATTATGAACGTGCGATTCCCAGGCTTCATGATTTGCTTTCGTAGATGGAAAATGTAGTAGCAAGAACGAGAGGTTGAATTTAGGGTTTGATAGCAGACGCGGAATTGTGATGTAAATCAGTGCTTGTAAGGTTGGAGCGGCTCAAGGTAGGAGTGAATGTGAGTGCGAATGTGAATTGCAAGTCACACCAGATGTAAGAAGCACCGTAGACAAGATGATCTTGACATGTGCATCTCCCCACCGGTCCGGATCATCAATTCACCACCCCCATGTACCTCGGCCCAAGCCCATCGGCGATCTAACCCTGCACCTCCGACATCCTGGTCCGCATCCAAAGCACCCGCTCCCTAGCACTATCAATCTCGAACCACCTACGGATTAAGCTTCACGCCCACTAGTTTATTCAAATAGAATCCGCAATTGACGCCCGCTCGCGCACCCCATCTTCCTTCTCTGATTCCGAAAATACTTCCGCGACGCCGCTATGGCCATGACGATACCTCCTCATCCCCGAACAGAAACAGAAGCGACGAAAGAAGAGCAGGACCGGATAGAAAGCAAGAAATTACCAAGCAATCCGACGCCGCTCTCTGCGCCACAGGAACAGCAGGTACGGGATCTATATTACCGGAATGTGAGGGAGAAGTGTGCCGATGAAATTAAAGGTATTACACCGCACTGGTCCCCTTTGTCCCCCTGCAATTCATCGCGCATGCGGTGTGATGCCGGTGATATCTTGCCTACGGCCCCCCTCCCCAAGATCTAGTTCCCCTTCCACCCAATCTCAATCCCTTTTTAGAGTATAGAGAAAATCGGGTAGCACAATTGCCACACTAACATACCCCCCCTCCTAGCATTCGCAGCCTGCGCCCTCGGCCGCACAATAACCATGGTGTGGGCATGTCGTGCGCAGAAGCTCGCCATGAATTCCTGCATGGTGCAATATCAGGGACAAGAAGAACTAGACAAGGCGCGGGCAGAGTGGTTTCAGTTGGCGGGAGAGAGAAAGCGGATGAGAGAGGAGAAAGAGCGAGAGTTGCAGGAAGCGAGAAGGCTGCACAAGGAGTGGTGGGCGCTGGACGAGAGGGGGAAGCTGCAGGGGAAAAGGGCGGAGGTGGCTGGGGAGAGAGAGGGCAAGCGGTGATGGTGATGGAGAGATTTATGCAAAGAGGAGGGGAGTGGAAAAATATCGAGGTGAGGCAGAAGTGAGATGAGGATGAACATATGCATTGCACGGCGTTTTCGAGCACATTTATGTATGGATATATGAGTGAGTATTTAGCTGCGTTCAGCTTCAGCTGCTACGATGTATTACTAGCGGAAGGGCCTTTGGGATGAACGGAAAACCTCTGCACTATATATTTAGTGCGATTTGCGACATCTGATACAGACGTAACGCTAGCTACCTTGGAAAGGAAAGAATTCAGCTCTGGTATATCCCCAATCATATCCACCTACAACGCCGTGAAGTGCAGTGTTTCTATCCAGGCTGCCAATCCGAATCCTGGGCCAATAGAGCGTCCAAGTCCATGGTGACCGTCTTTGAACCTTTTAGTGGGACGAGAGAGCAGCCTCTCCGTTTTTAGACCAATCAGTTAGCTGAATCAGTCCACTGTGCTCTGGCTTGTTGAGCTCATCTTTCAACCATCAGCCATCTCTGCATCCCCTCCTCTCAATCCCATAACCTCCTCAAACTGATCCTCATCCACATCCTCCTCCTCCATACCCCCCATCGGAACATCCCCAACCGGGCCGCCAGCGCCAACCCCACTCCCCTCCAACCCCTCATCTTCCTCGCCCTCACTCTCCCAACTCTCCTTAACACTCCACCCAACGCCAGTAAAGCAATACCTCTCCGGCGGCAAGCGAACCCCAAATTCGCGCTCCACTCTCGGCAACGCAATTTTGTTCCGCTCACTCGCCACCTCCATCATAAACTCCTTCGGCAGGGCTGGGGAAAATTGCTGCGCGACGCGTGCACCGACGGCTGTGCGCAACGCGTTGAGGGAAATGCCATCGTCTTCTTTCGCCGCTTTCTTGGACGACGTGGATTGGTGTAGTGGGGGCTCGTAGGCGATTGCATCGGACAAGATACCCGATGTGTAACGGTATGCGAAGTCGAGGAGTTGGAGGGGGACGCGCTCAGTGTAGGCATGCACGCCCATGTTGGCGAGCAGCAGGTGGATGAGGCGGGCATCGCGGGGGCGTTTGGTCATGCCACTATCTTGGAGCGAGGTCAATGGGTGTGCGGGGTTTATCTGCGCAACGGTTTGGCCTTTGGAGAGTTGGGATTGGGATTGGGACTGTGGTTGCGTTGCAGCTTGCGTGGAGGAAGCGGTTGGTGGGCTGGGGTTCGGAGCGCCTGTTGCGGTCGTGGGAGGGGTTGAGATGCCATTTGGGAGGTCGGCCGCTGCTGGTGACGCCATGCTGAGCCGTGAATCTGTGTTGGTGGTGGCTTTTGTGGGAGAGAGCTTGAGATCGCGAGTGTCTTTCAAGGCTAACGTAAGTCTTGGCATTGAGGCTCCTGTGTAGGGCTGAAGTCGAATAAACACGTGATAACGAAAAGTTGCCCTGTGCGCCGTCACACGTGACGAAAAGTGAGGTTTATTAGCTATAGCGGAAGACACCAACAACTCCATTGCATGCTATCCAAAGGCCATGAGATATCCAACCTAGCAGTGTCAGGTGAGAGAGCACCTGTCGCTTTTACTGGAAACGCTTTCCAATCATGCCGTGCTCATGACACCATCAGAGATGCCCTCGTCCTCGTCTTCGTCACCAGTAGCCTCACTCGTAATACTCTCATGCAGGCTAGGCGTCTTATCACCTCTCTTGCCAATCCGTTTAATCGAACTCCAGCTCAGGGCACTTGTTTTATCTTTAGGTGTGCCAATCAATGGGCTGTTCCCAGGGCTGTCTACACTCCTGACTAGCAAACCTCCCTCCTCCTCCGCTTCATCTGGAGTTACCGCCTCGTTCGTCTTCTTGGAGAACAGTGACGTCTTGCCCTTCCCGAACTGCAAGAACTGGCTCGAGCTGCTCTTCCGCGACAGTTTCTGTATGAACGATTCTTTCCCAAAAGCATTAGCATGAGCTTGTGATTCTGAAGGCGTCTGAGAAATAGACCTCTCCAAAGACTCGCGTGGTGAAGCGTTCGAGTCATCATAGTCGGTCGACATGGATCGATTATCTCGCGATTGGCGCGGGGCTAATGGTGAGGATGTGTCTTTCCCAGAGTCGTTGGCTGCCGTCTCTGAAGCAATCAACCTCTCCTTCTCCTTCTCCTTACGAGCAGCTTTCTCGGCCTTTTCAGCTTTGATTTTTCTCTCTCTTTCTTCCTTCTCAGCTTTCTTTGCCTCTTTCTCAGCCGCCTTCTTAGCTTTATCTTCATCACTCTTCTTTTTCAAGAAGATGCTGGTGAAGTTTGGCGCAGCAGGATTGAGCTGCTTGGGCGGCGTTGGAGGAATCGGACCTCCTGGAGGAATATATGACGCTGACGATTGCGGACGCGTTCCAATAGGCGCCTGAGTTGGTGATCTGGTGGTGGATGGAAAATCCGGAGTGTCACCGAGCAATAGGTCCTCATGCACAAGACTGACAGTCGAACCGTGCTGCATCGAAGGTCGCCGTGATGGCATTCTTGACCAGGATGTAGGGTTTCCCGTACTCCAATCTGCTCCAAGCGGGCTCCCTCGGGCGCCAAACTTATCAACCGGCCAACCGAATAAGGTCTGACTTTCTGTAGACGGCCTGGGAAGGAGATTGAGGTCCGAAGACTTGGAGGAGTCTTGACGAGGAGATGAAGGCCTGTCCATTCCTAGAGCAGCAGTCAGCCAAGGGTCACCCTTAGAACCAAACATGTTAAACGGCCGCTTCCGTGTAGCTACATGTTTGGGGCTATGAGATGACTCGACTGGCTGAGTCTTCGAGGTGCGGACGAATGCATCGTACCACGCACCTCCAGAATGACTACCGCGCCGTCGTGACGATCCGATTGGATCAAGTCCGGAGGCTTCTTGCCTAGGTAGCGACTGACTCTGGGCTGCCTTTAAGGATCCTAATGGGGGGCCTTGATCGGAGAAAGTCTTGCCTCGCTGGCGGTTTAGACCAAATATATTTCCAAATCGCGTGGTCTGTGCATTGGTGATGAAGGAGCTAGATGTTGAGCGTACCGAGCGTTTGTCACTATCAACAAGGGTCTGATTTTCATTAGTTGGATAGTACGCCAACTGTCCAGCACTGTCTCGGGGGCTGGCAAATACACTCGGAGAGCGGCTCTGTATTGAGACTGGCGAACTGGGACTTTGAACCTGATCTAGTGTTCCAGGAGCACCGAGACCAGGGAGAACATTGCGAAGGTTGGGCGAAGGGTTCGAGGGTGCCTGTGGTGGTCCCGGATCGTCCTCGTCCTCGGTATCGGTGGTACCTGTATCATTTTCAAACAGCCCAGAAGGTAGTAGTGCACCTGCAGTCGGACTCATCGGTGCGCCTCCAGTGAGGATCTCCATCTCAGCCTGGGGAAATGATGATATGTTGAGGTTGTTACGGGGCGGCGGGAGAGCCATTCCATTGTTGATGTTGAAGTATGGCGTGGCATTGGGGAACGTTGGCGAAACACTCGAGATACTTGCGTTGAATGGGGGGGCCGTTGAATGTACGAAACCGCCAGGTGCTGCAGACGTCAGTGGTTCGCGCATACTGACAGGCCTTGATCGGTGGCTGTTTCTCCTACCAGGAACGAGTTCGGGAGGAGGTGGGTTATTGAACATCTGAGGCTGGCTAAGGCGGCGCTGTTGGAGGAAGGTCAGCCTATTCGAAGCCTCTTGACTAGCACGTTCGGCTTCTGTGAACAAAGACCAGGCTTGGGCATAACGCTGTTGGAGGGCGTTGAGCGTGAGCACCCACTGCCTGTCTTCTTCTTTTTCAGCATTGTCAGGCCCATCTTGCGTGTCTCCCCCTTCCTCGCCTTCTTCTAGCTTCTTCCTCTCCTCTTCTAGGGCTTTGATTTGAGTGCCTTTTTCACGGATGACTTCTTCGAGGCTCTTGTTGGTCTGAATTTCGTCGGCATGCTTGTCTTTGAGCGCCTGTATCTTCTGCTCGGACGTGGCTTCCAAGTTGGTTCGCTCTTTCCCTATACGCTCCACCGCAGCCCGCAGGTCGCCAGCCTCTCTTCCCCACCGTGCCATGTCGTCCTTCAGCTTCTTCCTCTCCGCCTCCTTTTGGCGAAGCACTCTCTCCTGCTGCGTTCTCCTGGTTTGCGCAGCAGTGTTGTGCCTCTCTAAGCTTGCGACCTCTTTTCGTAGATCCCGACTAGCGTCTTCCTTCTCTTTAAGCGCAGCTTTCTTCTCGTCCCGCTTTTCCAGCAGCGAGACTTTACTGGCCCGGAACTCGTCTTCCTCCTCTTTGATTTGCTTCTCCATGTCGTCAATCTCGCGCCGGAGACTGTCCAGCCTTTCCGTCAGCTGCTTTATAGATTCCATGGAGTCGGCCTCCTCCTTGGCAGAGCGAGCCTGGTCAGCTGTCTGCGATGCTGGGGAGTTGCGTCGACCAATTTCCACCCGTCTCACTCGCGACGTGCTATTGCTATGTTCGCGAGCCATGGGCGGCGCAGCGACAGGAGGAATAATAATGTCCACCAGATTCTTATTTGGCCGGATGATTGGGGTCGGAGTATATTCGTCATCATCGCCGCCATCGTCGGCCTCCTTGTGCGGCACGGTATTGTAGAACTGCTCTGAGGAGGCCGGCAGGGTTCTTAGTCGGATAGGGATGCTCGGAGCCTGGAAATTGGCCGAGTTGAGGGTGACGATACGAATGAGATAGTGGTGATCTGGCTGTAAGTTTTCAATGGTAACGGAGGTTTCTTGGGGTGAGACATCGCCAACTGCAGGCTGCGTGAGCTTGGGGACAGGCAATGGGTAGCGGGAGACAGACTGTCAATGCCGTTGATCCGAATCACGTATTTTAAGACAGAGGCGCGCGCGTCAGGCGGTTTCCAGTGCAGTAGGACGCCGTCCGCCCTGATGCCAGCAAGAGAGACGATGGGCGCAACGGGCACCTCCAGCCCGAGCAGAGCGACGAGCTCCTCGACGGGCTTGGAGAGCACCTGGTAGCCGCGGTAAGCGACCCTACGGGCACAAACAAGATCAGTCACTGCACATATTATATGAAGCCATACGCACCAAAAGAGAGCAGAGAGCACGAAGAATGTCTTGAGCCAGCCAGACGAGACGAAGACGAACGCCTCCATGTTGTAGTGAGTGACATGCGGGTGCCAGTAGAGAGCGGAATGGGGTTGGGACAGCATTGGGGCAGCGTCTGCGCAGGTCAACAGACGGCCGTGAAGGGACAGAATGGGCAGTGGCAGTCGCCGGTGTGTGGGCCTTTGAGGCGTGTGAGGAGTAGCCGCAATTTGGATGCTGCACATGCGGGCATGTCAAGCACTATCGCCCTGTTCTTGGCGACGCCGGGCCCTCGATCCGCGCCCATGGTTGAGCCATTCACCTCCCAACACGCCAACATGCACTCAACGCTGACCTGCTTGCTCGCAGTGTTTTAGACCGGCTGCCTCTTCACGGTGCCTTCATGCCTCCAACACTGCAACACTGCAACACTGCAACAGCGCCTTTCTTTGCTCGCCTCCACAAGCTTTGCGAGACGACGGCGGTCCGCTTTGCTCCGGCTCAACTGACCCATGACCAGCGCCCGTGATTCCTCGTGATTCCTTGGTGACCGCATTGGCACGTTCCTCACAAGCCTCACCACTTGCGACTTCCTCGGAAGCTCAATTTCTTGCCCAGGTTGCCCCCAAAACCTGTCTTCGCCTCATCGACGCCTACTCGTCTCTCCTGTCTGTCTCTCAACACCACACCGAGCATCCCCCAGCTATCCCCCAGCCCCTCCACCCGCCGAACCTCATTCCGCAGTGACAATCCCCGGTGACCACCTCGGACGCAGAAGGAAGGGGCGATGCAGTACGTGCGAGCAGTCACCGGCACTGTGTCAAAGGGCTGGAATTCCATCAATCCCGCAACATTGAGTGGCGCAATCGACGTTATCGTCGTCGAGCAAGAAGATGGTATTTGCGTGCCCTGGAAACTCTCTCACCCAGTCTTCTAACGCTGTGTAGGATCCTTGGCATGCTCGCCCTTCCATGTTCGCTTCGGGAAGTTCCAGTTGCTACGGCCGTCGGACAAGAAGGTGAGAATGTGTGGAGCCACCGGTTGACGGGGTGGTGGCTAATAAGGCATTAGGTCCAGTTCACTGTCAACCACACCAAACAGGACTATGCGATGAAGCTTGGAGAGGGAGGTGAAGCCTTCTTCGTTTTTGAGACCACAGCCCCCATCCCCGAAGAACTACAGACCTCACCCTTAGCCTCCCCAGCATCGAGTCCTGAGCAAAAGCCTATCGAAGCCCATTCGAACCGCGGACTGCTCGAACCTGACCCTTTTGATCTTGAAGGTGGCAGCACTATACGTAGAGGGAGGCAGTCCGTCTCGGTCCCGCCCATGGATTCCCTCCATGCAGACGTCTATGACCGCCCAAAATCAGCCGACTGGTCTGCCTTCCAGATGCCACGTTCGCGAACCGACGAAACCCTCCCAACCGTGAATGTAGGACTATCACAATCATTTGACGCGAAAGAGAATGGACCTCTATATGTGAGCAAGGAGGCGGCAATCGCCTGGAATGCGCCCTCGCGGTCGGCGAGTCCACCTCCAGTGTCCCCGAGCGAGGCTATGGCACGTGCCATAAATCTATCGAAGAAATTGTTCGTGTCCAACATTCCGAACAAGGTCACTGACAGCGGTGACCTCATGCTCGATATGACAGGTTACAAGAGTAGCGAGGAGGAAGCTCTTCGAGCGGAAGTGGTGGCTAGGAAAATTCTAGCTGACGAACTGGAGGGTAATTATGACATCGGGGCATTGATTGGTGCCGACGAGAATGGAAATCTTTGGATCTACAGCAGTGAAGAGGCAAAAGCAGCAGCCAATCGAAAGGTTGCCTTGAACATGTTAAACGAGGATGCTTTGCGCTCGTCGGACGCCGTATCAGATCCCGGATATCACAGCGACGACGCACAGAGCAACACCACGGCCGAATATGCGCCTCACTTTCGCAGAGATTCAGACAGCGCTGTTGGTCTGACTACACCACCAGATTCACCGGATGCAACTGGCGGCGAGACTCGGAACTATGCAAAGACGCTCCGACTCACCAGCGACCAGCTCAAGGCCTTAGACCTGAAGCCAGGCTCAAACACAATGAGCTTCACAGTGAACCGCTCGACTTGCACTGCGTTCATGTTCTATTGGAAGCACGATACTCCTATCGTGATTTCTGACATCGACGGAACGATCACCAAGTCTGACGCCCTAGGCCACGTGTTAAACATGATCGGTCGCGACTGGACTCACTTAGGAGTCGCCAAGCTGTACACCGACATTGTTAACAATGGGTACAACATTTTCTACTTGACAAGCCGCTCGGTAGGGCAGGCCGACACTACCAGAGCTTACTTGAACGGGGTTGTCCAAGAAGGATACCGTCTACCTAAAGGACCCGTCATCATGAGCCCGGACCGGACGATCGCCGCCTTGCGGCGTGAAATATATCTCCGCAAACCTGAGGTCTTCAAGATGGCTTGTCTCCGAGATATCATGAACCTCTTTGGAAAGCCTGCAGGGCAAACTCCGTTTTACGCTGGTTTCGGCAATCGACTAACAGATGCGCTTAGCTACCGCTCGGTTAACATTCCCTCTACTAGAATATTTACCATCAACTCAAATGCGGAGGTGAGCTTGGATGTCCTATCTTTAAACAGCTATAAGACGGGATATGCTAGCATGCGCGAGATCGTGGACCACTTCTTCCCTCCAATTGGCTTGCTTGTTCCGGCGGGTGGCGAAGAATTCACCGACTTTAGCTATTGGAGGGAGAGACCTCTTGACCTTGAGGATTTCACCGATAGCGAGGATGAGGATGATGATGAAGCAGCCATGGAAGCAGCGAGTATCAGGAGTGAAGACGAAGGATCTGAGATCGGTGAGGACCTTGAGGCGAGCTACCTTTCGCGGGAATCCATCGACGAAACCGGGGGACTTGAAGAGTCCATAATGGAAAGTGTGGAGGGGGATGAGTATGATGAAGGAGACGGCGAAGAAGAAGAAGTAGAAGAAGAAGAAGAAGAAGAAGAAGAAATGGAGGAAGATGGGGCGACAGAGGAGGAAGAATATGACAATGAGGATGGAGGCGACGAGGGAGAAACGCCGACAGACGAAACGGGTGGCCCGCTTGACGGCCAAGCCGAACGTATCGCGCCACTGGATTTGGCAGAGTCGACGCCGCAAGGAAGTCCTAGGAAGCAATCCTCAAGTTCAACACCGGCGCGGAACACTCGCTAAATGGCATTCTCCAAAACCATGATGACGAGGTATATTTTCACCTATGCTGTTAGACTATATTAGCATGGACTGGAGTTAAAAAACGGGATTGTTAATATTTCGCGTTTACATCTTGCCTATAGTAGGTAACACACTCTGGGTGGCTGTAATATAGGTGGAAGGAGCACCGAGTATGGCGTATGGGTTCCCCGTTGGGTGATTGAGCATTTGGTAGCATTTTTCGGAGTTTGGTTCTAGAGCGCATAATGGCCGGCATCTAAAAGGTACAGGCGTGTACCCGCCACTTTGCATAGTTGGATAGAGTCTAACGAAGTGTGTCGTCTTCTAATACTTAACGACCTTGTCCGGTAAGGTGAATCATGGGTATGGTGGCTAAGTTACCAGTCCGGATTTGAGTTGAATCTCATGCGCTGGGGCGAAGGTGCAGTTTTGGGCGCGAAGTTTGTTCTCTTCTGAAAAGTGTCGACCTTATTGCGGTCAAGCCGAATCAAATCGCCGGGGCTAAGGTGCAAATTCGGATGCATGGACATGCAGTATGGCTGAAACCCTTTGTTCTCTCTCCTGCATGAAAGGTCCGAAGGCCCATCAGCACCTGCATCTGCTCCCAAGCCCAGTCGGCAAGGCCCGTGACTTTCAGCCTCGAAACACTCAACCCCCAAACCACTTGCCGCGACGCAAACTCAGCACCTTACAATCTTTTCTTCGCGCGTGCAATGCTGTGCGACGCTCATGGCACCTCGAGGTGATACTGCGACGGAAGGACATAATGGCTAATTCCAAGTGCGTACATGGCCTCCAGGTACAGTGGGAGAGGACCTGGAGCGAGCGCAGGCAGGGGCAGTGACTGACGAACCCGCTAGATACGAATATGTGCGCTCCTTTGAGCAGCCGGACATTTTACTAGCCAACACGTGGATTGTGGTGAGGATTGATGGGAGGGGTTTTTCAAAGTATGACTTTCCATGTTCACATTCACTTTTATTTGCGCAAGCTTGTGTGCTTCTGTCATTTTCTTATCTGGTTCCTCGAGGATTTCCTAGCATGCGGTTCCCCGTCATGTGCGTATGTCTCACATGCATATCTACCTATTATTGGACTTTCTTTCGCCCCAATTTCTAAACCGCAAATTTGAGCGTCGAGATCTCTTCTGAGGGATAATCATGTGCTAATCAGTCGCCCGACTGCGGTTTGTAGGCTCACGACGAAATATAAATTCGCCAAACCAAATGATCGGCGGGCTTTAGATCTCATGAATGCGGCGGCGGAGGCCGTGATGAAAGAGTTACCGGACCTGGTGCTAGCGTATGGGAACAGCGATGAATTTAGGTATGTCTTGCACATGAGCTCCTCTTTGCGTCATTCGAGAATGCTGGAGGCCTTAAATATCATCGAGTCGATGAGGAATGGCTTAGGACTCCGATGATTTCGTTTCACAAGAGAGTAGAGCTGACGCGTGTCAGTTTCGTCTTCCATAAGGATTGTGTGCTGTTTGAACGGAGGGCTAGGTACGATCCCTCCCCTCCAGACACATCGCCCCCACTCCCGACCACATCTGACCTCCGCAATCTCCATATGGCATGCCGTGCAACCTTAAGCTGATCAGATATATTATAGTAAATTAACGACCACAGTTGTCTCGACTTTCACGTCTTGTTATACTTTCTTCTGGCCGACATATTTTCCGGACAGTCCGCTCACACCCCCACTGCCGAGTTTTGATGGTAGAGCTGTGTGCTATCCGAGTGATCAAAACTTGAGGGATTATATGAGTTGGAGGCAGGTTGATTGTAAGCTCGAGCAAGTCTGTTCTTCTCACTAACTTAGCTTTCTCTCCCCAAGGAGCCGCTTTATATCTATTTTTGAGCCTGTTGGTTTAGTCAATAGATTGCATGATATCTGATATTCTGATAGGTCACATCAACAACCTCTATAACACGACATTCTGGGCGCTTGTTCAACAAGGCAACATGGATGCCAGATCGGCAGAACAAGAACTTGCAGGCACTGTCTCATCTGAGAAGAACGAAATTCTCTTCTCCCGCTTCGGAATCAACTACAACAACGAGCCCGATATCTTCAAGAAAGGGAGTGTCCTGTATCGAGATGTATGTCCACCCTGATCTATACTGCCAACTGTACACACTTAGTATTCTGACAAGCCTAGTTCTCCCCTCCTTCAATTCACTCATCGCCCACCCCTCCTCGCTCAACAACCTCACCACCACCGCTCTCCCATCCACGCCCGATGTCTCAACCACTCACCTCTTCCATCCTCCCGAAAGAATCATCGACAAGCTCAGACCCCTCAACACCCCACGGTCCAACATTTCTCTCAACGTCAACAACGCCGTCTCCACCCCCATCTCCTCCATCCCACTCAATTCCCGCCTTCCCAGCCGCCCTCTCTTTTCCCCAAAATTTCATGCCAATGCCTCTACCGTCAGCTCCCATCTCCAAGCAGCCTCTTCCCCAGCTAACCCCCATCCCTCTCCCACCCCCAACTCTCCGACCCACAAACCGCCCACCCCCATCCCTCAACCCACCAAACCCCACAGCCCACACCAACACCTCTCCCGCCCCGTCCCCAATCGCCCCACTCCCAATCCCAAACCGCACATCCTCATCCCCACCCTCGCGCTCCGGAAAGTTCAGCTCTCACTCCGCAAGTGCATCTCTCAGTCTCGCCGGAAGCAGCACTTCGATGGCAACTGCAGCCACGCACAACAACCTTAACGCCGCAATGTCCATGTCCATGTCGCTCCGACCTCAAACCGCAACAGCCTCAACCTCAAAACACACGCTCAAACGCCGGAGCCCGAGTCTCAGTATCCTAGAAGGCGCCCCCGAGATCCCATTGCGGATTTCGAGCATCCCGCTGAACAACAAACCGCGGAAATTGAGCTTGCCAAGCCAAAAGAGTTTTGGGACATTGAAGGTGAGGGAAAAAGAGAGTGGCGGTGAGGAGGAGAATGGAAATGGGAAGGGAGGCAAGGGCCTGAAAGAAAGTCCCCCACTACCAACAAGCGGGGCGCTAGGGCGCATGAAAGAGCTACCATCGCCGCCAATTGATAGCTTGCAAGCAGACTCGGACGCTTCTGTACCCTTAAGCCCGGGTCAAGGCAGGGTGTCAGCGTCACCGGGACTCGGAAGTGGTGGGGATCGTGAGAAACCTCTCCCAGAGCTTTTATCAAACAATCTACATTCCGATCCCAATACCAGCCCCCCGGTCCCAGAGAAGTCGAGCCAACGGACTACACCGCCATTGCATACCAGGGCTGGATCTGCGCCACTGAATCAGACTTCATCTTCATATTTCCCTGTTTCATCTATATCCCAGACCGCATCTTCTCAAACGCCTACAACTACGAAACCCTCGAAATCTCAATCTCAATCCAAATCAACATCCAAATCAAAGTCTAATTCTAAGCCCAAAGCCGCACCTGGGATACCCGAATCCGGATCCTGGGCAGCTGGTACCCAAACGTCGGAGATGAGTAAGACGGCGAAGGATCGGGATCGGAAGAAGAGGCAGCGAGCCCGTATTGTGGTCGAGCATGTTGATGTTATCAAAGACGGATTTTGGGAGAAGAGGCCTTGGATTCTGAGTGGGAGGACTGGGTGATGAGTATGCGTGCGCGCTAGGGAGAAGGGAGGGGCGAGTTGGTGATATTGTGCGATCGTTCTGGGTTTGTATAAGGGGATAGAGATAGGCGAGGGATAGGGTAACACAGTGCAGGGGGCCTGCCTTACCTGTACGATTGATGACTGTCCAGAGAGAGTGGACTGACGTTTATGGATTCCAAGTTGAGATGATAGATGATTTATCTTCTTTTTCTTTACTGTAATTCTACTACTATTAGGGGAGGGGAAATAGGATCTGAAATTAGCCTCACCCACTCACCCCCGCCGTCCAATCAGTGCGTGGTAGACATGAGCCACGAATTCAGCAAAATATTTTCAGTGACAACCACGAACATCCCGAAGATGGAGGAATCTTCAGCGCCTACTGCTGCAATGCCGCTACTAATACCCAAGCCATGCTAAATTCCCAGAAACTTGTTCGATAAGAATGCCTTCCACCCTCTCGCTCAATTCCTTCCTGTCCTCGACTTAATTTTCCTTCCCCCCTTCTCTGCCTTCCTCGCCTGCTTTTCCTGCCTCAATATCCTCCTGGCTAGTTTCCTCACCTCAGTCTTCTGCTCCTTTGTGGCGCCTTGAGTGATTCCCTTCTCACACAGGATCTGGTAGGTCAGTTTATTCTTCATCTCTACCTTCTTTTGTGCCCTCGTCACCGGTGGTGTGGTTCCAGGAATAATACCTTTGCGTTTGGCTCGGCGTTCTCGGAGATAGAGTAGGCGAGCCCGACGTTCGTCCTTGGTGAGAGTTTTGACGGGACGGCCTTCCCAGATGGATGGGTCGAGGGGTAGAGAACCGTCGGAATTGCGCGGGAGGCTTGGCCAGGCGGCGGCTGGGTTAGATGAGGGAGGAAGAGTAAGAGCCTGATCACCCCGGGTGTCGACGAAGTATAGAAGTGCTGATGAAGATTCGGCTTCTGCATCGTTCGTAACTTTGACAGCTTTCTTGCCTTCATGCTCAGCTCTCTTCTCGTTTTTCTTTTGAATCCGCCGGAGGATGTATTCTTCGAGGGATTGGTTTTTCAGGGCGGCACGCTCTTCACACTGAGCTCGTTCCTTTTCGGAGAGTTTTGCAAGCTTGGCGGCAACGGCAGCTTGGTCATCTGTAGGTGGCTTTTGGGAAGCTAACTTAGCTCTATACTCTTGAATGGACAGACCAGCTTGGGCAGCCGCCTTGCGCTCTCTCTTCTCCGCTTTCGAAGGATATTTTTCCACGTCACCGTAATGGGGTACTTTCTTCCGCTTTTGAGTAGAATCATCGAAAAGGATGACTCCCCCCATCTCAGCTGGAGGTACTGGACGGCCTCTTTGTTCCTTCTTCCCTGCTTTAACCTTGTCGGCCATTTCTTTGACCTGTTTCAGCTTCTCCGCGCGTCGGGCCTTCTTCTCCAACTTCACCTGCGCCTTCTTGTACAATCTATCCTCGCGCTTGATTTCCGCCAAACGCACCTTCGCCTGCTGCTGCAACTTCGCCGTCTTTCTCACATTGTGTTGATAACGCTCGAGCGCCTCTTCTCCGGTACAATTCACCCATTGTGGCAACTCTCCATGGTCTAGTGCCTTTTGGATCAAGTCCACCTTCAACTGCTTCTTCGCATCACGGAGCGCCTTTTGCCGAGCGAACTTCACTTTTTTGTCTTCTTTCTGACTAGCCTTCCTAGGAGGAGGCTTGAATTCTCCTGCATCCTGTCTCCGCTTAATGATATTGGCAACCATTCGATCGATGCGCGCCACAACGGCAGCTTCCTGCGCAGCCTCATCACTGATTCTGCCCTCTGCGAACGCGGTCTTGCGATCTGTTCCTTTCTTCAGCTTAGAATTTAGCTGGTTCGTCTCCCTCTTGAAGGCCTTTCGCTTCTCGCGAAATGCTTCTAGACCTTCAGCTTGCCGCTTGTGCTTCTTTTTCTTGGGTTTGAGATTGGTGGGGTTCTCGGCGACCTCTACTCTAGGTTCGTCGGTCTCGTCGGACTCTTTCTGCTTCTTGCAGATTTTCTCTGGGCCTTCATCTGCCCGCCCCCGCTTGTTTCTCTTGAGAGTGGAACCGAAGGGGTTGGTTAGTGTTTCGGACATGATCTCGCTGGTCTCGGAGGTAGGAGGAGTGGTAGTTCGGGAAGGCGGGGTGGAGGTGCTAGGGAGAGAAGTCTCGGGGGCAGAGCTCTCTTCGGTATTTGGCAGAGTTCCTGCAAGGCCCTCGCCCCTGACAAAGAATCCGTATAAACCGCCGCGATTTATTCCTGTCTTGCGTACTTGACTGAGAGTGCTCTAGCAAATCGTTAGTCATCCGCCGAAAGCAATTGAGGCGGTAGCAATTGCCTCTTGACCCGTGCCGACGTTCTTCAAACTCTCGTCAAATGCTCGCATCCACCATTGGTCGCTGACGCTGTGTGCGGCCGACTTCTTACCCAGGCCCAATTGATCCCGCTTATGGGAGATCAAAAGCGGCTTCTTGATTCCGTGGCCGTGGTGGTCTAGAGAGTGGCCCGATCCACGCCAGCCCTGCCTCTTCAAATAGGCGTCTGCGTTCATCCAAGCCGCAGCGTTCCCCTTGCACAGAGAAACTGAAGAAGCTTGGAAATGGGAGCTACAAGAAGAAAATTTGTGGGACAACGGTTGCTGCCGGCGAATTCTTGGCGTGGGGTCCGTGAGCCGAGCCGGAAAAGGCTAAACCGAAACGAGACCTCCTATATCCACGACATCTCCATCACTATACTTCTTCATACTACTTTTCGTTGTACATTATCCCATGGCCATATAATAAAATTCATTAGCGGCGATCCGGATGCGGCAAGTCAATGAACATCCTTATCGCATTTCTCTCTGTGAAACGCTCCCCGCCGGATTCACCATGGCGTCCTTTCACCATGGCGAAGGTCGCTCCTTCCAATCACCGTTGCTGGTGACGACGGCTAAACAGTCCTTTGTTTCTCACACTCTCTCTTCATTTTTCACTCACTCTCCACGCCGACGCTTGGTTCTTTTTCTTGCTTTCTCCATCGGGTTCGTCCTTACGGCAATCATGAAACGTGAACACTTCCTTTGGCTTCTGTCTACGACGGCGAACGTCAGTGCGGCACCCATGTTGATCTCAGGGCGGGAGAATGGCGATCTGTTTTTCAGCCTTGATAGCAAGTTTAGGATCTCCGTCTTCGAGGACCTTCACTTCGGCGAAGGTAAGTTGATGCCAGGTTTATTATTCGTCACCTGTTGCTAGACCGCTTCCAATATCTAATTAATCTGCCTACCTGCTTTTTACTTGCTTCTGCACCCTTTTGGCACTCCTCATTGACTAGCTCGGTCTAACGAAGCCCAGACGAATGGACTGATTGGGCGCCGGAGCAGGACCGTAAGACAGTTCAAGTTATCAATTCTATCCTGGACAAAGAACACGTAGACCTTGCTGTTCTAAACGGGGACCTGGTCACTGGTGAAAATCTCTACCTTGAAAATGGAACCCATTACATTGACCTAATGGTGGCTCCGCTCGTCAATCGATCAATCCCATGGGCTTCTGCCTACGGCAACCATGACATCGACATCAACAGCTCATCTCGCGCCCTAATGGAACGCGAGAAAGCCATTGGACGCAACCTCTCTCATACAAATTCTATGGTCAAAGGCAAAGAAGCGGAGGTGGGCACAAGCAACTACTACCTCCCAGTCTACTTGAGTGGCCGTAAGTCAATCGAGTTGTTGCTGTGGTTCTTCGACTCCAAAGGAGGATGGGCCTACCAAGATCGGACATCCGAAGGATTAAAGGTCCCTACCGCAGATTATGTCAATGAGGAGGTAGGCTTCGCTCTGGCTTCCTTCGAGACTTCTCAAAGTGCTGACTTCGAATGCGGGTTGTCAAATGGTTTAGTGAAACCAAAAAAGCAATCCGAGATCAAGAGAAACGAGTCATTCCAAGCCTAGCTTTCGTTCATATCCCTGTCTATGCTACTGCAGATTTTCAGGACGCAGGTATTGACCCAAAGAAGGAACCGGGAATCAACGAAGAGGTACTTGGAGTCCAAGGAAACAAATGTGTCAACAAAGGTAGGGATAAGAATGGGAATGACGAAAAGGACTGCCACTATGCCGGTGGTGATACCCCCTTCATGAAGGAATTAGTTGCGACCGAGGGATTGCTCGCAGTCTTCTCTGGGCACGATCACCGAGTCGACTGGTACGTCTTCCTTGTCCCAGCTTTGGGCTCTGGGCCAATGATATTAGTATTGATGCTTCAGAACAGGTGCATGAAATGGACCGCTACAAAACCTCTTCCACATACGGACCCCTCCACCGGCAACGACATCCACCTGTGCCTCGGCCGTCACACAGGCTACGGCGGCTACGCTGGCGAAATTCCCCGTGGCGCACGACAAATCCTAGTACGCCAGCAAAACCTCCGCGAGAAGAGTGTTGAAACATGGATCAGACTCGAAGACGGCAGTGTCTCCGGACACGTAGTGTTGAACACTACCTACGGCCAGGACAGCTACACAGCTGAGCAGACTTCCCATGATGGTGCATGGGACGATGCGAAAGCGAGAGGTTAGTGATTTGATCGAGAGTTTGCTATATACCCTTTTAAAAATGATCTGGTTCACCGTATATAGGAAATTGCTGTGAGGGATTCTTCAAATTATTCCGTCTCTCGAAGCACTGCAAGGTGTGCAAGGTCCAGGTTCCGGCAACGGGGCTCGAAGATCTGGGATAGTGCAGAAATATGGGCTGCAGTTCTGAGCGAACTTTCTAGGTGGAATCATAAGGAGAAAGATACTTCAGTCGGCCTTTGGAATGAGCACAAAGCTCACCATGCGTGGGTGAATAAAAACGTTCACACCCATGCCCCTATCTGTGACCGAAACCCAACCCTTTCCAACAAATTGGAAAAGGCGCACTCTCCCGATCCAAGATCCCTAGGACTCTCAACTAGTTCTAAGGAGCCATTTTAGTCTTGGTGATCGGAAACACGGCATCATGCTTGTCGACTTCACTCCATTCACTGCTTTCTCGCAAACCCCAACCCCTCCTCAACCAACGGCCATTCCAAGAGCTAGTTCTGCGAGGAAAGAAATCCCACATGTCTGACGCTAACAAAACAAAGCACAACCACGAACCGAGCGTCTGGTGGGGATTGGGGAGAAGGACATAGGCAATGCACCTCACAAGTTTCACCTTTCCAGTTACGCATTCCTACAGACAAGTTTCGCAATAGTGGCTTGGGCTGTTAGAGGGGTTGTAGGCTTTTGTGCTCATTGATCAATTGCCCCTGTCACTTGTAACAATCAGCAATGGTTGTGTGGATACCAAGACATTAATACCAACTCCCAAGCCGAAAGATTGCGGTGATGGTCATACTATGCTGGAATTGGGTGGCTGTTGTGGCATTTGTGTCATTCATACTGTGCGGGCTCGCGTTCTGGGCGGGCAGGAGCGGGAGTATAAGCGTTTTGTGACCAGAGGGAGTCAGGGTGGAGTCTTGGTGAGTTGACTCTTGAGTTTATAGTGAGTTACGGTAGGTGAATACTGGAGCACACAGCCTTATAGGCAGCCCAGCGTTATGCTCTTGCGCTTTCTCATCCTAGCCACTCTTTTACCTTACCTTCAGTCTAATTCAAGTATGTCTACCTTCCCCTGTACATACATAGTATAAACATACGACTCCGACTCCGATTCTCTATCGACCCTCAATATGTCCTGCTCCTGCCCCGACAACAACAACACTACTACGAATGTGAAGTGCTTTCTAGCTATGGTAGGGGACAGGCCCAGGGAGGACGTGTATTCTCTGTACCGTCTTTCTTCGGCTTATCATTATCCATGAGCTCTTCAACTTCTTCTTAAGGAAATCTATAATTGCGGTTGGATTTATGGCTTCTGCTCCTGATGACGACAGACTTGAGCGTGTAGAGAGATATCAGAGATAAGATAAGAGACTTGAAGAAGTACGACGCTTAAGACTTGGTCCAGTTCATAATGGACAGTCTGCTAGGGGCCTTTAAAGCAACGCATGCATATCATCTAGTTGCTGCAGGTCCCAGGATCAAACTTGGTAGCTAGAATTTTCAGATGTGTAGGGGTGCTAACGCCTGCAGCCAGTGAATTCGAGTATCAAGCGTATTAGAGAGTAGGGGAAGAAGAAGGAGGATGGAATACCAAGACATTTCAAGTAAAAAGCGGAGGGCGAAGGGATGGAGCATGCAACTGCCAAATATCACGAAATTCTCGACTACCCGTCTTGAAGCCGGATCGACGCTCTTGGCACTGATTTGCTTGTGATTGAGCTTGTAGGTGAGATATAATATAAGCATGAGGAGCAAAAGGAAGAGGCTGCTTGGTAATACCCATGCGATTGGGTTGTTTCAGGTTCAGGATTGCTGTGTTAAGGAAAGGAAGCTGCTGGATGGAGGCACAACTGAGACAAGGAGCGAGGTGGCGTAGCCGTGGCGGGATGTCTGAGGCTAGTGCGAAACGTGCTTGGTCATGTGCTTCTGGACCGCCGAGAAGTTTTGCTCAGCGAATGCTCGGCGATAAGGACCTTGGAAAAGCAGTCTGGCATCAGCGAAGGATGGGTGGGCCAGCTCAAAGACAGCTCTTGCCGACAGCGGTTCGATAGATTGACTGTGCGATTGCAGAAGGAAACAGATTGTGGACAATGAAAGCGATGGGGTGGTACGACAATGACGGAATATGGGCGGTGGAAGGACATGCCACAGTCTAGAATTGCCATACGAGCACAAGGGCGAATCGCATCAATCGTGGGGGAAGGAAGTATCCGGACCTGTCTGCGCCGATTGTGGAACCGTGAGGCTGCTGAAGGCTGGCAAAACCGTTGACGAACCGCTTGATGGTGCAAAGCGTCGTCGGTGATGAAGCGATGACGTAAGTGGATCTCCCACAATTGATCCATGCCTCGCCGAGTGCGAATGGTGAATTACTGGGTTTGCAGCAAAGTCCCGTGCTGGAGAGCAGCTTGATGGACCGCTGAATAATCTGGTGGGCATGCCTGGGTGGAGTCAATTCGCTGTTGCAGTGAGATCGCCGCCAAGCCAGGTGAGCGGGAGAGATGCGCGACATGCTAGCCCTTTCGAATTAGAGAAGTCTGCGAGGGACGACGTTGCCGTCGGGCAGCTCAGTGGAGGCTTCACTGCACCCAGAATAAATCATATCGTGCGCCCAACAGACTGCAGGCTGCTGGCGCCAGAAAGTTGATTGCACCTGCTTCGTTATTCTGGATCGGCAAGCTCTAGCGTACACACCTCGACGAACAGTCCTAGTGCACCTGTACACACACCCACGCAGGACCAGGAGCCGTGGACGCGCCAGCAACCCGGAGCTGGAGACTTCTGTCTGACTCCTGCTGTACACCCTCACGCTCGCTGCACATTGCTGGTCAAGAGGGTGACCTGGTTGACATTGGTTTCCTAAGCCGTCGATCACCCTGGCTCTGCTACACCCTCTATGAACCGGCCCAAGTCCATCTTCACAGGAAACACTTCTGCACCATCCGGGTCTGCCAATCCAGACGCCAGACGCCTGAGCACGCCCGAGTACCTCGAGTCTCTCACCTACGGAGCAGCGGCGCCGAAGCCTTCCACACTGCGCGAGTGCTCGAAGCCGTCTACATGGCGGATACAGTCCCCTCCTGATCAGACTCAGCTCCGAACGCCGTCTGCGTCTGCTCTCTTGTCCAACACACCCAGTGCATCTTTCACGGGGCCGGCGCCTATAAAACCCCCGTCAGTCGTAGCGGGCAAGAAGCGTGCCGTCGCGCCGCAAGACAACCCGGAGCTGCTGGAGCCTGTGAACGAGCCTCTGCTCAAGCGACGGCGCATCCACGGTCGCGCAAGGCACGCGCTCGACCATTTCAACTTCCCGACGTCCTTCCGGGACAGCAAGGAGCAGCCGCCATCGCCCCTCTTCTTTTCGTCGCGACGAACCCGACCCCAGCTTCCGGCCCGATTCTCGAGCTCCGAGGCGGCAGCGAGGATGCTGAGCAAGACCCGTGGGGAGGAGAGCGGCATCAAGACGGTAACACTTGCTCGTGGAACCTTCAGCGGGCTGAGTCCGCCCGGTGTAACAAGCGGTCCGGGTGGGAGGAGTTCGGACCGGCCCAGTGTGCCGAGGACCTGCTCCCCCGATGGACGCGACAGGAACGACCCGCTCAGGCTGCTAGGTTCTGTCGGCATTGTTGAGCTATTAGAGCAAGATACTCGCCCGACCTTCATCGTCGATATTGGAGATTCGTGCAACTACACCCCTGGTTCCACCGCTCTCCAGATCCTCTTCGCGAACAGTGCCCTTCGCTCCAACTCATCGACATGGGAACTGGTAGTTGGCAAGCCATCAGACGAGCATGCAGATGATGTGGCGTCCCATGCCTTAAGCCAGTTCAAGGGCTGGCTACTCAGCACTGTTATGCAAGGAGGTAATCTAGACATCAACCCCCGGCCAGTCGAGCACGGGGGTATCATATGGTCATGCTACACCCTGAGGAAACACTTACGTGTGGCCTCTGGTGCCGTCTTTTCTCCTTTGACTTCGGGTATCCCGTCTACAAGCGCCTCTAATGAATTCACCATCCCATCCTCTTCATCAGCTGCTCTCACCTCTAGCAGTGGAGCGGCGCCGTCATCATCTTCCGCCCAACCAAGTGAGCCGCAGGACTACTTCGGTAATTCAATACCCACCCTTACAGAGGAGCTGATTAAGGAACCGACGCCTATACCTCCCCCGCAACTCAATCCAGATCACCCTATCATTAACCCCACCCCTATTTCTGAAGCTGCATGGGTAAAACCCGACAAAGTGGATATGCCCGGTGATGCCTACCCATCATTCACAAATGAGTGTGTACTCCGTGCTCAGAGCGCGGGTGATGTTGACGCTTTTCATAGAGACCTAAACCCTCCTCAGGACCACGATGTTGGGTTTTTCGATTGGACAAGATTATCTTTATCCCCTTCACTCCCCAGGCACATTCAATTTGCCCGCTCGATCGACTGGGCTTCCACACCTCTAGGCCCGATAGAGTACTGGCCCAATGATCTGAGAACTATGTGTAATCTGATCATGTGGGCGACTAGTATCCGTACACTTTCAAAGACGGACTGACAGGTCTTTAGGGCGAGTCCACATCCAGCGGCAATGTATTGGGGTGACGAGCTCGTAGCCATCTATAACGAGGCATACATTGGTACTCAATATCCGGCCCTTCCTTATATAATCACCCTAACGAACCATTACAGGACTAGCAGGCCAGAAGCATCCATCACTTATGGGTCAAAGTTATAAAGAGGCCTGGGCCGAGATCTGGGACGATGTCAAAGACGTTTTCGCGAATGCACGCCAGACAGGCCAGGCCACCATGAAGGTTTGTGCACCATTACAGTTGAAAATCTGAATATTGATCGAGATAGGACGATGACCGTTTATTCATGAAGCGAAGCGGCTTTCTTGAGGAGACTTACTTCTCATGGTCCATCATACCAATGGTCGGCGAAGATGGTACTGTTATGGGCCTTTACAATCCGGCATTCGAGAAAACTCGACGAAAAATTGCGGAACGCCGGATGCTTACCTTGCGAGAGGTCGGCGAACGAACCGCTATTGCCCGAGATGTCAAAGGTTTCTGGGAGCAAGTCCTGGGCGCGTTGACCGAGAATGAGTTCGATACCCCCTTCGCCTTGCTCTATTCTGTCTCCGACGACACCGATAGCGATTCCTCGTCACTACATTCGAGCAGCCTTCTAGGTACCAAGCAGTGTTATCTGGAGGGCACTTTGGGTGTGCCTAGGCATCATCAAGTCGCGCCGGAACAAATCGACTTAAAGGAAGGTAAAGAAGGCTTTGGCCCCGTATTCCGGGAGGTCATGAAGACTGACAAGCCTATGGTTTTAAGTATTGGTACGGGGGACCTTCCATTATCAATGATGGAAGGACTTCAGTGGCGAGGATTTGGAGATCCGTGTCGGGATGTTGTCGTTTGTCCAGTCCACCCAACTACAGGAGAATCAATGCTCGGGTTCTTGGTGATGGGAATTAATCCTCGGAGGCCGTACGATGATGATTATAATCTCTTTGTTCAGCTACTCAGCCGCCAGCTGGCTACCTCACTCGCATCTGTGGTGCTCTTCGAAGAGGAAATTCGAAGAGGTCAGAAGGCTGCGAAGCTCGCAGCAGAGGATCGCCTTAATCTCTCCGAACAGCTCGCCGCTCGTACACAAGAAGCACGCGACAGTGAAACTAGGTTCACGAGAATGGCAGAGTACTCGCCAGCTGGGCTCTTCATTGCTGACCACGAAGGCCGTATTACGTATTGCAACGATACCTGGTATGAGATCTCGCGAGTGCCAAAAGACCCCGAGAGGACAGACAGGTGGATAGACTGTGTGAAAGAAGAGGACCAAAATCTCATCCGACATCACTGGAGAAGGCTGGTCGAGAATGCGGAGTCGATCAACGTAGAATTTAGGTTTAAGACTCCCTGGCAGGATCGGAACGGCAACAAAGGCGATACTTGGGTGCTCTTCTGTGCTTTTCCTGAAAAATACGAGGATGGAATGCTGAAGAGTGTTTTCGGGAGCATCACCAATATCAGCCCCCAAAAATGGGCTGAAGGTTTTCAAAAAAGGAAAATGGAGGAGGCTGTGGAGTTGAAGCGACAGCAGGAAAACTTCATCGACATTACAAGTCACGAGATGCGCAACCCATTAAGTGCCATATTACAGTGCGCCGACGAGATCTCAACGTCCTTGAGCGATCCCCGGATTGCGGATGATCCTGCTATCGCCAACGATGTTGTAACGAATAGCATTGATGCTGCTCAAACGATAGCGCTGTGTGCACAACATCAGAAACGTATCGTTGATGACGTTTTGACGCTGTCTAAACTTGACAGTGCCATGCTCATGGTACGTATTTGGATAGTTGAAGAATTTTCATAAATTCTCCTAACCTTGTATATAGGTCACTCCAGTTGATGCCCAGCCCTTAAAGGTAGTCGAGCGAGCACTCAAGATGTTTGAAGGTGAAGTGCAAACTGCAGGTATCCAGATGGAGTTTGTCGTGAATGATTCCTTCACAAAGTTGGGCATTGATTGGGCTAAACTCGACCCTTCAAGGGTTCTTCAGGTCAGCCCCAGCATCCTGGTAATATCAACAGAAAGCTTATAGTATAACATAGGTGCTCATCAATCTAACGACAAATGCTATTAAGTTCACCACCACCGAGACAAATCGCACAATCAAAGTCATTCTCTCAGCATCTCGAGAACGGCCTTCGAGTAAGTTCGCAATGGTCGACTTCTTTCCATCTCGTTCTAAGAGGGTGGATCAAACACTTGGACCCGATTGGGGTGACGGCGAAGAAATATTCCTCGAATTTGCGGTCCAAGATACTGGTCGAGGTCTCAACGAAGAGGAGATGAAACTTTTATTTCAACGCTTCCACCAAGCTAGCCCACGCACCCATGTCCAATATGGAGGGTCAGGTCTCGGCTTGTTCATTTCCCGTGAACTGACTGAATTGCAAGGCGGCGAAATCGGCGTCAGCTCCAAAGCCGGGAAGGGCAGCACTTTTGCATTTTATATCAAGTGTCGTAAGACTGCGAGGCCACTAGATGATACGACGGACACCCTTCCCTTGCCTGTAACACGGCAACCTTCCAATGCGAAAGATCGTCCCCGCATTGACGTGCTCAGGGTCAAAGATTTTGCAACCATTCCTAAAGAGGCTGTTGTGGGAAAGATCAAAACACAATGGGCACATCTGAAGGTTCTGATTGTTGAGGACAATCTTGGTGAGTCTTCAATTTCCCATCAACAACAAAATTTTGTCGACTGATCCTTTTGAAGTCAATCAGAAGGTCCTTAAACGTCAACTTTCAAACTCGGGGATAACCACATATGTTGCAAATCATGGTGGTGAAGCTCTAGAAATTATCAAGGGATCGCAGTACTGGAAGGAGAGCGGACCTAATGCTATTGATGTTGGCGTCGTCCTTATGGACAAGGAGATGCCGTGGGTATCGCTTGCAGATACGGAAGAGTACAACGCTGACTATTCTAGTGTAATGGATGGCCTGCAATGCACCAGTCAAATCCGCGAGTGGGAGCAGAGCGGCCTTCTCAAACACCATGTCCCCATCATTGCAGTCACTGCAAATGCACGGAGTGAGCAGATTGCAACGCTTCTCGCCGCAGGCATGGTGAGTTTTGAATACTCAAGATGTGGTCTACTCTTATTGACATGTACAGGACGATGTCCTCTCAAAACCATTCCGGATTGGTGACTTAATACCTAAGATCGAAGAGCTTTCAGCAAAATATCCAGTTTCTGCTTTGACAGACCGTCCAGGTTTGGTGGTCACCCCTAAACATACGCCAATATCAAATCATTTCATGTCGTCAGAGTCGGCCATATAAACTTTCTACCATAACTTGTAAGGGTAGAGGCCTATCGATCGCTATTTTTTGACCTATTACTCATAGTATGGCGTTTTGGGGTCACATAAGTTCGCACCCCCTGTGAGCTTTGGTCAATCTACCTGGCTTTTCTTGGGCGACAAAAGCTTTTAGGCTTTTGGGATGGCGGCTCAAGTCATGTTGCTAGCATATCCTGGCGCTTTGTCTCACTTACTGGGGATCAGGAATAGATTTCATGTGTTAGGAGACGAATACATACCCATCTAGTGGGGAATAATCTCCTAGGCAAGTGGATCTAAAGATTCAATTTTCAATTTGATGCGATAGGCTTGGAGTCCTGCATTGTGCAGGGCAAGGCTCGGCACAATACACACCTCTGAACTCAATTTCCAGTTTCTCTTGGCCTGAATGAGTTTGCAACAAAGGATCTCAGGATAGTTGAAAGGTTGTGAGGTTTCATGGCAGACATAAGATCACGTGATACCGGAAATAACATGTTCCAGGTTCCTTGGCACTGCGGTGGGCAAAGGATGTACCACTTGCGCACTTTCTTCCTCTAACTAAGTACATTCTTTCTCATCCCTGCACTCTCATTTTCGCTTGAGATGGTATACGATTGGGGTGACAAGGAAGCTGAATGTTTCAGATTGTATGTACAGGAAAAGAAGAGCCTGGATGAGGTGCTGCAGTACTGGCAGCAAAAGGGTTTCACGCCAAGGTGAGTGTGATGTGCACAATTGGAAATACAGGGCGCCGTACATTTCGCTGCACGTTTATCTCAGCTATGAAATTACTGACGATAAATCTATAGCAAACGGGCTTTCCAGACTCAATTCAAAGTACCTGTGCCCTACCCTCGCCCTGGCCTCTAACTGACCGTCACAATAGCGATGGGGTTTCCCCAGCAAGCAGAACCCCGCACACAAGAACCCCGCCCTCATTGCACGGGTCAAGCAGCTATGGGAGAACAATATCATGCAAAAGGACATGTTAGAAATACTGCAGAGTGAAGGGTTCCAGATCAACGATCGCGAATTGGTGCGAGTGAGATTGAAATTCAAGTGGCTGCTGAGGGAAAGCCGGGCGACCGAACACAACCACGTGCATGGACCCATGGAGAATGCCCCTAAGAAGGAAAGGAGAAAGGTGGTGTCATGCGGAGGTGACGGATTTATCAATGAGCTCGACAACGCAATATTGCAGAAGGAGGATTCGAGTGAGGAGTACTCTGAGGAAGACTTGAAAGTCGTGGAGTCTACCACACCCTCACGGACACCACCACTACAAACGCACTGTGGCCCTGAAATCGAACCTGAACCGGCGCCTTTAGATCCAGAAGAGCTTCGACGGAGACAGGAACGCCTAGTGCAGCTCCAAGCGGAGAGTGACGAACGGTGGCGAACGCGCAAACGACGGCGCCGAACTCGTGGGTGGGCCGGGCTGCCAGCAGATGCACCAGGAGAGCCTCCCAGATTCCCTTCGGAGACCACCATCGACGAAAGCAAAGCATACCTCAGTCTGAGTAACAAGGAATACCGTCAAATCCGAGAACAGTTCCAGGTGATTTGTGAGGAACATGGGGTGCTGAAGAAGACCCTTGCTGGGCCAGAAAAATGGGGCTATATCAAAGACCAGCTGATTCGCAAGAACGAACACTTGTCGAGTGTGTTTCAGCAAGATCCTGAAGCGAGACAGCAAAACGTGCAAATGTCAATGCCAAGCAACGTCAAAGCTTTGTCGCTCGATGTGATATGCCTGGATGTCACAAAACGCATGCGAGTACTTGACAATAGGATGCGGATTCCAGAAGCGAAGAATGCGCTGGGGCTCAATCCTGAGGAAACTAGGCAGGTCAGAAAGACATTAGTTGCAAAGTTGAAAGCGGACCATTTCACAAGCAGATTGGAGGCTGGTGATGAGCGCTGGAATGAGCTCAAGCAGACTTGGATCCAGGAGTCCGATCTCCTATCTACGCTCCTTGCTGCTAGTGCTGCGGATCCAAAACATGCAGAAAAGACCAAAGCTGTTGACGTTCTAGCCCGGGATGTCATGAAAAGGTTTCGTCAAGAGAACACCAAGAAAGATCCCTCGCGGAAGGCGGAGGTCAACCAAGGACCTGGACCAGGGCCTGCGCCAGCGTCCGTCGTACGCGTATCGAATAGTCTCCTCGGAAACCGAGGCAGGACACCGAGGAGCAGCGCAAAGCCAACGAACAATGACTTGCTACCAATTCCGACTTCCTCTGACTTGCAGATTGACCCTTCGCTACTACTGGCCGCGAATGACCCATCAGTGAATCCTCATTCATCGAGTGATTCTCTCCAACCCCAGGCTCACCACAACCCATATGTCCTAGCGTCTCAATTCTATTCTGGTGTCCCTCTACCCATCTATTTCCGGCTACACCCTCACTCAAGTACCACTGTGCCCAACAAGACCGTGTGGTTGGGTATCTTGCAGGGGGGCACGGTAGCAGAGATCAGGAATCTAGCAACGAGAGAGCATCCAGGTACTGTGGTCGTCAAGATTGAGGGTCTGATTGTGCACAAGATGGATCATAGTGAGAGGGATATTTTATTCACTATTGATGAAGATGATGAGTTGGCGGCGTATCTAGGGCATGTGGGTGGTGGAAAGGCAACGTTTATTGTGCTAATGGCTGCTGCACAAGGGGGGGTGTACGTATAAAGAAGGATATTTATGTTCCAAAAATGCTGTCGGCTCAAAAGAGCCATCTTTACAATTAAGCTTCTTTAATGTAACCCCCTGGAAGCATTTCCGGTCTGCTCTCCAGGAAGTGATTTGCATGCGCGTTCGGCATCAATTGACCCGACTTTCCGACATCGTTGTCGGCCAAGCAACAATCCGTGATCCAATGCGTCCCGAACGTCACCTCCAAAACCGACAATATAACTACCATGGAGTTCCTATTGCCTATTTTTAATCTGGAATTGTATACGACCGTGGCTCTTGTACTCGGATTTCCCGACTCAAACACCCACTCTGAACACCCACCATCCTCACTCCCGTTACGTCTCAATCTGAGATCTATACAAGACTCGGGATCCTTGTGACAACCTATGTAGATCCAGCAACAAGAAAAGAGGTCATTCCGCCTGCTAGATATACTTGAAAAACATCCAGACAACACAACCCATCGATTCGTACAAGAGGGCCATCCTCCTCAAACGATAGCTTAGCCCGCGAGCACAACATAAACACTATGGCAGCCCCGAAACTCCTCCAAAACAAGGCCATGGCAATAACTGGCGGCGTGACTGGCATTGGTCGTGCCATAGCGCTCGGCTATATCTCTCACGGCGCACACGTCGTGGTCAACCATCTCGGGGACGCGAAATCGCATGAACAGTTCCAAAGCATGCTTGATGAAGCTGAACAAATTTTGGGGGGGAAAGAGGAGGCGGAGAAAAGGTTGGTGGAGGTTCCGGGCGATGTGGGAGAGCCGGATACGGGGAAGAGGCTGGTGAAGGAGGTGGTGGAGAGGTGGGGACGGTTGGATGTGTTTGTGAGTAATGCAGGGGTTTGTGAGTTTAGGGAGTTCTTGGAGTATGTATATGCAGTTCTCTCCCTTCTCCCGTCCAGCTTTGCCTTCTAACGCCCCTCCTCCAGCATAACACCTACTCTCTGGACCTCAACCCTAACCACCAACCTCACAGGGGCCTTCCACACCATCCAATCCGCCGCCCACCAAATGACCCTCCAGTCACCCCCCGGCGGCTCCATCATCGGCATATCCTCCATCTCCGCCCTCGTTGGCGGCGCGCGTCAAGCGCACTACACGCCCACCAAAGCAGGCGTCCTCTCACTCATTCAATCCTGCGCTTGCGCGCTCGGAAAATATAGCATCCGGTGTAATGCGCTATTGCCTGGGACTATCAAAACACAGCTAAATGACAAGGATCTGGAAGACGAGGAGAAGAGGAAGTATATGGAGGACAGGATTCCTTTGGGGAGGACGGGCGTCACGCAGGATTTGGTGGGACCTGCCGTGTTTTTGGGATGTGAGGCGTTGAGCGGGTATGTGGTGAGTATTGTCCTTTCTTTGGCCTTAGCTCTAGCCTTAGCTTTGGCCTAGTTCTTCTGTCTAGGAGAGAGGGAATATATGAACTAACGTGTAGGAATAGACTGGTGCGCAGTTGTTGGTTGATGGTGGTCTGTTTGTTAATCTGCAGTAACAGTACCATCCATAATCCTCTCGGGAATTGATCAGGTATAGCACGACATATCTCGCTGATTCTGAGGCCCTAAAAGTTGGCCGTGATGGCAGCGTGCATTCGCATCCTATGGAATACGACCTCGGTGGAGTCGATCTGTTAAAACTCTGGCTAGAATTCAGAAAGTTGTTAGGAGGATGCTAATCTCTACCCTAAATCATGACCTTGCCACTTCCCGTTGTAAGTATCAGCAGCATGCAGTGCCAGAACGCACGACAGCCAGCTTGCCCACAGCTGAAGAGTTGACCCTGAACATGACTAAGAAATCTGAATGTGTATGCTCATCTTCCATGTCTCTCAAGCCTCAACGTAACATATTACCCCTCCGCATTTTATACACGCGCACACACTGAGTCCACATCCATTTTCTATCTGCAGTCTCGAGCGGGGAAACAACAAACCCTCATCCTCGTCACCTCGCTACCAGATTCCCGCTTACCAAACCTAGTCTTGCTTGCTTGTTCCCACACAGCTGGGAGATCGCCAGTACGGCACGCAGACGCGTGGAAGGTCCAGCCATCAAAGCCATCGTAAGCCCTGGAGTATTCGAATGCAGTCACCGGGATTCTTCACCGCTCACAAAATAACTCTTGCGTCAAACAGGGATAGGGACATCGACAGTAGCCAGAGAATGTTGAGGACGTATATCCAGTGCAGAAAAAGAAATATACAGACAGACAGACAAAAAACTTCCGCGGAGGGAAAATCATTGTGATCAGTGTTGAAGCCACGTGTTTGCTTTTGTCGGTTAGAACATGCCAGTGTTGAAGAACATATCGCAAGCAGAAAATGCAATATGTCGTAGTCTAGGTCATTTTGATGGGGTAATGGGCTTGGGGTGTACGTGGTGTTGTTGAAGAGAGACTTGGCTTGGGATTCATGAGGATATTGTTGGAAGAGGTTTTTGTGTTGTTTCGTATCGATAGGAATAGGGGCTGTCGTTGGATATTTCCTTCTCTTCTTGGGAACTAGGGTGAGAGCTATCCCCGCCGTAAGTATGTGATGGGCAAGGTATGAGGTAAACCAGGCTCCCTCAAAGCATATCGATGTTTACCTTCATATCTCCACTCCGTATGCCTCACACCCCGACCTCCACCAAACACTTTCTTTTCCCTCTGTGTTAATCCACATGTTCATTCTCTCTCGCTCTAATACTTTCTCGACAACATCGCTCCACATTCCCCAGCTCTGCTCTCCTCTCGGCCCTCCAATGTTGCATACCGGCCAGTCAGATCCAAACATTGTTCGGCCAGGGCCGAATTGTGTCAGAGTCGCACTTATTTCAGGTTCTAGGTGCTTGAGGAGAGAGGAGACATCAGCGGGGGTCGGATCTGGAGCAAATTCATTGAAGACACCGGAGAGTTTCATGTAGACAAGTGGCTGGGACGCAAAGCGTGTAATGTTTGCGAGCCAGTTGGTACGGGAGTGACAAGGGCTGGCGGAGAGATCGGGTTTGCAGAGGTGGTCTGGTGATTGGGTTAGTGTTTAGGAAGGTATGGTATATTGTGTGCTATAACGACTTAAGCACTTTACCTCAAACTGGATAGAATATCGACCAGAAAGAGAATATGGGGTTTTTGAGTAAAGATGAATGTGGCTAGGAATTGTAAAGCTTAGGAAGGGTCTAGCAAGTTGTTTTTGAGTTAGGAAGGTAGGAGAGATCAAGCAACTTACTCAACACAAATCTAACCCTGCCATCTTTTCCATCCCCTTCCATCTCTCTCACTCTCTCCACCATATCAGCAGCCACCTCCATTTGCCAGATACCTCTATGATGTGAATCGACCCCAATGTCAAAAGCCCAGCCCTTGCCTTCTCTCCCACTTCTTAACCGCAAAACATTTCTCAACCAATCCCGGCTCTCCACAAGTTTCCTCATCTCACCTTCGAGCTCGATACCTTGCAGCAGATAGCGAAAGCCAACCACTCTTTTCCACAACTGCGGTCCAGAAATGTCCTCAGCAATCTGAAGGTAAAGGTCAAAGAGTGGCACAGGGAGGTGAAAAGGCGCCCAGATTACGCAGCCAACCATCTTCTCTCCATCTCCAGAATCAAAGCCATCACCCTCTTCCGGGTTGCCTTCAACCATTCGCCGTAAGAATTTGAGTTCTTGGAGTGGTTCGTGCGCCCATTGCCGAACCTTCTGCTCTGAGTTTGCAGTCCCCGATACATCACTAATAATTCCTGGTGTTGGTGAGGGGAGGTATCGGTCTGTTTCCACATATATGAAGCCAGAGGGATGGATTAGCGAGGTAGAGTGCGTGACGGTGTTGTAGTCGGATATGCCGTGACGTTTTGCCAGAGGGTGGCCTACAGTCATCCATCCGTGATGTATCGGAGACGTAGAGGTGCTAGGCCAGAGGTGGATGTGTGTGTCTAGGAGTTTTGTTGACGCCATATGGTGAACAACCTTGAGGAAAGAACAGCCTAAATCTCGATTCGGAAGGACTGTAAACTTGGTGCTGGATCGGGGGGGTACTATTTGAGGCTCTGCTTAGTGTTGCATCAGTGATCGATGTAATTTTGCTTAGATGTGCAACAGTGAGTTGGGCAAAAGACGAGATAGCCGACATCAAGTGCTGGTCAACCAACCTTGAGCCAGAACAATTACCGCAGTTAATGCCTCAGACCACAGATGCAACCTCGAACCCAACAGCTCGGGGCGACAGGAGGCCTGAAAGTTCTCGACAGGTACAGAGTCGTTTTCGAGCAAAAAGGCTCGAAGACCCTGAATTGGCAGCAGACGATACGAATGAGGCTGGAACCCCTGGAAAATCCCACGTATCGACGCTGTGCACATGTCAAAGTGGGGTAGGAAGCAGACCCTGGGTTGGTGTGACAGCCTGGGGTGATGGGCATATTCGAACCGGGGTAAAGTGCGCCGAACCCTGGTAAACACCGACAGTCACGTGAATTGCACCGATGGACCAGCGGGAGAGCAGGGGAGGAAGCGCCGAGAGCAACTCGTCCGAGGACGTGTATTCTTCTCGTGGAGTGAAGAGTTTTCAACGAGATCGACACATCAATTCCGTGCCCCTTCTAGTCACACATCTGAACGCAGTTCGATCAAAGGAGAAAGAAGTCCTCTTAGTATCCCTCACAATCAACGGATAGGAGATACGTTTCCTCCCACTGTACCTGACGGTGCCCGTCGTTGGCTTCGACGGCAATTGCTCATTCCCGGGTCTAATTCTGTCCGCGAGTGGTGGCTAGACTCACAACAGAAGCCGTAGACCCGAGCAATGCATTCTCCGAGAGTGCTCATTTGTTGACTCGATTGGATCTGATAGCAAACAATTACCAACTAGGGCCCGTGTACAGTGGGGGCGGGGTTCACCTTGATGGACACTTGGTTGAAAGCTGATTCAGTGCGTTGCATAGGGCTGGTGCATGTCTGGCCGAGATCTGGTCTTGTTAAAAAACTATTTGGAGGGGTTTGGGTAGTTTTGATGTACTGTCAGATGGGATAGCCGGTGTGGGACCTGACGACTACTGGTAACTTCGCTGGTGCCAGACGTAAGGTAAGCTGGCGCGCGACCGGTGAAAACGCGTCGAAGGTGCCGAAGAGCTGTGCGGCAACCTGTCGGAAGTTTCAAGTGTGTGCACCGGAATTCTCGGGAATACTCGGGTTCGGAACTGAATGGCTGTTCGGCTTGGTGCTTGTATAGGCCTGTGCAGCCAGGGTATTGAATTAAGTTCACAATATTAATTGGCTTGAAACATCGAGGAGGATCGTGAATGTCAACATCTTGCAAGAACAATTGTGCATTTGAAGAATCCGTGGAAGTTGCAATTACCTGTTCTTGCAAGGAACACCCCGAAGATACATCCCGCAGAGCCTTATGCATGTGTGGATGCGGAATTGCGGGGAAGACGTCAAGTGTGAACTCCGTATTCATTGACTGGAAAGTATCTGGCATGCGATTCTGGGAAGGCTTGTCGCTCTCGGAGGCGTCTGAGCTCCACGGGGAGGGCAAGATTGTCGATTGCCGACCCAGCTGCGGAAGCCGGAATGCTTCCGAATGTTATATCTGAGGTTGGTGTGCGCATCTTGATTGTTGAGGACACTATTAATTGTACTGGTAGGGAAGCCTAGAGGAGCTCTAGTTCCTTTAATGCTAGATCGTATGCATGCACCGTTAGCGGAGGGTGAGCCTTGGGGAATTTGCTTTCTCAGTGGTTCCCTTCATCCCTCAAGAGACCCGTGATGGCAGACATACTATAGTAGTCTGCATTGGGACGGGAACGATGCTTTAGATCTAAAGATCTTCGCAACAAGATCTTGGCAAACACGACTCGAAGACCCAACTCAGCTGAAAGCGACAAGGATAGGATAAGGCAGGGGAGAAATGTGTCTAGCAGGATTCGGAATTGTAAAAGATGAGTGTGGGAAATCGACGGTCGTGGAGATGCTTCACTAGTAACCTTAGAAAGTAACGTCGATGCATAAATCTAACAGGCAAGACAAAGAACAGCAGAGTTAGAAAACAATTGGCCGGGAGAGGTTGAATTACAGTGTGAAAATTACACGTAGAAACCCAACACACGGGTCGCGCGAATGACAGAAAGATGGAACGACAGATCCCTCGTAAGTGCAAGGAATATGGATAACCCAGACCGACGTACAGCTTGTTGCATGTTTCAACTTACGCAGAGCAATGGTCAACTCATGTATACGTGTGCGAAGGCTTGAACGGTGAAGGAAGTCGCTTTACTGAGTTGTTTTTCTTATGCGCCGTATCCCAGTTCCCCGGCGAATGACAGTCGGTGAAGAATTTTCACGGGACCCAGCGGTATGGTGTCCATTGAGCGGTTGTTGAGCGAAAAATAAATGTCTGGTGTTGATGACGGCACGCACGAGTGAGTCCACTTCAAGGAAGTCGGTATTCCAGTTCGGAGTTAGAGTCGACAGTCGCATATCCAGATTACCTTCTTAATACTTTGACCAACAAGATAGGTTCTGTTCTGGATTATTCCTAGCAACATCAACGCCGACAGCGGTTTGACTGAGCGTGGCGCTTTCGCTCCGCCTGCACCTGGACACTTCGAGTCTCTGGTTGATTGACAATCCTTCCAGGTACCAATGGTACATCGTTCTTTTTCCCATTGGTGAAATATGGGCCCTGTAAGCGGCACGCGATGCAGCCGGGATAGTCGACACTCGCCCGCTCCGAAAGTGGCATGTATTTCTGCGGATGGGAGGCCGGGTCACTCCATACTGCATGCATTCATGGCTATCAGATGTTGACGAGATGTAAACAATGCATCTGTCTCGTCGCCAAGGCTCAGTGAGCTTGTTCCAAGGTTCCTTTCTTTGTCTCAAGCAAGTCATGACTAACCTCTAGTTGCACATGGAACTGGCCTTGCTCCGTTTTCGGCTGCAATCCGGCGCCTCAGCTGAGATGTCGACTGGCCTGCGGGAGCGGGAGATGACGAGCATAAAGTTTGGATAAAGGTCCCTCTTGTGAGAGTTCGCCTAAATCCTGGGGCGACTGGTGTCCGTTTCGGGTTGAGAAAGATACGTCGTCTCGTCATCTGCGGTACTAGGGTAAACCGCCATGGCTGTCCGCGGGAGTCGATGATGACAATGATGATGGTATGCCGGAAGAGGATGGATTCAGCGGACGAGGAATCTGCTGCCGACAAGTTTTTCCACGAAAAGGCTCCAAGCAAGACCCACAGGCCGCTGCAGGGCTTGCGCTGAACAAGATGTTGGTGGTTGGAGCAGCCATCGTTGACCCCTCAGCGCCATCGGCGTCCGCTAAGCTCGCAGGTCCAAAGTGCGCCATTCGGCCCCAAATGCAGCCAGCGAACAAAAACACCGCAGGCGCCTTGGGCGTCCTGACCCGGGCGGTGGCCGAGAGTGGAGACGACCTGGGAGGGCTCTCTCTTCTCGGTGCAAAAGCCCCAACCTGGTGTCCGAGGTAACGAGGAGATAATCAATCCACCTGCCAGACTGGACCGGTCGTCGGCAGATTGCCCTTCCTAATAACGACCGTAACCCGGTGGACGATGGCTCCTTGCCTGAGGCAGTACGATAACCTGCCACCAGCTTCCCGAACAAGCACGCCGTCAAACCGAGCGCTGCGCGAACCCGTCCTCAGCGCGGGAGAGATGGTTCGCGCTACGGAGGCCCGTGCGGGCTGAGATGAACGCTAAAGGTAGCGGGGTGATGGCAGTAGTTGTATCTAGAACACCAAGATCGTGGACTCGTATGGAGCCTGGAGTAGGCCGATCGTAGTGAGGTCCGAATTAAGTTTGTGCAGCCGGAGGCAGAATCAGTCTTGTGCAAAAGCGAGCCATGTGGCGCGTGTTGCACAAAATCTCGATGGAACTGGACGCGCGAGAACGAGACACTGACAGCCACCAGGTGCACTTGGCCAAAACGACTTTTGCATACACTACATGGGCGAGATCTTCGCTTTGCCCGAGATCAGGAACGCTTCAATTTTGAGAAAACAATGATGGATGATGACCCCGCTGAACGCCGTGTATCCCCCAACCCTTTTTAGTGACCCATTCGCTTCTTTTCCTGGTTCCCAAGAACCTTGCCCTCGACTCTGTCGGGCGCCTGGTGAGGCCTGTGGCCGTCGATACGCAGCGCATCGTCGAATCGTCTATAGATTACTGCTTCTCAACGCGCGCCAAGTCGCGCCTGTCCGGGGTCTGCTGACCAACGCGGATATGGTACTCCTCTTTCAACTCACAACATTCGGCATCGGAACGGCGCCTCGCTCGCGGAGCACAGGCCCTGCTGGTGGCGGTGGTGTTAGTGGAGGCGTGATTGTGCACATGTTTGGGATCGGAATCATTCTGATATTATCGTCCGTGTCTGCTCCTTCACGCGTGCCCCAGGTTGTCTAATGTCAGAAGTCGTCAGAAGTCTGCTAGTCTGGCGCTCATGTCAGGGGGGTGGTATACCTCTGTGACGGTAATGCAGCCGTACAGCTTGATCAAATTGTGGAAGTACCCAAAAAGGACCGAAACGGGGACGAAGCGAACATCGCCCGGGTTTCTTAACAAATGCGGCATAAGCTTGATCGTCTTGGAGAAGACATAGTGACCGAGGAACAAGGCCCAGAGCAGCTCGCACCGCCAGTCAGAGTACCCAAGTTCAGATAACGCAAAGTAAAAGCAGGCGAATAAGAGGCAGTCGTAGAGGAACGCCCATTGCGTGACGGTCGTCTGGAAGACGGCGTACAGAGACCACGGATAATTCCTGTCACGCAAGGAGGGGTTAGCGATAGGCCTGACTGCAGCGAAGAGTGGAGGTGGAGGGGAGGGGCAAGGCAGGGGCAGGGGTGGCTTGGCGCGTAACGACACACCAGAATTCCAGTTACACGGAGGAACACTTGGCAACTTACTTCCACATATGCAGCTCGCTCAGGCTGGTTAGATTACTTCTCCAATTGCTGCGCACCCAGCGCAAGCATTGCCTTAGATATTTCGAGTCGTTCTCCAGCGTCGTCTCCACCTCGCACTCGCGATGGTGCTGGAACTGGATCTTCCACCCGTGCGAGAACAACCACCGGGTGATGAAGTTGTCGTCATCAGCATTTAGGAAGTGGTCGCTGCCCCACGTCTCGTGGGTGAAGCCGTAGGTGAAGTTCGGGTCCTGCAAGATCTCGGTTCGATAAGCCACGGCTCTTCCGGACAGACACGGAAGTCCTCCATCCATCCAGTTGCACGCTGTGCAGTCGAAGTTTCGGCGGACCAAGTATATCGCGCCGAGGAACTCCCAGATATTCGAGCGGTCATTCCGGCGGAGGATTTGGTTTGTCCCCACGCCGCCGACTTGCGCATCTTCAAATGGTGCTAATATCCACTTCAAGAACTTCTCCGGAAGCCATACATCATCATCCAGGAGCAGTGTAATCTTCGTCATGACCTCCGGGATGGCTCGAGATAGCTGTCGGCGCTTGTTGGCCTGGCTGACAGATAGCACACGGATTTTTTTGGGAGAGCCCATCTCCTCAACCATCTGATATAGGCGCTTGATCCGTGAATCAGGCGTGACGAGGATGATTTCAGAAGGCTCTAGCCTCCAAGCTGTCTCAAGTGTCTCTTTTACTTGTGGCATGTCTTCGGCAACGGTAGGAATGATGACGGTAACGTCCTCTGAGGACAGAGTGGGCTCTTCTACAGGCTGGGTGGCCCTGTCGTTATAGTATGCGACCAGATTGGCCCATAGCCTCACATAGCGGAACAGACTATAATTCAATGTCAGTCCGTAGACCCAGACACTCCAAGATGAGCAGGCAATGGCTCGGCGAGCGTAGGAGTGTTCACATACAACAGAGCAACAAAATTCCATAACCAACTCCAATTCGGGGGAATCTGAAAAGCTAATGATAACATGATAACAAGCAACGAACGTGATAGGAAATGGAAATCACGGAGTGAAACGAGGACGAAGATCACATCGATGGAGGGAAGAATCCGACAGTTCCCCGGCGGGCATGTGAGGGACTAAATATTCAAGCCACATGTTTGCGGGCCCGGGCGGCGAAGATGATGTTTCGCTTCCAGGCACTGCAGGAGATTTCCCTTAGTAGAGTTTGGGGTTGTGTTAAGCTGGCTGGAATGAGGTAGTTGCAAAATTCCCAGAGGTGCATGGGTGTGCCGCCGATTCGGGGCTAGCATCAGCGTCCGCTAAAAGGGTCAGCGTCCACTAAAAGGGTGAGCGTCATGCTTGGATCCCGCAAGCCGTTGCACCAAGGTATTCTTCGCATACATTTCGGCCCACCCTGGCACTGACGCCAGGTCAGGGTTCGTCCGTGAGGTGAACAGCTTCGACCAGCCAGTTGCAGCCGCCCCGCCAGCGGTCCAAGTGCGTGCTGGTTGCTGGGCACGAGACAGCCCGCGACGCCCTCGATGCCCTCCTGCGGCCCCGCAGGCGCACGATCACCTCATTACGTCGCCAGACTCGACGACGTCGCCTGCCAGTCGCTGCGAGTGGCTCTAAGGGCGCGTGGACGTCGTCGCCATCTGCCACGGTGGGCTCGGGGGCCGGCCTTTGGCGATGCGGCTGATGATGGAAGGGCCAATATATCATCCCTCCGCTTGGCACTCTGGCGCGTCAAACCGCATCTCAGATCAGGGCTCCAGGCCCAAATTGCGCACAACACTTAGAGTGCCATGCACTAGCCGCTGCAAGCGTGGCCCAGCAGCAACTCCTCCGGCAAGCTCGCCCGTGGCGTGATGGCTGATAGGCGCACTGGCGCTCGCGGCAGGGCTGGACATCGTTTCCTGGATGCTATCGCCTGCTAGGTTGTCGTAGTGCCGTGCCGTCGGCTAATACCAGCAAATATTATGTCCCTCTAGACATGCCATCAAGGACAATATCCTCTCCAATCGACGCCCGGGGAGCTCGCCATTTTGTTCGAAACGCTGGCCAACGGGGGAATTCCTCAGGGGCATAGTCAACATGATTGCACGCGCCTAGCTAAGATGGTGCCGAATGCTCGACACAGCGACCCGAACCCCACAGCCATGCTCCTCACACCCACGCACCCACCAGTCCGCGAGAGGCGGCGTCAACGAAAACTATGCCACATGTTTCGTCTGGGCGCTGTGGCGTCCGGTGGGGCTCCCTCTGCTCGGCGGGCAGACTGCTCCCGGAGACCTCACATCGGACACATTGCCAGATGCAGCGGCAATATCCTCTCCGGCTTTCTCTCTTGAGCAGGACACGCTGCCGTCGTGCCTCAAGATTGACAGTCAATATCTCCGGGGCCAACAGAATCTGAGGAAAATGGGACGGAGACGTACCTGGCATCGGCTGAAGAGAATGTGGTCCACATCTGTTAGGAAGACTAATTCAAGCTCATGCTCGCCTGCACATTCAGGGGACCGGCTTGCACTTGCAGATCAGATGCACCGGGCCGCAGGAAGTACTTCCCCGGCCGAATCAACAACATTTGCGTGCCCGGGGCTGGGCCTGTCGTGCATGAAAAAAAAGAGATATATTATCTTGTGGGTGGGTGCAGGAAGTAGCACCAGCGGATGCGAGAGATCGAGAAAAGTTGCCGTCAGGGTAAGCTGCATCTCGCCGAGCGCCTCTGCACTTTGCTTTTCTTGAGATATGTGAGGTGTCGCGCGAGTTCCCAATCGACATGTTCAACTCGGTGCTCAAAGGTCGGCCTTGCATTTTTGTATTTTACACCAGTTTTAATTACCGTAAGTTACCAGTCATAATGAAACCATAACAATTGTGACTAGCACACACAACAAACGAAAGTCGGAGGTCGAGATACCCCTTGGATTACACTTGTTCACCGTAGTTTGAGCGAAATTGAAGCAGTGTTGTTGAAAAAGCAGTGATCCACCTTGCGTCATTATCCAAGAGGTCTGGTACTGGCGGCCCTGGTCTCCCGCAGAAGGGACCCATTTCCCGCGTTCCCCGATAGCCTATCCAAGGAGAAGACGCCTTCTTCTGAAAATACATGATGTGCCACTGCGTGTGCAACGGGAGCACGTTCTTTGTCTCCCGCCTTACGCACATGTAGTCACCACACATTTTAGCCACAACGAATCCTCCCTGGGTCTGTGTGCTGGGCCTTGTGCTGAAGAAAGGGGTTCGTGGGGAGCATGAAACAACACTATCTCTATCTACATTGTTCATGACCTCCTTCCCTTTCTTTGATGACCCAATGCTCTTGTCTTCGCCTGTGTTTACCGTCCGGGGTCGGATCATCGTTGCCTCGCCTATTTATGGACATGCAATCCTCCAACGCTCATCAGGATTCGTGGCTTCAGAGCGAGGCGCTGTGGAGTGGCAGGAGTCAGGCGAGGATGCCGCAGAGATACGGCTAACATGCACTCGGCATTGGAGATCAGGCTCGAATGCGGCGCAGCTAAGGTGTCGACACAACTGCGACATCGTTGTCGGATCATGCCTGCATTCTACACCGATCCAGATGCGAAGAGCAAGGGTCACTAATATGGAAGCATATCAAGTGACTTTCGGCTGGGTTGTTTCCCAAGAAGACGGTTTTTCTTCTCCTGCGCCAAAAGGAAAACTCTTCATCAGAACGTGAACTGACTTCAATGGTGGCCACCATAGAGCCCCGAAGCCTTTGGGTTGATTAACCGGGTAGATCAGTGCCTTCTAGCCAACAGCGCAAGTTACCTTCCAATTGAGGAACATGGGATAAGATAAAGGCAGTAAAGGTCGTAAGATATCGACATCTGACGGTTAATTGAGCCGGCACCATGCAGGAAGAATGAATTAGAGAAGATTGCTGAAGGTCAAAGAGAAGAATTATACATGGCGGGGATATAGAGTGAGGGTTCTCAGCAAGGCAGTGATCGGTCCGACGGTTTCTATGGGTTGTGAATCAACCATGGCCATTGGAAGTATCATGTCAGTATGACAAACACCACAAGGTGACCAAATACCCTCATCACCGCTGTCTTCCGAGTAGCATGCAACGCACGACGTCCAGGGCTGGTCCGTTCACAAGACGATGTTCCGTACTTCACTCCCAAACAGGATGCTTAGGTCTACGCGCATTGTCCACAGAGGAGTTTGTCAACAAGGTGTCCAACTCCTTCCCGTGAGAGAAGCTGCCTCATCAACATCTATTCAAATGCTCGCTGTGGTCTCGCTTGGAGTAGAATGGGGGGCGGTATTCGTATCTACCATCTCGGTGGTCTTCGATTAGGAGTTGACGGCATTGGACAGTCAGGCTTTCCATCGAATTGTTGTACGATATGAGTAGGATCGGAGGGACAGTCAGGGATAGAGGAGGACTAAGCTGTTGAAAACTTTGTCAATGAGTTCGGCCGGTGAGCCTGATGGATTAAATTAGACTCTGCCCTCTCAGCATCAAGACAGTTCATCCTCCAGCACCATAGATGACGTGAGAGGGATGAAGCCGACCTTCTATGATAGCCCAAGAGACGGGGAGAGAAGGACTTGCGTGAGTCTTCTTCGGCGCGTTCAGCGCTCCGAGGTCCTGCCATCCCAGCAAGTCGCTTTCTGCAGCAGAAGCGTAGGAAACATGCCGCTGATATTGTGGTAGTCCCATTTGACATCCTTTAGACGTCTAGGTTGGTCTCTCGCAGCCTTTTCACTAATCGTCGTCTTGTCTTTAGTGTTCGGTTTTATCGAGAACTGCCAAGCCTTTCCACTCACCAGAGGTCTCCAAGCAATAAAGTCCCTGGGTAGGCAGCGTTGATGGAATGGGTTCCTTGAGGCGGAATCGGTGGGTGCATGTCTGGTAAGCAACGGTGTGGAGGTTGGCAGGTCGGGCCTGTCCATGGAACACGCCAGCACTAGCGTTCCTATGATGATTCGCATCACCATCAAGGCACGGCGCGTCATCTTAGCACCCCTTCCCCTCCCCGAATTGGTCAAGTGCTCTCCGAAGGACGTGGCGGGAGCGTTAGCCAAAAAGCTAATCGGCCTGTCATCACCGAGCACTCTGTTGCAACGTCCTCTCATTCGGACGTGCAGTCACTTAGCCAGCTTGCTCTGGCACCGCCTCCAACCTTAATGGCAAGGGTCTATCTGCTGGCGTCGGTGCCAGGCCAAACCCCCTTGACCCCTTCATCCCCAGGCTTGCGGGTCGGCCAGTCCAATGTCGACGCTTTCCCACCCCATGTTTCGTGCCATGGATGAATTAAGGGAACACATGGTCAAGGCCTCCTCCACATTTTCGCGCAAGCTCTCTTGTGCACCGCCAAGGTGCTGGCTTCGAAGCATGCAGCATGTAGCCATCCCTCCCATCACTATGACACATCAACTCTATTCAAGGCGCCCACGAGGGCGTGGGTTAAAGCAAGGACGTGCTTCATCTCGATAAAGTTGGATGCACGCCATTCGCCTGTTCTTAAGATTTGGCCAATCTTCACATCGAGGAGACGGTTTCGTGCATTCTGCATATACGGGGGAGGTCCGACCTCGAAACGTAACCGGACTTCGAGGAACCCTGGGGGTTCAATTTCTTCGAGATATCCCGCGCCCCGCACCGGCAACTTTGTTTGCGCACTTCACTTGCAGGTTGAGCGGGTGGTAGGCTTGTCTTCAGCTTCCTTTTGCCCTGCTCGGCAACAGCAAGCTGCCAGCACTATCAGTCTTCCCGCGCCTAGAACTGTACCATGTCGCTATGCAGATGCCCTGGTAAAGCGCTCTGCTTATTGACTAGTTAAGCAGGTTGTGCTTCAGCCTCCAAGCTTGAGGCGGATCGCGCTTCCATTGAGAGCCATGTTCTTAAGATGTAAATCACTAAGGGGGGCAGCAGATATGCGCTAAATTAGTGGCAGGTCAAGCATCGCTAGGATATCCTAGGCTTCGTGAGTCGCACATGTGGAAGTCATTAATGTCATGGATGATGGCGTCGACCTTGACCTTGATGCTGACGTTAGGGCTTTCGATGATTGGCACTGCGTTGAGATACTGGTTCACTGGAGGTCAAATTAACAGAACGGCGGGGAATAATGCTTGAAAGAGGTCAACTGACCTAATGGTGCCAATTGCACAGCCATCGCCATCTTAGAAAACCAATTGGTAAGCTAGAGTGTTTGTAGAACACCGCTAATTATGGCCTTACTGAAAGCGAGTCCATGGAACCTAGCAGGATCTTGCTATTAATTGCCTCATAATCACCGAAACTAGAAAGCTTTTACAGTGAAAGTAAGGCCTCTAAATTCTATGCGCCCACTAAAACACTTGACGAAGCTAGTCGAAGACTTCTCAATGAGTTCCTAAATTTGGGTGGGCTTGGTTGTTGACTTCCAAGCGCCGCCAGTCACCATCAAGAGCATGCCAAGCAAGATACCTTTTAAACAAGTTCGAGCTGACAGTCTCGTGCCATTTGACGGCTTTTAGCTAACCCGCTAAACTCCAGTTACTCTGAATTTACTGCTGAGGTGCGTGTCACATCGGAGTATGTAGTGTTAGGCAGTGCCGAGGCATCATTGAAGCACCTTATGCTAAAAGAATCGGATACTGGTGATGCAACATTGCCATATAATTTGATCGAGAACAAAGCGTGACATACCAGGTCCAAGTATCATGGAAATGGTTATATATTCCTGACCTTTTACAACGTGACTTACAATGGTTTGCTAACTTGTATCTTCCAGCATTCAGAAAGCTAGATTCTAAGACAGCGTTTCCAAATCCTACTACAATGGTCCACCGATGGTCCGCCGATGGCCCACCGATCAGGATGCGTCATTTCCTGCTTGATATAAGGTTTACTACATTTATCCGCTTGGAAAGCGAGTGAAAAGATGATTTGAGGGGGCCACAGTATCCAAAGAAGCGTCAAGGGCCCAGGAAAATCGGAGAAAGTCAATGAGAGGCTAAGAAATGCCTGGAGCAGGTGGAGCATCGATATGCCCCGTCCAATACACCTTCCCAGACTCCTGGAAATTCAACCCACAGAGGGACAAGCGCTCGGCCAAGAGGGGTGCCTCCTGCTCGCTGCTGTTGAACGATGTGTAAAGGACACCTCATATTGCAATGCCTCGATCAATGTGGGTGCACGACCTCAACCACGCATTCTTGAATACAGAACGGCGTCAGATGTGGGGGGGTTTCAGACTTGTTTCCACTCGGCAATATGCGCGCGTCAAGCGGCAAATGCGAAAAGTCAGGACCAGCGGTCGTTCCTGCAGTCTGATGTTGCGCACCAGAAGAAGCAAGCCAGGCGACAATGAGATATTGCTCAACAGCTCGTGCTGTTATCGCTTGGCATCGGTTGGATCTGGTGTGGCGTTGAAGGAGCACGCTGGGAGGAATGAGAGCGCGAGGTGGTTGTTTAGAATGGCTGTCCGACTCGACGACAGTGAATTCGAGAGCACACCCCGGCTGTGCGTCAGCCAAATGAAGTGCGCTAGTGCCAGCTGACTCAGGCTCTCGAAGCTGATTGCACCGTCTCAACTTCCGGGCATCGCGAAACTGTGATATATCATTTTTGGCTCCACAACCTTCCGTTTTACGGCATGCTCTTCTCCCGACCCTTTGGGAATCCCAATACAATCCCTCTTGCGAAGCTGTATCCCTCTGCTCCTCGCCTCTCCCAGTTTACACGCCACTTTGCTCTCTCGTTAAACACCATGGCCCCAACCCCCAAGTCATACGACTTCATTGTCATTGGAGGAGGCAGTGGCGGTTCTGGTGCAGCCCGGAGAGCGGCTGGATGGTATGGTGCGAAGACATTAATGGTTGAAAACGGCAGATCCGGTGGCACATGCGTGAATGTCGGGTGAGGATGCAAACTGGTCTGGCATAGTTGCCATTCCCACTAACATTATATTGCGGCAGCTGCGTACCAAAGAAGATGACTTGGTACTTTGCCTCTGTGAATGAGACTCTGAAGGGCGCTCCGAACTATTTTTACGACGTCCCGGACAACGTCAAGTTCCACTTCGACAATTTCAAGAAGAAGCGAGACGAGTCAATCTTGAGATTGAATGGCATTTACGAGAGGAACTGGAGTCGAGAGGGTATTGACCTTGTTCATGGGACGGCAAAATTTTCGGGGGAGAAAGAGATTGAAGTTGATATGCAAGATGGATCAAGAAAAGCTTTCTTCACTGCACCACACATCCTGATTGCCACTGGTGGCCACCCTATCATCCCCGATGTTGAAGGGGCAGAGCACGGGATCACTAGCGATGGCTTCTTCGACATTGAGCATCTGCCCGAACGGATGGCGGTTGTCGGTGCCGGCTACATTGCCGTCGAAATGGCAGGCATGTTAAATGCGATTGGTGTCGAGGTCCACATGTTCCTTCGTGGAGAGACATTCCTGCGAACATTCGACCCTATGATCCAGGAAACAATGACCAAGGCTTATGAGGATGCAGGTGTGATTATCCACAAAGGCTATCCAGGTTTTAGGAAGATTGAGAGGCTCGATCACACTTTGTCTTCCGCGCCGGATACCAACGCTCACGGGAAATGGGCAAATGTGCCATCTCGACATAAAATATTGCAAATAACTGACAATGAAGGCCAAATATTTGATTTCAACGAACTGCTTTGGGCTATTGGGAGGGAGCCTGAAATCAAGCCACTAGACCTTCACATTCCTGACATTAAACTTACCAAAAAGGGTCACATTTCTGTCGACGACTTCCAGAATACGAATGTAGATGGGATATACGCGCTCGGCGATGTCACAGGCCAGGCTGAGCTGACTCCAGGTAAGCCGTTCCGGCCACAATAAAGGCTAGGTTTGGAGTAATGGTTACCGCAGTTGCGATCGCTGCAGGCAGGCAGTTAGGGAATCGACTCTTTGGACCTCCAGAACTCAAGTGGTCAAGACTGTCATACGAAGGCATCCCCACAGTGGTCTTCAGCCACCCTGAGGTTGGCACAATTGGGTTGACGGAGCCGCAAGCAATTTCCAAGTACGGTCAACAGAACGTCAAGGTAAGAGCGAGAGTTTCCAGCTTGGGTCCGCCCATGTTGATGTGAAACAGGTGTACAGAACGAAGTTCACCGCAATGTATTTCGACGTCTTCCCTGCTGAAGAGAAGAAAAAACATCCGACACAGTAAGTTGAGATTACCACTTCATCAGGTAAAGGGCAAGTGGCATGTTGAAAGCGCATGGAGGAAAACCCGAGGGAACGGCACACCCTCCACCCTGCAACATGGATATCACCGGCTATACATCGTCCCATGCATCCTGCCCTTTCTGTCGGCGCAAGAACCTTGCACACTTGGACTCGGGCTCTCTCGGATTTGTACTCTTCAGACTGATTATTCCCTGCGTGGTGCATGTGAACTGAATGGCAGAATGCAATGCTAATTAAGTGGCAGGTACAAGATCGTCTGTGCTGGGCCGGATGAAAAGGTTGTCGGTCTCCACATTCTCGGGGAGGGTTCGGGCGAGATGCTACAAGGCTTCGGGGTGGCAATTAAGATGGGAGCTACAAAGGCCGATTTCGATGGTTGCATGTAAGTTTGCATGTACAGCATCTGTCGTCATATCTGACTAAGGCAGTGCGATACATCCCACTTCTGCCGAAGAGCTAGTCACAATGCGATGAGTTTCAAATTAGGAATAGCTCTCAATTGCCGTGAAAGGAAGACGAGGAACATGTCGACTTTGTTAACCTACATCAAAAGGCTTCCTTCTAGGGTGGGGGAAGATAGTTAGTTCCAGGGGAGCGGCCATGGAGTGAAAAGGTTCGATAGATGCCTACACAGATAAATGGGAACTCGCAATCCTCAACACTAGAGGTGAGGAAGATGATGTCCAAAGTGAAGTGAGGGTGGTTGTGTTGAAGTGAAGGGGCCAGTCCCTGAATTCCCCGAACGCACAGGCCACGCTACAGGTCAGACTTCGGAAAAATCTGAAGTCCAGAGCTCGCAACCTTCAACCCGACGCCCGTGTTATCATCGTCTCCATCTCCTCTCCTTTCTCTTTCCCTGTCACAATGTCTCTCGCTGCATCACGTACCGTGCTGCGGTACTCGAAATTCGCTGCTCGACGTGCGGGCATGCGCAATGCCTCGTCGACTTCCGAGGTCGCGGCGGCGGCAAAGGAGAAGACGTCCAACCTGCAGTCCAAGGCATCCGAGGGCTTGTCGAGAATGACTTCTTCGGCTAGCTCCGCGCTCACCAAGGCCGGCTCAGCGACAGCGGGGGCGCTGGGAAATGTTGGGGGACGAACAGGGCGGTTGATCGGAGGCATCCAATGTCAGTACATCAGCTTTCGACGGGAGGGCGGCACCAATTGGCTTTCGGGATATTGTCATGGGCTTTAAAACATGCACGAGCAGCTCGAGGTGGGATGGGATAGGATAGGGTGTGGGATTTGTTCCCAACTCCCGGAGCTCGGAATGGGGCGCGTCGAATATCGCACATTGACTGATCCCCCCGACCAATTGATGCCTCAAATCTTTGTTGCAGGCACGTTCGGGAACAATATTCGCTGACTATTCTCCTCTCCAGCAATGATTCCTTACATCGTCTACTACTCTAAAGTCGGCCTGGAGCTGGGAAAGCTCGTGGCCCAGCAGCGGAAGATGAGTCCCCCGTAAGCCACGAACGCCGGACCATGCTCCCCAATAGGGTATACTAATCGCTACTTCAGTGACCTCGCGACCTTCCAAAGCTACTTCCAACCCGTCATCAACGGCCTCCGGAATCCTGCAACGCTCCTCGCCCAGACGTCAACCTCCAGCGCTCTACAACCCGCGAACATTCTCAACCGCCTGAGGAACCTCTCGATGGCACAATGGGCGTCGGCAGGTGTGGTCTCTGCAGAGGTCATTGGCTTCTTCACCGTTGGCCAAATGATTGGCCGGTTCAAGATTGTTGGATACCGATCCAGCGCTCCGGCACACCACTGAACATAACACCACAATCCGATTGTACGCAGGGGGCATATTTAAGTGCTCCGGATGTAAATGTGGATGGCGCAGGGCTAGGATTCAATGGCACAAAGCATGAATACCAGACTTGATTTGTACGTTTGTGAGGTCGGATGGAAACTGTGTACGAGTAATGCACACGAGGCGGATCGACGCTGTACTATTGCCCATGTTCTGTTTTAGAATTCCCTTTCCTATATGCAAGTATTGGAACTGCATCTTTATCATCCACGGATACTTTCCTGCTTTCTTCCACATGTCCAATGCCAAGATATTTCGTGCCGATCGGATCGGAATAATCGTGCTCCGATGGCTGAGGCTCAAATATTTCACCCAAGACCTCGCACCGTCTTTCATACAAGTTCAATCGCACGACAACGCCGCCGTCGCTGTGCGGAAGCGATTATGAGATGAAAGCACGATTCTTCTAATTGCTGTAGACACGATGAATGTCTTCAAACTACTCTCACGATCAGCGAAGGGCCCCCAGACTTCGCCGACCCAGAAGCTTCCCTCATCCGGTGCGGTCGCGAATCCACAACTCTTCGGGCATGACGAGGATGATAGACCGTCACAAGTTCCAAGTGCAAACAAGAAACGCAAGAGGGGTGAACATACCACAGAGCAGTTTTCGGCACTCCCAATCGATTTGGACTTTTTTTGTCATGGTGCGGAACGGTTCAAACCTGGGCCCAAGGAGAATGGCATGGATCCCGGACCTGTCCTAGGGAAAAGGAAGAAAGGAAGTGATCAAGTTGTTAGCGTCCCGGGTAACCAGGTGGGGGCTCATTGTGCTGAGGAGGCATACGACCAGGACGAATGCAAACGAGTTTTACGGTCGCACAAGCTGAAGATCGTAGTGCTGGAGGGCTTCACTCTGCAAGAGGAGGCGCTTAGTGAAGACAAGAAGAAGAAGAAGAAGTCAAAGAAGCGAGAAAAAGATAAGGAGGAGACTGGCAACAAGACGAAGAAGAATGCGAAGGCCCAATTGTATCCACAGCCCTTGACGTCTTTCACCCAGTTGAGGACACGATATGGAATCTCGAGAGGACTGGCAGAGAATTTACAGGCGCAAGGATATACGATGCCCACTGAGGTTCAGCTGGGAGCTTTGCCATTGCTACTGGGGAACAAACAGGAGGGCAAAGTAGGCTGGAGTGGTTCTAGCGCACCAGGAAGTGACCTGGGAGGGAATATCGATCTTCTAACTATCGCGCCCACTGGGAGTGGGAAAACAATAGCTTTCTTGATACCATTCATTAGTGCTCTTCAGTCTGAGAGCAGGAATCCATCAGAGTCAAGGGCCCAAGGACCTCGCGCAATAATTATCGCTCCGACAAGGGAACTAGCTTCACAAATTGTCAATGAGGCACGGAAACTCACCAAGGGTACCAGTGTTAAAGCCACACTTATGAAGAAAGGAATGGAAGTCGTTGAGCGGTCAGATGACGAGGCTCCTGAAGCTGATTCCGAGCAAGCTAAGGAATCCGATAGCAATGAGGGAGGCACAACTGGCTCAGAGAGCAGCGGGGCGATTTCACAAAAGTGGAAACGCAAACGGAGACGAGCGGGGATGGTTAAATCTGCCGTACTTGTGGCAACACCACTTGCTCTCTTAAACGGGTTGAAACATCACGATAATCGATTGTCGAAGCTCCCGAATATACGATATCTAGTCCTAGATGAGGCCGATGTTCTCCTTGATCCCCTCTTCCGCGAACAGACGTTATCTATTTGGAATGCTTGCACACATCCTTCTCTCCGAGTTGGTCTCTGGTCTGCAACTATGGGCTCTAATATCGAAGCTCTCGCCATAAAAACTCTCAATAACCGTTGGAAAACAATATCTTCCACATGTTCGGAGCTTCCCCCCCGGGCACCGCTTATCCGATTAGTTGTCGGCCTAAAGGACACCGCAATCCCAAACATCGCCCACAAGCTCATCTACGCCGCCACTGAGCAAGGCAAACTTCTAGGCGTAAGGAATCTCTTACATTCCACTGCCACTCCCTCCACAGAGATGGCTACATCCCTTCGGCCACCATTCCTAGTGTTCACACAGACAATTCCACGCGCCGTAGCCCTTCACTCCGAACTACTCTACGACATCCCCCCCGCAGCAGGCGGTAGCTCTCGAATCGCTGTACTGCATTCCGATCTCTCCCCCTCTGCTCGCGAAAATATCATGGCGCGCTTCCGCCGCGGCGAGGTCTGGGTTCTTATTACAACGGACCTCCTCGCCCGCGGCGTCGATTTCCGAGGCTTGAATGGAGTCGTTAACTACGATGTCCCGAACTCCGCAGCGGCATACATACACCGTGTTGGTAGAACAGGAAGGGCAGGGCGCGAGGGAGGCATTGCAGTGACGTTTTACACACAAGAAGATATCCCGTACGTCAAGAATGTAGCGAATGTCATCCAAGCGAGTGAGAAGTTGAAAGGCAAGGGAGAGGATGAGGTAACGGTTAAGCAATGGCTGCTAGATGCTCTTCCCACACCGACGAAACGTGATAAACAGCTATTAAAGAAGAGGGGGGTGGAGGCGAGACGTACGGTTAAGGATGGGGAGGGCAGAGCGAAGATGAGAATCAGTACGAAGAGTGGGTATGAGAGAAGACTTGGGAATAATCGGAAGGGGGCCAGGATGGCGAATAGGGCGAAGGGAAGGGAGGAGAGAAATATTCAGGGAGATGTGAGTCAGGCTGAGCCCGAAGGGTTTAGGGGGTAGGAATAGTCTGGGAAAATAACAAAGAATACTATATGGTACTGCGTTGATATTGGTGATGGGAAAAACAATGTCACTCAACCCATATTCTCCTGAAGCATACGTCATACGTTAGATAAATGGAAGGAAAGAGCTGTTCCTCAAACATCGCTATTCTCGGTAAAAATTGCTAAGGCCGAAGTACACCTCAACATCTCCCTCGCCTCTTCTCGGTACTGAACATTTGTTTAGCGCAGGAGCCATACTACTTTCCACCCACTTCAATACGTCTCATATTATAAAGCTTTAGTATCGCATCATATCATTCACATATGCGTGTCATCGCATTCCTAAAGTACACCATGCGAAATAACTACATGAATACAAACATAACTCTGTAAAAAGTTATTCATGCTCTTGTGGATAAAGCCATGTCGTCTTAACGCACATTATCCCTAAACTTGCCATGCGACCGATCAAGAAATCCACATTCCCGAAAAGTTTCCACATCCCTGACCCGAGACCATTCCATAGCCCCATGACCAACTCAGATCAAACCCGATACCATTATTCCACAAAGGATCACCATAACACGCCTCACAACTTCGTTTTATCCCATTTGCAGATGAAACGATAGAAAGACTGATACAGAGAGACAGACATACAGATATCATGGCTCATGGCTCATCTCTTTCTGATGACGGTCGTGGGCATCGTCATCTTGGCCTGGATTAGCCATCTCGTATTCCAAGATCTTGATGAATTTGTAGAAGGCGACGGCGAGGATCGCGCCGATAGCGGGACCAAGCCCTGTTGGGTAATCATGATTAGACAGTGGCTCGTGCATGACTCGATAGAATAGGCCAGAATAGAATGAGAAGGGAGATAGGGGAATCGGGGAAGGGAGAAGCAGGGGGATTACAGTATATCCAGTGCTCGTGATCAAAAATGCCTGTAACGACACAAGGTCCGAAACTGCGTGCGGGATTCAGACTTCCGCCTGTGTAGAACACGCCGACAAGTTCAGCGATGAAGAGTGCGAGGCCAATTCCGACAGGAGCAATGAAGGTTGCTGGATGAAGTTAGCACCTCACGTATACATACGCCCTCATAAAGACAGATCTAAGTTCTCAACAGTAACAGGTAGGGAAGATGCATGCACGCTTACCTTTATGCTTTTCTTTCGCAAGCATAAAAATAGTAAACACCAACTCCGCCGTCAAAACCGCCTCAATAAACACGCCCCTCGCGAGGCTCGTATTTGCACTTAAAGTGGTCCTCACATTCAACGGCGTCGGAAACAGCACACTCACCAAGTAACTACTAAAAATACTCCCTGCCAACTGCGCAACCAGCAGAAGTGAAAACCGCACCGGGGTTAGTGTACGCGTAAGCAACATCGCAAACGTGACAGCGGGATTAAATAGGCCGCCACTGATGCGGAAGAAGATCCAAACGTTCACCATCAGCGAGAATCCAAAGACAAGGGCGATGTATTGCAGCACGGTAGGCGAGAAACCTGTGTCGGCGCCTGTAGTGGTGTTATTCGATGAGTCGCCGGACCCGATGTTAGCGACCTGAGTCCCCGAGAAGGCGAAGAAGAGGAACATGGTTGTACCAACGAATTCACCGACGAAGGCTACGAAGTCTAGGATAGGATTAGTATCCGAGGTTGGGGGGAAGGTGGGGGCTTGATCGCCGTCTAAATCCGATGACGGGGGGTGGGACGCGAATGAGGACGGGGACTTTGCTTGGGAGCTTGGGTTTGGAGGACCTACGGTTCTTTGCGCTAGAGTTCATCCACATGGTCCATGGGAGACGAAGGACTTCTTCTGTGGAAGCTGGACGACGGGGTGGTCCCCTTCGTCCTCCATCGCCGTAGTAGCCTGGGCGTACATCATCATTTTCACTACTGTACTGGTAGCGGACATGAGGTTTCATGGGAGTGTCTAGTTCATATTCGTGGTCCATGTTTCGGCTTGTGCTATCGTAGGTACCTCTTCCAGCATCTCGCATATGGCGGTTAGGGAAATTTTGATGAGCGGGCGGAGGTCGGGTTGAATATCTTCGCGCAGGGCGCCGATATGCTTGCGGTCGGTCACTGTCTTCGTAGTAGTCTTCTACATAGGATCCGCGTTCTGGAACTCGGTATTCTGGGTAGTAAGGGTCGAATCTGAGACTGTGATGGTAGTCTTCGCTTCTCTGGCCTTCGGAAGGATGTGTGCTATATCGGGTTGAATCTGTGGTAGCTCGCTTAGAGGGAGCTTGAGATAAGGTGCCGGAGTTAATACCAGGAGAGCCCATAGGCGGGATGGGGCTGGATGGCGATAGCATCCTGGGGTATAGATGGGCCTCGTTCGGCGGGTTGATGGGAAGCCGGACCAGCTGGTTCTTGCTGTCATTCTGGGTAGGACGCTCGACTGTGTCATCGTCCTGCATTCGTTTGCCATAGAACACAGGAAGAGAACCAGATACCAGTCCCTGCTGCGCCATGTATGAAGCAGCTAGGGGATTAGGTTCCTGAGAGAGGTAGACAGAGATGCGAGGTCTGCACAAGCAGTCGATGAGATCTGGGATGTGGAAATGCGTTTTGAAGATTGAAGAGACTACCGATCAGCGTTAAAGGTGACATATGCGTATAGGGTCTGAATCGGATGGGGGCTGAGCTATAAGGGATGGCTGCCCAGAGAGATATTATAGGTCGTCCTGAGCAATCGTTATCGGCCTGGTCTCGCCAAACCCCCTCATCCGCCATCTCCGGTCCATGACCTCCTTCGTCAACGCGACTTCGTATGCAGATAGCGTGGATTCGTTGATCCGGACAGCCAGGGGTAGTACTCTCCGGGATCTCTGCATCGTGCTTCTCGCGTCCAAGGCAAAGGGAGATAGCCCTGACGTCGAAGGAGTCCCGTAATACAGAATTCTGGAAAGTCCATACTAGCTGTACTTGGAGGCTCCCGGTGGTGTATCATGCAAGTCCACGTCTATGCAATGCTTAAACTGCGCTAAATAAGGTAAAGACTCCAGATGTCGCAACATGTTACACGCTTAGTCTCTCGGCGGCTCAGAGTCGCTCAGCCAGAAGGATTGCGACCTTGGATGTTACTCGTGACGTGGAAGGGTGTAAACAAGGTGTTGCCATGGAGGTGGGGTTAAGACAAGGGGAGGTGGTTTGAGCTTCCCTAACCGATGGTGAGGATTGGTGCTTAGACTTCCACGTGACTAACGCTTGAGGAACATCCTTGTTTCTAGTGAGTGTTGTTCCAAGGAGACGATGGGCGAATGCCCGTAAGTTCGGGGCAATTCCGAATTGAGAGAATTTTTTTGGCTTTTGCGATGGGTAGTGAGGGTAAATAGCTTAGGGTTGATTTTGTAAGGCTCAAATACGTCATTTGAATCACCTCAGAGAAGTTTGTAGCGATACTTTAGACATTGCAAAGGGAATTTTGTCCGAAGACAGTGAAGACTCCAAGAGAAACTGAACACTTTTGTCATCCTCCGCACCGTTGCCATCGGGCTCAAGTTATGTCACGCCGACAAACCATCGACTACCGATCCAAATTGATGAGTCTAGGGTGAGCGTACACAGAGGCAAGCGCTGATCTTGACAATTTTTAGACCGGCGAGAAGCTAATTTCATCTGGGTAGACATCCTCTCTTCAGGGTTGGTTGCTTTTGCGAGCCATTATGCCTCAGGAAAATGCCTTCGCGGAAATAGTCGTGGTGTTAAGACCCAATGAACAACTTCTCCATTTTGTGTTTCAATATTCCATGTTCATACGGATGCTCTTCCCAGAAGCATTCCGCTTTAGGGTTTCGCTTCAATATCCCCGCCTTTCCCACCTTTCTCCCCTACCCCAGGAATATCCTGCTCTTTTTCTGAAAATACCGTTGCCGCGCTCTCATCCTCACTTCTCTTCTCTGTCCGGACGTGCATCCAGACCAACAGTGCGGCTCAGATTGCCATGGTAATTGAAACGGCAATCATACCCCACATACCCCGCGTAAATTGCGGTGCAAATTTGGCTCCATAGAAGAGTATGGACCACCTGAAACACGTTAATCGAGCTGGGTGTCCGTTGCGGATGGCCTAACTTACCACGCATTGACCGCGTTGGAACCCATGTTCATGCTAGCAATTACAACTGCCCGTAAGCTATCCTCTTCATATCTCAACACGTCATTAGCCCAGGCAAAGAACTTAGCTTGACATGCATAGACGCTACCGGCCCAGTAGTAAGCCCCGAGATGGACAGTCGTGTTGTTTGGATAGGCTAGAATTAAAGCGCTCGTAATACCACTAGTAATACTGATCTAGTATCTGACTAGGCACCGCTTCCCCCCCATGAAGTCGGTTAAAGTGGCCCAGAGCAGCGTAGATAAAATTCCAGCAGCGGGAACACTCGTCGTAGTTATTGAGTTGCGAGATGGTGTACTTCTTACCAGAGTGCGACTTCATGTACAAAGAGAGGAGAGAGTTGGAAGAAAACGACTTGCTCTTACCCGCAATGATCCAAAGAGTGGTGAAGAAGTACCAACACCACGGACTAAAGCAGTGCTTCAAGAAGGTCCAAGACATAGGAGTACGATCCGAAACTTCAGGGGCGCGGGATATCGCCAATGCCTTTTCATCTGCGGTCAAATATGGTGCCCTCGTGTTCTGTGGAGTATCGGGGGAAAGCAAGAAGCCATAGACGGCGACGGGTAGAGTAATGATGCCATCAGTGACGAAGAGCCAGCGCCAGGCTACTAATCCGCGCAACCGGTCCATTCTCGAATGGATTCCTGTCTAGATGAAACCTCCAATCATCGCCCCTGAAAGACCGGAGGCTGTGAAGATACCGGATCGTTTTCCAAGCTCTCTCTCCATGTACCAGGAACCCAGGATATGGTGGGTACCCACAAAAGTGGATTCTTCAAAGATCGCCTGTTGGCGTGAGCCCCCCCAAAATACGTTTATCCTACTCAGGTTGGAAAAATCGAATAGCCATGATGCCTCCCCGGCTATGTGGACCAGCCGTCGCTATCGTGAGGCCTGCCCATACGACCTAGGAAGTTTTATGTCATTGCTTATATCCAGTCAATATTTACTTACCATGCATGTAGGGAGGAAGATCCTCGGCTTGACGTAGTAGAGAGCGATATTACAGGGAACTTGTCCAATAGTATACATAGCGGTGGACACCGTGTTGATCTGATTCAACTGGTTTCCATGAAATTGCAGATTTTCTTTCATCCCAGAAACGTAGGCATTGTTGAGATTAGTTCTGTCAAGATAACTAAGGAAGTACATAAGACAACAAAATGTTAAAGTGAAGAAATCGAGCTTCTGGACTAGCTGTCGCTTCCCGGCGCATTATTGTCGCCACGAAAGTACTGGAGGATCCTGGATGTCATGCGGAACATGATCAGCCTCTTTTGATGATTGAATGCAACAAGAGGTGCAGCCAACCGCCGGAGGTCTCCTGCCTTTTACGTCGTCAGATCTATAAATGTAAACCCTGGAGATTCGCTCTCTCAGCACAGGGTTCGAGGTACAACGATTACATTTCCATACCTATCACGCTGGTGACTCGAACAAGGCGGCAATTAATGCATATTAAGAGTCAAAAGTGGAGAAAGCTCGAGATTGCTGCAATGAGTAAGTCAAGCCGACATCGGGATCCGTGATAGAGAAAAAAGTGATCAAGCGGGAAACGCGATAGAAGGCTTTAAGTGGCAAGTTTGGCTTCTTCTGGTTACATAGCGCAGACCATCGGTGGGGTGTGATACGACATCATAGACTGCCGTTGTTAGTTCGAACTTGGGACCAAAGGTGGGGATTCGAGCATTCAGCGCGTTGGGCAGGTTAGAGCGCTGTATGTGGAGATACTCGAGGGATGACTGATATATAACGGAGGATTATAACAACCACCTCTTTTGTTTTCGCATCCTTTGAATAGCTTTGGTGCTCCTAATAAACCCTACATGACGATGGCTGCACAGAAATGGTTGAAGCTTGCTGTCGCGAAACGAGCCGCGCTATCGGAACTAATTCCTCCCGAGTACCGCATCCCTAAACATCTTCTTCCACCAAACACCCAGCTCGATGTGACGCCGTTTCCCACAGAGTCAGGATGGTTCTCACAGAAGGAGCTGGAAATCACGTCGAGCACATCGCCGGTGATACTCGAGAAGATCGCGTCGCGAACATGGACAGCGGAAGAGGTTACTCGTGCCTTCTGCAAACGAGCGGCAGCCGCGCATCAATTGGTTAGTTATAGCTTCGTTTAAATGGCTGAGGCTAAGAATCTAAGCTGATGGGTCAAATTAGACAAATTGCCTCTCTGAAATCTTCTTTTCAGAGGCAGTTGAATCCGCAAAAGCTCTCGATGAGCACCTCCTCAACACCGGGAAGACCATCGGACCGCTCCATGGCTTGCCTATATCACTCAAGGACAATTTCAACATAGTCGGAAAAGACAGTTGTGTCGGGTTTGCGTCGCTAGTCAACCAGCCTGCTCCGTACAATGCCACATTAGTGGAGCTGTTGGAAAAGGCAGGAGCTGTGCGATATTGCAAGACCAACGTGCCCACGGCGATGATGATTGTATGTCAATAATCATCCTTGGAATGGGAAAGTCTGACAATATTAGGCGGAGTCGGTGAACAACGTACTTGGCAGGACGGTGAACCCCTTGAATCGGAAGTTGACTTCTGGAGGGTCATCTGGGGGTGAATCCGCCTTGATTGCTTTCGGTGGCTCTCCGCTGGGAGTCGGTACTGATATTGGTATGGCTCCATGTAGCAAAATAACTGAAGTCTTGAGCTGACATCCAGGCCAGGAGGTAGTTTGCGTATCCCGGCTGCCTGCACAGGCATATTTGCTCTCCGTCCCTCTTTTGGCAGATTCACGACACAACGTTGTAGATCTGGTTTAGCTGGCCAAGAAGCAGTCATGAGCGTCAACGGCCCAATGGCAAGAACCCTCAAAGATGTCGTGCTGTTCGCAAAGACAGTAGTAGATTCCAAGCCATGGTTGCATGATCCAAAATGCCTTCCGATCCCCTGGCGATTAGTCGAACCTAAGAAGAAACTCAAGCTGGCTGTACTGTGGAACGACGGCATGGTTGTGCCAACTCCTCCGGTGAAACGAGCTTTGAAAGAGACTGTAGAAAAATTGAAGAACGCCGGACACGTGATAGTAGAGTGGAATCCGGTTCTTCACCCGCAGCTCGTGGACCTACTTGTAAGGCATGTTATTCATGTTGTGAAACTTCTTCGTTGACCATTTTAGGGCCGAATGTTTGTTGCCGATGGCGGTAAAAGCGTACGCGCACTACTTGCACCCACCGATGAGCCATTCCGCCCTGAAATGGAAGCATACCAACAGGCCAGTGAGCTTGGTGTTCATGCTATGTGGCAGCTTCACCTTGAGCGGTCAGAACTGCAGAAGAAGTATCTTGATCAATGGCTTTCGTATGAAGACCTAGATGCAATTCTTGGTGAGTCTTGATGCATTGCGCCCCTTGTCTGTACTAAACCAAAAGCAGCACCCACCACGCCGTTCGCTAGCGTTCAGAATGGACTTTTCAAGCATGTCGGATATACTGGTGTCTATAATATCGTTGACTATGCCGCTGTTTCCTTCCCTAGTGGCGTGTTTGCAGATAAGGATAAGGATAAGGCAATTGCCAATCATACGCCTCTCAGCGACACCTGCAAGGAGATTCATAGCGAATGTAAGTGGCAAGTCAAGTGTTTCTCTGACAATATGGCTAATCTACGAAAGATGATGCAATCCTTGTGCACGGTATGCCTGTCAGCTTGCAACTCGTTGCAAAGAGACTTGAGGAGGAAAAGGTCTTGGCGATGACCGAGATGGTTCTGCGAGCAATAAGTCTTCCACTGAAGGCGCGTTTGTAGGCTGATGGTGACTTTCGGGAAATGTCTTGTGTCGCCCAAAGGTAGGAACTCGCCTTGAGTACGTATTCCAATCTTTAATATGACGTGGCCATTATCGATAAACAGTGCTGTTTACCTTCAATCAGAATTCAATTAGTGATATAGTTGCTTGATAGATGGCAGCTTCACGGAAGCCAAGGGGATGCCGGCTGGAGAGGAAGGTGCACTTCTAGAGTAAGCATTGAATAACAATCATTCGTTAAACCCCACCCTCACAACGATACACGACGCCGCATTCATAACTCCCAACTCACCTATACACCCTAACTTTACCCCCTACCCTGGCCAGCTTCAGTTACCTGTCTCATCATCGTTTACTTCTTCCTCCCTCACACACCTTAGCTAACTTACGCACTCCTCCGCTCGAAGCTGGCCACAAGCCATACCTACCCGCTGCCATAGTCGTAACTTCCTCTGCAATTCTACCTAACATCCCTCGCAGTTGAGACTCGCGTTTGTTAGTATTCCAAGCCAAACAATATATGCTAAGTTTTCGAAGTCGAGAGGACAGCGAGGTGTCGTTTGTGGATTATTCCGAAACAGAAAGAAAGGCTGATTTGGATCCAAACGTCCTCCAAGCTGTCAGACTTGCCTCTCCTCATTGTGTCTGGCCACGGAGCGGTTAGGACGGGCTGCTAAACTAGCGGACCGCAGGATGTCACCCAAAGCAGAACCGGGACATATTGCAAATATGACAAATGTCGTAGGAAGCCAAGGGAGTCGTGCTTCAATGCCAGCCAGTGCACCTGAATCAGTACCTCCACCTAGGCCGAGAAAGCTTGCACCTGGGACAACAGCGCGAAAACTCCCGTGGCTTGATAGTAGCAAGTCTTCACTAGCTACTCCGGCGTCACTGACACCCCCTCCTGTTCGAAAGTTGAGTACTTTAGGACCTAGGATATCCCATAGCACTGCTACCCAAGGTACGACCAACTCAATATTGAAGGCGAACCCCAATATCCGAGCAATAGGATCGACCCCAGCCTTGCGCCGAAAGCCTTTGCAAACTCCAAATGAACGCCGCGTGGCATCTATAGGTACTCGGAGCCCATCCCCTAATACCAACAAGAGGTTGTCATCAATGCCTCGTCAGCCGACACCTACGGTATCGTCGCCTTTGGCAGATGAAGGACTGTCCACGCACCCAACTTCACCTCCTGAGGAGAGAAACTCGTCTATTATGCGACGTTCTTATAATCATCCGCACCTTCCTTCTCACTGTCAATCTCAAGACCCCATCCAAGGGTTCGAGCCGAGACGAGATAGTCTAGCTCCTGTACCTGCACATCTCGAGCGGTCTGTTACACCTGAATCAGTCCGAATACTGAACCGGTGTAATAAACCAGCATTTTCTACCCCACAAGTGATCAAGTCTCTGCAAATTTCACCGAGCGGGCCAGTACCCAGGCGAAATTCTTTCGAAGGTACACAAGACAGAGAACTTACTAACGCTATCGAAGGGCTAGAAGACTTGGTCCAGGAAGCTGTCGAGGTGGCAGAAGATGCATCTGACCCGGATCAAGTCAAAGAGGTCTATGATATTATCGAAGATGCAACAAATGCCATCCGGCGAGCATCCGCCATGCCTGTGCGACATCTAATGGCCAGAAGCTCACCTCTTGTGCTATCAGAATCATCTGAAGAGGTTTCCGAATTCTCCACGGTTTCGGGATCTTCGAGTAAGATTTTAAACGATATATCCTCTCTTCACCCATCCAGGGCTCTGCCTACTGGACCTGTACAGAGGAATATACATGCTACAGCGTCTAGGCCCACCAGCTTGCAAGTCCCTGAACAGTCGATGATGGATAACCCTCCAGGGTTTTTTTCAGACCGATCTAGGCAATCAGAAGCAATTGACTGGGCATACAACGATGGCAAGCGCGAGCTGCGTCAACGTCCCTCAGCTTCCTTTGACTCTGATACGGACGAGTTGGCTATGCGAGGTTCTTCTAGGTTCAGCACTCGAAGCGATCTGTTACTCCCACCGAAACCTACTCAATCAGCACTGAAAGAGCATGTTGACTTTGTTCTTCGTCCCTCGATACCTAGGGAGCAGTCTCGTGGACGCTCAAGGCGGCGCAAGGGAAGTGTTTCGGACCTGATAGGAAGACGTCACCACATGTGTAGGTCCTTTAGGAGCCTTGAAGGTGGTTCCCGAGCACGACATCGAAAGTACCGATCGTCTAGTTTCAGCCAGGATGATACTTCATACGACGAGGAAGAAACTGTGCGCTCCCAGTCGCGCCCCCAGTCATTCCGACGAAGAAATTACAGAAGTGAACTCAGCATGCGTGATCACATGCACTATCACACATTCAGTCTGCGTCGGAATCATCGAAGGCAACCGATTGCACGGAATTGGGCCACTGGCAAGAAACGAATCACTGCCACTGTTGCCTGTATTAATACTGCTTTACTGGGTATCATTGTTGGTATATATGTAAGTTTTTCATACCCCATGCTCTCTTTAGCATCTAATCTTGGTAAGGCAGGTGAAGTGCCGCGCATCCAGTACATGCTGGCCGATGAGAGACATCACGTAATTGTTGGCAACGTCGTGTAGGTTCCACTAGGCCATTTTGCAACGTTCTGTACTGACAAATCGAGTCTCTATTTTGGTCTCGCCATCTCAACATTTGTCTCCTGGCCACTCCCTCTTCTCCATGGTCGTAAGCCTTACATACTCGCTGCGCTGGCCCTTGCAATGCCATTGCAATTTCCACAGGCAATTGTCGTCGGCGCTAGGCGATCTCCCAAGAGCCCAAGTTTCAGAACCGGCCTGTTTGTATCTCGCGCCTTCACTGGATTGGTTCTCGGTTTTGCAAACGTAAATTTCCTCACTGTACTTTTGGATCTATTCGGAGCCTCCCTCCAAAGCAAGAACCCTCATCAAGAAATCGTCGTGGCCAACGACGTCCGTAGACATGGCGGTGGCATGGGTCTCTGGCTCGGCGTCTGGTCTTGGTGCTGGATTGGCTCTCTTGCGGTGGGCTTCCAAGTCGGTGCCGGAATCATCGAATCCCTCACGCCAGACTGGGGTTTCTACATCACAGTCATGATGCTCGCCGGAGCCCTCTGTCTCAATATCATCGTCCCCGAGACTCGTCGTTCAGCATACCGAAAATCCGTTACCGAAGTCTACGACCGCGACGAGCAATTCATAACACGCCGCGTAGCTCGCGGCGAGATCAAGCTACATCTCTCCACTGAAGGACCCAAATACTGGTTCGAAGAAGTCTGGGCCGGTATGAAACTCACGACCATGATGATGTGTCAAGCCGGCTTCTCTGTCCTGGCTTTCTATCTTGGATGGATATACGCGCAGATTGTGCTCGTTATCGTGCTCCTTGGGGCTCTCCTCTCGCGAGAATATAAGTGGCATCCGCAGTATGTCGGGCTCGGCGGAATGTCCATAGCCTTTGGCGCACTCCTCGCTGTGCCTTTGACAAAAGCTGGATTATTTTCTCGAGAGCGAAAAAGGCAGTTTAGAACCGATAGCATGACCTTTCAGAAACAAGTCACCTGGTCCTCTCACCTCATTCGCCGCTGCATCTTCACTCTCACTCTCCCCCTCATGGGCCTCGCGTACACCGTCTCTTCTGCTGGTCGCCCGAAACCATACATGGTTCCAATCGCGTTCGCCGCCGCAGTGGGCTTCTTGTCCATTCTCGCCATCGCCGAATGTCACGGCCTCATTATGGAGACATTCGACACCTGCGACCTTCAACCTGGCGTAAACACTCGCCACCGCCTCCAAAGCCTAGCTGCGCAAGATAAACGCCGTCGAACAAACTACACCTCCTTCCCACGCGTTAGCGCTGGCATCTTCGCGTCCCAGACGCTCGCGTTCATCGGGGCAGCCGTGGCCACTGAAGTTGGCGGCATCATGACGCGACATATCGGCGCGCAGGCTTCTACGGGTGTGACGGCAGGGATTTTGTTCGGACTGACTATCTTGCTTACCGCGGTTTTGTGGAGGTTTAAACAGGTGCAGGTCATTCCTAATCATACGTTCGGCACCAGAAGGGATACGAAGGCGTGGGAGGAGTTCGGGCAGATGGGTAAGGGGGATTGGAAAGCAGTTATTATTGGGAATCCGTCAGGGAAGATGCGTAGGATGAGTGTGTTAGAACTTGGGGGGCTGAGTCGGTGGACAGAGATTAGGAAGTTGAATTTTTTGATCAGGGAGGACAAGGAGGGGGGAAAGAGGAGGTTCTATTAACTTGTTGGTTGGACGTGCGGAATTGAAGCGTTTGGGAATTTGGATGGTACGAAGATTGAGATAAGGAAATTGGATCGGGATTATTTAGATCGTTACTGGATAGTTTGTTAGCACGCGAGATGTTGTTTCCTATGCTTCCTCTCATCCTTCTGTAACATACCAGAGGCTAAGTCTGCACATGTTCAAGTGCAACCAGAAGCACAGCAAGAACTTCATTGTTTTACAGGGTTCCTGAGATAAACTTTGGCTCACTGGCGAAGGGTTATTGGTATGGAAAGGATTCGAGAGCCAAGGGCTGGCTTGACGTATGAACGCCACAAGATGATGGAGATTTTCATAATAACAAGTACCCTAGGGATGAATGAAACTGAGGATGAAATGAAATTTAAAAGGCATAGACCAACTAACGCCAGCAGAAGTAAAGTCTTTACACTTCTCCATTAACCAGTCTCGGAACGAACCCCCTCTCAGTCCTCCTCTTCTGCACCCACTCTCCAAACGGCCTCCAGATCGCCTCCTTCTCAGCCGGCTTCAAATTGGCCGCCAACCCACTCGTCGACGTCGTCACAAAAACTCTTGCCCCCTTCCACACATCCCCTTTACTATCCAAAACTTCCTCCTCACTTTGCCCCAGATTATGCGCCTCATCCTGCCAGCCATACTTAAAATCCTTCACCTTAGGATTCTTCCCATATTTATACCTCCATATCGCCTCCCAAATCCCCTTGCCCACGACACAAACAGCCTCAGGCTTGTACTTCAAAAACTTGGCGTCCAGATTCGCCGTCCCCGCCGCTGTCTCTTCTTTGCTGAGCTCGGCGGCATCTTTGCTCGGCCGATCTACGATATTGGTGTTGCCCATGCAATACAATGCAGGCAGCGTCACATCCTCTTCTGGCTTCAAGCGTCGGTCAGTGAGACCAGATGCATGCAGCAGTTTCCAGAAATGGTTCGAGGGGTGAGCGTAAGCGTGCCCCGCGGCTGCGGTTCGTATACCTGGGTTCGTACCAACGAAGACACCGATGAGGTCTGGCTCGAGGATGTCGGTTAGAGAAGAGAGGTGTGCGTATTTGGAGGGATCGGCGTATTTACTAGGTTTTCGCTTCTTTCTGGGGGGGGCAGAGTGAGTAGTTGAGGTGATGGCAGTGCGAGTACGCTTCGAAGAACGCTGGGCTGATCCAGGCGTGGAATCGGAAATGGTGGTGGCAGTGGAGGCGGTGATATGTTGGAACTTCGAGAGCTTTCCCTTGAAGGAGGGTGTGAGATGGTTTGGCTTGGGCGTGTCATTGGCGGAGACCATGGTTTTGGATGACCGTGTGCGACGCATTTTGGTTGACGTGGGTGATGAAGTTGGAAAGACTACAGCTTGAATCTAAAAGAAAGCAGGTGAAGCCTGGACAAAAGGTTCAGCTCCACGCTACGCACGTGATCTCGTGTTAAAATTACTGAATTTCGTGTCACTCTGTTAAGCTCGGCTACAGTCACTCTAAAAAGTCTGTCCCATGGCCTGAGCGCTTGGCTGTGGTCCCCTCGACCTTGAAAAAAACATTTCCCTACCTAATTTAGTAGTACAATTATTTACTTGCTGTCTCTCTTATCTACAAACTATGCTTGCTTAATTTAGTAAGTGTTGAATGGACTTCCTCGTACGGTCAGGCGCGGGGTGAGCGGGCCTTGTGTATGATTCCGTAAGTGCACTCTTTGTAACGATTCTCATCTCGGGTCGCTCGGAACCTATCCGAAGGGTCCCCGTATCGGGCCCTGACCCTGACTTGACCCTGTCCCCTGCGGTTACCTCTATTCCCCTAAGTATTTAGTTGCACCTCTCCCCTTAGCTAGCTTAGTAGTTTTCTAATATCCTTTTGTACAAGGCCTATAGGTGTTAATAGAATTCCCAGGTCATTAAGTCCCCACGCACTCCTATATGCCTCTAAGTGGATTCCTACCGCATTCAGACTGTAACGATTCTCACGAATCGTTCTATCTCGGGTCGCTCGGAACCTATCTGAAGGGTCCCTGTATCGGCCCCGACCATAACTTAACCCTGTCCCCTGCAGTTACCCCTATTCACCTAAGTATTTAGTCGCACCTCTCCCCTTAGTTAGCTTAGTAGTTTTCTAATATCCTTTGTACAAGGCCTATAGGTGTTAATAGGGATCCTAGGTTATTAAGTCCCCACACACTTCTATATGCCTCTAAGTAGATTCCTACTGCATTTAGACCTATTGTCTTGCCTATGCTATTATATTATATTAAAAAACTTACTTTTACTAGTAACGTACCTAACAGGTTGGCCAGCCACTTTTGCTAAGCCCTTACTAAAACTACTCTATTCTAGCGCAAAACAGCCTACTTTAGCCCTATATAAAGTAATACAACATAAGATATTATTTAAAGTCTACTTTTACTACTTACTTATATATATGTAAGTTATACTTAGTTTAATTACACTACTTATATTACTTTTAACTTAGCTTACTTTTTTTAGCACACACTTATGTCTTTAGCTTTTTTTTATTACTACACACTTTAAACTTTTTTAAAGTAGTTAAATAAGCTTTATTTTTAACTATTAAAGTTTTTTTTACTTAAATTTACTTTTTTTAAATATTACTAAAAGTAATTACTATATTATAAGTGTGTATAAAGCATAGTAAAAACTTAAGTTTTATAATATAAGTAATTTAGTTATATATAAAATCTTTAGCTTAGTGCTTATACACTTTTTTTAAAAAAGTAAAACAACCTACATTAAAAGGCTATAAAAAGTGTAATAAGTGTAAAGGTATATAAATAGTAATAACATACTTTATAGGCAAGTTGCTTACACACCTAAGTTGCTTACTTTTACTAAGACCCTACTATACTACTTTTTCTACACTAATGCATTTCTAACAACACTACTTAAACATGTTAAAAAAATATTAGATGTAGCTTACACTTTAAGCTTTTAAATAAAATGTAATACTTTTTAAGCAACATGCTACAGCTATTTATAAAGTCTTTTAAAAAATAATAAGTAACTAACACACTAAATAACTTTTCTAAGCTAATTATACAGCTAACTTATAAAAACTAGATAATAATAAAAAGTAAGTAATTATTTAGCACATACTTAAGCTAAATGTGTAAGAATTTCCCCTCTAGCTAGCAGCTATAGCTAATATAGCTAATTCTTTACATGCTAAGTATAATATAGGCTATATTAGCATAAACTAGCTTAATATATTTATTAAGTGTTACTTAAAGCTTAAAGTAAAGTTTAAGTATAAGTATAACTATAAAAAAGCTTTTTATAAAATTTTTATAGTAATTTAAAGCTAGTTTAACTTTATAAAAAATATTAAAGCTAAGTATAGCATTTAAAATAATAATATATATAACTTTAATAAAATAAAGTTTATAATAAGCTAAATATCTACTAAAGTAGTTATTATAAGTTTAAAGAGATAAAAACAGCTAAAAGCAGTCTACCTAGGTAACTAGAAGTAGACAACAGCTATCTAGAGCATTAATGCTAAAAAGTAGGCTATTTTACTTTTTATTATCTTTTAAAGTAGCAACTACTTTTTAAACTAGTATAAAAAAAATTTACTTTAAAATTAAGTTATTATAATCTTTAAGCGCAGCTAGACTACTAATTAGCTTAGTCTAGACTAGTTAAAGCACTTTAATGTGCATATAAAGAAGTGTACTATTAGCAGCTACTATCTACTAGTTATTAATAGCTATAAAAGCTATAACTTACTTTATTTTTAGTAATACTATAAAAATAATAAGATTATTACTATTTATATACTTTTTTACTTATTACACTTTTTATAGCTACTTAATGTAAGTTGTTTTACTTTTTTTTAAAAAAGTATATAAGTACTAAGCTAAAAACTTTATGCATAACTAAATTACTTATATTATAAAAATAAAGTTTCTACTATGCTTTAAAGTAGCTTATAATACTATAATTACTTTTAGTAATATCTAAAAAGAGTTTTAAAGTGCTAAATTAGTTTTTTTAACTTATAATAAGTTATAATAGGCCTTAATATAAAGTTACGCACTTTATTACTACTACTACTTATATATAATAAGCCCTAGTAGTTATAAACTTTAAGTAATACTTTAAAACTTAAGTTATAATTAATGTTTATAAAAATAAAAATTTAAAAGTATATAAATAGTTTACTAACTTTTATAGTTAAGGTGTTTAAGAAAGTTTTAAAAAAAGTAGTAATAATTATATATAAGCTAGTATTAGTGTAATAAGAAATTACTAAGCTTTAAGCAGCTAATAAGGCTACTACATAATATAAATTATATAAAAAAAAAGTAAATTAAGGTAAAAAAGACTTTAATAATTTAAAAAAGCCTATAATTAACAGCTTTAAAGAAGTTTAAAGCGCGCAGTAATAGGAAAAAGAGAAAGAAGTAGGTGTAAGCTAAAGTAGGTAAGCTATCTTAAAGGCGCTATAGATAGTGTAATTAGACTAGGCATAACACGTAAACATGTAAGCAAGAAGCAGAAGTAGTATCTAAATAATATTCTAGGCTGTACTATACTATATAGTGCTAGAGCAGGTTGTTATAGGCTATAATAGAGTTTGTTAGGGTAGGGTCTTAGCAAAAGTAAGCGACTTAGGTGTGTAAGCAACTTGCTTATAAAGTACATTACTTTATTATATTTTATTTAAATTAGTTTTAAATTAGTTTTAAATATTTCTTACACACTATAGATAAAAACTATTAGCTTATAAAAAGAAGAGTAGTGTAATAATTCTTATAAATTATTTTATTTTAGATTGCTTAGATTCTATCTAAAGAGTCCCTATATTAGCTCTAACTATAACTTAACTCTGTCTCCTGCAGTTACCTCTATTTACCTAAGTATTTAGTTGCACCTTTTCTCTTAGCTAGCTTAGTAGTTTTCTAATATTCTTTTATACAAGGCCTATAGGTGTTAATAGCATTCCTAGGTTCTAAGTCCCCACGCACTCCTATATGCCTCTAAGTAGATTCCCACCGCATTCGGACCTATTGTCTTGCCTGTGCCGTTACATATGCAATACACCCCCCAGCTTAAACTGTGGAACAAGAGAGGTGAAACATAGTAAAACAACTTTAACACACTCTCCTAGCCTAAGCAACAGAACTTAAAGACAGATCTAGTAAGGTAGCCTTTGTAATAGACGCACTACCTAAATACTTTTTACTAAGCGTAGGAATTAAACACATAGTGCTTAAGGATAATGCGTTCTTATTAGTAGAACAGGGGTGCAAAATTTTTTAAGCGCTAACTATCTACACTACGCTGTGAACTAGGCTTATAACTGTTGCGTTTGCTAAAAGGTTAACCTTCTATCTAGCACAGCAGAAGAATATATATAGACAGATAGCTGTATGCAACAATAATTAATATAATATTATTAATAAAGCTGTTAACGTACCTAACAGGTTAGCTAGCCACACAGGTTAGCTGGCCACTTTTGCTAAGCCTCTACTAAACTCTACCTATCTACATAATGCCTTAACAACAACACTAGATTAAATTTTTTTAAAAAACATTAGATATAGCTTACTTTTTAAGCTTTTAAATAAGACTTAAAACTTTTTTTATAATATGCTATAGCTATTTATAATGTTTTTTATATAACACTAAGTAATTAACACACTAGATAGCTTTTATAAGTAGAATACTAGCTTAAATTAAGAAATTTAACTAAGCTTAAAAAAAAAGTAGTTATTAAGTATATACTTAAGCTTATTACATATAAATTTCTTTTTAGGCTTATAGCTATAGCTAATATAGCTAATTCCTTGCGTGCAGAGCGTAATTTAGGCTAGGTTAGCTTAAGCTAGCCTAGTATATAAGTTAAGCACTACTTTAAGTTTATAATAAAGTTTAATTATAAGTATAATTATAAAAAAGCACTTTATAAAAATTTAAAAGTTATCTAAGGCTAGTTTTACCTAGTAGCTAACATAAAAGCTAAGTATAGTATCTAGAATAAAAACATGTATAACTTTAATAAGTTAGGCTTTATAATAAGCTAAATATTAACTAGAGTAGTTATTATAGCTTTTAAAAAAATAAAAACAGCTAAAAGTAAAATAGTAAAGTAACAAAAAGTAGATAATAGTTATTTAAAGTATTAACATAATAAAGTAAGTGTTAAATAGGCTCCGACAGCTAGCTGCTTATAGTATAAGCACTTAAGTAGCAAGAGTAAGAGTGGTGTACAGTGTGCACAGCGTATCAGGTAGGTAAAGTAAGAGTAATATGTTTCTAGTTCTATTACTCTTATCTTTTTTTTATATAGAGGAAAAGAGGGATATCTAGATGTTTACGCATAGAGTGTAAG